ACCAGGTACCAACCTTAAATTATACTGTGATATTTCATTAGACAAACCTCGTCCGTTCGTTGTAGAAAATTTACGCAAAGCTATTTTTGACAGTATACACGGATTGAGTCACCCAGGTACTAAAGCAACCACAAAGATGGTTACGGAAAGATTTCTTTGGCCCTCCGTACGTAGAGATTGTCGAACTTGGGTACAGTTATGCCAGCCATGCCAGATATCCAAAGTTCAACGTCACACTTCAGCACCGCTAGGAAATTTTAAATTGACGGATTCCAGATTCTCTCAAATACACATCGATCTTAACATCACGGCAGTAACGGTGGCGAGAGCATTTTACGAGAGCTGGATATCCAGATTCGGCTGTCCTCAAACTGTAACTACAGATCAAGGCCGTCAATTTAATTCGCAACTTTTCAAGGAGTTAACACAGCTGTGCGGAATACATTTGAAGCATACTACAGCTTATCATCCCGCTGCCAATGGAATGATTGAGAGACTACATAGAACTCTAAAAGAAGCCATTATGGCACACCAAGAAAAACGATGGATAGACGCTCTCCCCAGTATCCTCTTAGGAATTAGAGCAGCCTGGAAAGCCGACCTTAAATGTTCAGCAACAGAATTAGTCTATGGTGAACCTATTAAATTTTACCCGGTGAGTTCTTTCAACAAGCGTCTCAAAATACCGTACATTACTCTGATTTCATAACACAACTTAAACAGCATATGGCAGAGTTAAAACCTGTCCCTGCTTCAAGACACTGTCAGAAATCAGTATTTATACACAAAGATCTTCGAGACGCAACACACATTTTCTTACGCAAAGACGCATTAAGAGGAGCACTGGAAGCGCCGTATACTGGTAAACCACTAAAGGTTTTGAAGCGAAATGCAAAAACTGTAACTATAGAATCACCCCGAGGACCAGTTATAGTTTCAATAGATAGAGTTAAGCCGGCATATGTAATAAAAGAAGAGAACGGGGTTGTAGAGAACGCCCAGAATAAGGCACAAACAACACCTTGCCTCGCTAACAATTCCTCAAACACTCTCCAAGGCCAACTCTCTCCACCTCCTCCAACTCAAAGAATTTCCCGCCATGGCCGAAAAATCCATTTCCCAGATTTCTTTATTGCAGGGCTTTCAGTCTCCGAGGAGGGTTGTGTAGAGTACCGAGTAGCGCGCGGTCAAACTTGACGTCACCGCTAGCCGCCGGTTGCGGGGGCAGCGTATCTGAGGGAGCCTCACCGACGCGCAGTAGTCGTCCATATATAGTGTACTGTATATATTTGTATTATAATCATTTCCCTGCACATACAAGTCGGAAAACTGCACAGGCAGCCAGTAGTGGCGGCAAATGACTGCCTAGTATGCAACGGCCGCCTCTTCTGACAGGAAAACCAAGGTCCAGTTCCTAGTAGACACAGGCTCTGACTTATGCGTATTCCCAAAATCAGCGACCAGAGGACCACGACCTAAAACCAGGTATGAATTGTTCGCAGCTAATAATACAGTCATAGCAACATATGGTTATCTCCAACTGCACCTTGATTTTGGCCTCAGAAGAGATTTCAATTGGAGATTCATCGTGGCCGACGTTACCAAGCCGATAATAGGAGTCGATTTTTTAAGTCACTACAATTTATTAATCGACTGCCGCAATCATCGACTTATAGACGGACTCACCACTCTCTCCATTTCAACCCCTCATTGCCAAGATACATCACAGGAAACAATTACAATTAAAGCAGTTACAGGAGATTCACCATTTCACGATTTGCTGCGCCAGTATCCTGAAATCACACGACCTGCCGGTGCACTAACCCAACCGAAGCATAACACGCAACATCACATCCGAACCACTCCCGGACCTCCAGTTACATCTCAGCCTCGCCGATTAGCACCCGACAGATTGCTCATAGCTAAAAAAGAATTTGAAGATATGTTACAGAATGGAACTGCACGGCGATCCGAGAGTTCCTGGTCATCACCTCTTCATCTTGCACCCAAAAAAGATGATGGCTGGCGTCCTTGCGGAGATTATAGAGCACTCAACGCACGGACGATACCTGACAGGTATCCAATCAGACACCTCCAGGACTTCAGTTACCACATATCAGGTTCGCAAATACTGTCAAAAATTGACTTAATAAAAGCCTACAACCAAATTCCCGTAAATGAAGCCGATATTCCAAAGACCGCCATCACCACACCCTTCGGGTTATTCGAATTCCCGTTTATGACTTTCGGCTTAAGAAATGCAGCCCAAACATTTCAACGATTTATCGATGAAGTGCTACAGGGGCTCGAATTTGTATTCGGATATTTGGACGACATACTTATCTTCTCCAGAAGTCAGGAAGAGCATCTTCAACACCTTAGAATCTTGTTCGAAAGATTTAAAGCTTACGGCGTACTAATCAATACAGGAAAGTGCGTCTGGGGCGTTAGTGAGCTAACATTTTTAGGATACCACGTTTCCGTACACGGTACTCGCCCACTTCCAGAGAAGATCACAGCAATTCAAAGTTATCCACTACCTAAAACCGCCAAGGAATTGAGGAGATTCCTAGGAATGTTGAATTACTACAGACGATTTATTCCTAATGCAGCACAAATACAAGGAGACCTCAATTCAAAACTCGCAGGAAATATCAAAGGTTCAACTCCTATCAATGTCACCGAAGACTACGAAGCCGCATTCAACAAATGTAAGTCCAGTCTTTCTCAGGCTACGCTCTTGTCACATCCAGATGTTCAAGCCGAATTAGCCTTATTTACTGATGCATCTGATGAAGCTATTGGCGCCGTTCTTCAACAAAGACAGAACAATGTATGGACTCCATTGGGATTCTTTTCACGCAAACTGTCATCATCACAAAAGAAGTACAGTCCTTACGATCGTGAACTTCTAGCCATATATGAAGGAATAAGATACTTCAGATTCATGCTAGAGGCTCGAAATTTCGTCATATTTACTGATCACAAACCCATTACCTTTGCATTCAAAACAAAACGAGATAAATGCTCACCTCGTCAATTCAGATATTTAGACTTCATATCCCAATTTACAACAGACATTGCTGGTAGCGACAACGTTGTAGCCGATGCACTTTCTCGCATAGAAGAAATCGGGCATGATATAAATTATGATGATCTCGCACGCGATCAGGCTCAGGACCCTGAACTGCAAGATCTTCTCAGAAAAGGATCAGCACTAGATTTAAGACAGACCGATGAGAATGTATACTGTGACCACTCAACGGCATATCCTCGACCATACTTGACACCATCATTCCGTCGACAAGCATTCGAGAACATGCACAATTTAAGTCACCCCGGAGCAGCAGCAACAGCCAAACTAATTGCACAGAAATATGTATGGCCTGGTATACGACGTGACTGCAAATTATGGGCTCAACAATGCACAGATTGCCAACGCAGCAAAGTCACACGTCATTCATTCTCACCTTTCACTACATTTCCCATACCATCCGAACGCTTTTCTCATGTTCATCTCGACATAATTGGCCCTTTGCCACATTCTTCTGGTTACAGGTACTGCCTCACCGCCATCGACAGGTTTACTCGTTGGCCTGAAGCTTACCCACTGGTGGACATCACCGCAGAATCATGTGCAAGCGCCTTCATTTCCGGCTGGATTGCCCGCTTTGGTTGCCCGCACTCCATAACCACGGACAGGGGGCAACAGTTTCAGTCAAACCTCTTCCAGCACATTTCACAACTGGTCGGTGCTCAACACAATTCCACCACTGCTTATCATCCGCAGTGCAACGGCATAGTAGAGCGACTACACCGCCAACTCAAGGCAGCGATTATGTGCCATAATAATCCACAGTGGACCGAAGTACTGCCACTGGTTTTATTGGGTATCCGCATCGCCTGGAAGGAAGACCTGAAATGTTCAACAGCTGAACTTGTCTACGGCGAGACACTCCGATTGCCCGGCGAGTTCTTCACTCCAGCTGCTAACACCACATCCGATCCCACGGATTTCGTCGCTCGCTTGCGCAGACATATGGCCAAGCTTACACCAACTCCTGCATCGTGTCACAGTAAGCCAACATTTTACCTTCCAAAAGATCTCTCCAGTGCAGAATATGTATTTTTACGTAGAGGTCCTATCAAGAAAGCTCTATACGGGGCCGCATAGAGTTATCTCAAGAGAAGCTAAGACGTACAAGATCGACGTTCAAGGCAAGGAGCTTACCGTCACCATAGATCGGTTGAAACCAGCTTATATGGCACGCAGCGACAACGACTCCAGTCCGCACTCTACGTCAACGCAACAGCGATCACAACCCGCACCTGAGAGACCACGTACTACACGCAGCGGTAGGACAGTTCACTTCCCGGACTACTATCGCCCGTGACACGGTCTCGGCAAGGGAGTGTTATAGTGTACTGTATATATTTGTATTATAATCATTTCACATCATTACCTCTTTTCATGACAACTGGCCGCTTACAGACAAGACAGACACGTTCCATATTTTCACCTATAAAATATTCTCACGTCATCCGTCACTCGCTACATACAACTATAATTGAAATAATATTTTCTAGTATCGATTTATATAATTTTCCTTAATATAAATTTTATCATTTGCTGAGGGTCTATTTTATTTACATTATAATTACTACCGACCCCACACATACGTCTCTTGCGCCGCTACTGTGATTAATCGTTTCGCGTGACCTACATTACACATATATAGCGATTCAAACATTGTTATAAAATCAATCTTTCCGTTCTGTTATATATACATGTGTGTTAACCTTGTTTCTTCAGTGATCTATGTACTTTATCTAATTTCTAATATACATCTTAAAACTATCAGACTTATTTTACCGTTAACCACAAGTCCTTCCGCGAGTTTGGATTGCCATATGCATTCGCCCCCTATAGTGCGGTGAAACTCTAAAGGCCAACTACGGCAAACAGTATAAGAGTTGCGCGAAAAAAAAATCACTCTTACCTATAATGCATCAAACGATGGTTCTCCAATTCCGCTTGAAGGAGAAATCTTTGGTTACATATGGTGCATAGGAATTCACCGGCGAACTGAAACAATCAATACACAGCGTTATACTGAATTTGGCAGAAAAAAGGTTTCTATGTTGATTGTCGCATGCCTAATCCTTGTAATGTAAATCTAATTAAGACAATACTTATTTAAAAGAGCAACACACAATTTTCATGCTCATTCTTCTTGTGATGAGTCTGCATTCCGATTGAGCGGTAGAATAAAAAAAATGTGACTATTCAAGTGCTTATATTAAATTTATTTGAATAAAGATTATTTCTATAGATAACTTCACAACTATTATACCAGTTTCGAAACCTGCTTAAGGACTTATGGAGCAGATGAAGGCGATCTCCTGCCTGAGGTATACGACTTTAGTCTGTGAACACCGCTAGAGGTTCGAACCTTGATAATAGTGAAAAAGGTAGACACGCACAACGACCCAAATAAGACGCTAATTGCGGAGAATAGAGTCCACATTGCATTACATTTTGCCTTCAGAATGATTGACGAAATAACCTGTAATTTTAAAATTCAATACCTTTTCATGTTTCTTCATATGATGATTGAGACATTTCTTATTTGAATATATTTCAACACACTCTTCACACTTTAACGTGCATTTACTAAATCTGCTGCTCTTTCTTCTACTCTCTCTGTCATTTATCATTTCTTCTTCATTTAAATATCTTACTATATATATATTTTGATCTTCATTTTCATCGGAAATTGGGCTATTGTTTCCTGTGAAGTATGTCTAAATTAGGTAATATATCTGGGCTCATAAATAGTGAATTGGAGGAACAGGATTGTTAGCAATGTACCATGTCAGATTGAGCTCCATATGTTTCACCCTGTAAACCATTGTGATAAATTCATAGTGAATTTACCATCATGGGCTTAACTGACCTAACCTCAAGTTCAGCTTATCATCCTTCACTGGTACAGAGTCAGTGTAAACCATTAGTGAAGTTGGGTGAGCCATTCTATTATCATCCATATAAAAAGAATAGTGAAGCAGTCTCAATTTTTGTCTAAATTAGGCACTGACTAACTCTCACTAAAATTCGTTTCAGAGGGAGAATATTCTAAAGCAGTGGCTCCCAATTAGTTTTTGCTGCATACCACTTCAAAAAAGATCTCAAACCTTGCGTACCCCTAGCAATCACAATAATATTATAAATGTGAAAGTTTGAGAGTGTGTGTGTGTTTGTTTTACTGATGTACTCCTATCCTAGTTTTGTATACCATGTAATGTAGGAATAACATATTACATCTGTGATAACGACTCCTGCGTTTTCATTTCGTGAACTCACTACACTACACCTGAACACGCTATATTATGCACAATTTGTATCACGCTTCCACATAACTTATAACAGTAAAAGTATCAATACCTGTCTTAACTTCATTGTAACCATAATGATCTTCGACTGTGCCATCCTCTAACTTAATATCTTCATCATGAAGGTTTTCACTTTTAATATCATTCAACTCTATTTCTTCACCATAACTCTCATTTTTTATATGTAAAACCTTAATTTCTCTATCATCTGGAGTATCAATGTCTAGTTCCATTCTAAGAGTTACTTCTTCTATTGAAGGTTTTATTTCTTGTTCAGTATGCCCATAGGATTGTGTTGAGCTATCTAGAGTTGGAATGTTAGTTACTTCAGTTTCTGGTGTCATTATATTGATATTTTCAGTTTTGTTTTGCTGTAGCCGAGAAAGACTTTGTATAGATGTCTTACACTGAAATAAGAAAGTGATATATCATTCTATGTATAAAGGACGGAACACACATGAGAGAGACACAACTTACTAGCGTAGCCACATTACAAGATGCGATGGGCGTAGTGATTACTTGCTCTTTGGTTATAGAATAGAATAGTATAAAGGATGGAACAGTAAAACCAAAGTAAGTACTTGTTTTTGCACTATTAAAAGGGGCACTAATATGCAATGCAGCAGTTGTCTGAGCCCTACTTCAACATTTAACAATAGTAGAGATGGATAAATATGTATTAATAAAATCATACCAACCCTCAAAATTATTTATTAAAAATTAGAAAGTAGCCTTGTATATTTATATCTATACATACATATTAGGGAGACCAGAATGTAGTTTCAATAATGTAGTTTCTGCATGTGTCAATGTGTTTGCGAAATTAAAAAAAATAAATTAATATTCAATTTTCCATAAGTAACAATCTCACTATAACCTCACAATGTCTTTGCACACCTCTAAACACAACAATGAGCTGATAAATGACAATCAAGCATTGATATGCACAAAACTACATTACTTTCCGGTCACACCTGACACATATAAACAACAAAATGAACTATATATAATGAACTATGAAATATAATAAAAATACTAACCATACTTGTCTTAAGTAGGTCTCTGATGATTGCCTGAGCTTTCAATACTTTATTTCTAAATGAGACAATACTCCTTACATTTGCATTGCATTCCCAGCATACATTATGGGTGTCTGAAAACTGCAAACAGAGATATTAACAGAGAAAAGAAAGAGAGTAAGGTAGGTCTAAAGATGGGACAATGACCACAGGGTTTGGGAACATCTTAACACAGAAAACAGTGGCAAATAATACAAGCTCTGCTTAGCTTGGGACTAAATGGCGCTGTTTGAAGTGTTCCGGGTTATTATTATTACATGCACTGAGTATTAGGTTATATTTTTAAGAGGCGATAATGGAATGGTACAATTGCGAGGCACCAGTAGAGGATGTTACTATAAGGACAAAGTTCCGTAAATAACTTGGTTTAACCACAATAATTTCCATGGTTAAGTTGCCGGCAATATGATCACACGTTCCAATTGTTGATAACCAGTTTAATAACCAAAATTTAACGGTCGTAAATTTCTTGTACGTACCTTCACTTTTATAATATCTGTAATAATTGTTGTGTCGATAGCGGGGTGAAGCTTGCGCTCCGTACTGAGGCATATAGTACACATATTATATCTGCTACAAAATGAGTTAATTTCCTCCATAATTTTAGTATTACAATAAAATTTATTCTACCATAACAGAGTTTCCCTTGCTTAGAAGGTAGAGATATTTAGATTTGTATAGTATCAACTTTAATAACTCTTTCAGCTATATAACTAGATAGATAGATAAAATTTTTATTCACGTTAAAGGCACATACACACTAAATTATTATTAATTTATTAGTGAGAAACGACGAATTTATATGTAAATGATAATAAAAAAATATATAATTATTCAGAATGCCACAGATTAATTTAGAGATCCAACTTACATCCACATTACAAGATGCGATGGGCGTAGTGATTACTTGCTCTTTGGTTATGAGTTATGACAATGTAAACGGACTATTATTTTTATCTTTAACATTATTTTTATTCTGTTATTATTTTCATTTTCATGTTTGTTATTGTTTTGCAAAGTTTTGCATTGCTGCTACAATTATGATGGAAATTAACTCATTTTGTAATAAATATAATATATGCGTTATATGCTTGAGTACAGATCGTAAGCTTCGTCCTGCTGTGGACACAAAAATTATAACAAATATTTCAAAAATAAAGGTATTTGCTATTTTCTTTAAATTATATTTTTTATAGTAGTAGCAGCAGATAACAAAATACAGGGGCGGATCTACCCAAGGGCTTTTCAAATGATACATAGGGATTCAAGTCAAATAAATAACTCTGGACAATCCAGGGTTATTTATTTATTATTGTTGTTAATTTCTCTGTTTACAGTTTTCAGACACCTGTAATGTGTGCTGGGAGTGCAATGCTAATGTGAGAAGTATTGTATCATTTAGAAATAAAGTACTGAAGGCTCAGTCAATCATCAAAAGTCTGTTTAAAACTAGAATGGTTAGTACATTATCAATAAAATCAAATCAAAATATCTTTACTCATCATTATCATCAGCCCACTGCAGTCCACTACTGGATATAGGCCCAAGGCATACCACTGGGCACGATCTTCAGCCCATCTCATCCAGTACCACCCGCAACCCGGCATATGTTTACTATGCATTTTTTCTCAGGTAGGTCTATTACAGACTCTTAATATATGTCAAATTTACGATCTGAGAAGAACTGATAAGAATTTCAGTTCTAATTTTTTTCAAATGACCTTGTACTTGTTTTAAATTTTTTTAAATTTCATTTAGGGAGAATTTATCATCATCTTTAAGGGTCATACATACCCCATAAGATTATTACCGAAGTTCAATCTCAAAGGTTATGAGTACAAATTGTCAGTGTCAATATATATTCATATCATATGACCTCATAACAGTAGAGGTCCTAAGACAAGTGTCAAGGAAAGCAATAGTTCTGCTGACAATATTATTTAATGCTCTGCTTCGCCTAAAGTATTTCCCAATGCTCTGGAAGGTCTCTATAGTAAACATGATAGCCAAGCCAGATTAAACCACCTACCTATATAACATCATACAGGCCAATTAGTCTACTACCGCTGCTATCCAAACTATTTGAAAAGATAATCTATAAGCGGATTACACCAACTTTAGAAGAACAGTAGATCATACCAGAACACCAGTTTAGATTCCGATCTCAACATGGAATTACTGAACAGATTCATTGATGAACAGTTTCTACATGTTGGAAGTGGTCTGCTCTGTTCACTATAAATGTTTTATTTTCATACTCAACATATTTAGTATTAAGAATACATGCTATTTGGTAAATTGTATTCATGACAAGTTTAACTTCAACATGTAAAGTTGTACAATATTTAGTCAAAAGAGCAACAGACTTACTGAAAACTTCTGCACCAGAGTGTCTGTAAGAGAATGCTTTGAGCGATAAGGCTGTTTTTTGTTACCATACTTTTATATTAAGTTCTCTTTATTGCATAAAAACAAACAAATATTATAATTTGTTTGTTTTATGCACAGTAAAATTTATTATTATTATCAGGGATATTGGTTTATCAGCAGTTTCAATTATAATAGATTAAAAAATCAAATTTCAGGGTGAGACTCTTATACCGAGTCTGTCACAGCTGCAGCAAAGAAACATTGAAAATGTTGGAATAAAGCCACTAGATGCTGCGGTTCCAGATTTCATTTCTACCTTTCATCAGTCAAATCTAACATTACCTGGTATTGAAGAAAGAACAGAGTCATGTATAGCAGAAGAGGTGTCGTCTCATGGAGTGGAGATCAATGGAATTGATATTCCTGATGATGATGAAATATATGTTGTATATGTAGATAATGAAGGTATGGGTAAACTATAGCTGTAAGGTTTACAAAGGTAGATTGTATAATATATAATATGTACAACAATATCCTTGGACAATTCACACAACACTATCCAGTCCCAAGCTTAGCAAAGCTTCTGTTATGGGTATTAAACAACTGATATAAATACTTGGATTTGTTTTGTAAAAACATACAAATATTTGCACAATAGGATCGAATCGAACCTGCGATCTATGGAAATGGTGTGACTATCGAAGCTGTTAAAGTCACCTATGTCTTGTCTATGGATATGTCTTGCCTATTTCAGCCGCCAAACAGCTTGCTTTCAAAACTTTTTCGGTTTGAGGTGAGATATGAGTGAAATTATAGAGGCATGACAATTTAGTTATGAGGAATGGCTGCAAATAGGTACCACGGATGTCTCATGACAATGTTACAACTTACTATCATGACATTCATGGTTCTCCCCAACTTAAACAAAGGTGTCCCTCAAGGTACGAACTTTAGCCCTTCTCTCCCAGTTGTTACCCGCACATGACTTTCTTGGTTGTCCCCAACTTAAGCAAAGGTGTTCTTCAAGGCACGAACTTTAGCCCTTCTCTCTCAGTTGTTAGCCGCACATGACGTTCTTGGATGCCCCCAACTTAAGCAAAGGTGTTCTTCAAGGCACGAACTTTAGCCCTTCTCTCCCAGTAGTTACCCGCACATGACTTTCATGGTTGTCCCCAACTTAAGCAATGGTGTCCTTCAAGGTACGAACTTTAGCCCTTCTCTCCCAGTTGTTACCCACACATGACTTTCATGGTTGTCCCCAACTTAAGCAATGGTGTCCTTCAAGGTACGAACTTTAGGCCTTCTCTCCCAGTTGTTACCCACACATGACTTTCATGGTTGTCCCCAACTTAAGCAATGGTGTCCTTCAAGGTACGAACTTTAGGCCTTCTCTCCCAGTTGTTACCCACACATGACTTTCATGGTTGTCCCCAACTTAAGCAATGGTGTCCTTCAACGTACGAACTTTAGCCCTTCTCTCCCAGTTGTTACCCACACATGACTTTTATGGTTGTCCCCAACTTAAGTAAAGGTGTCCCTCAAGGGACGATCTTCAGCCCTTCTCTCCCAGTTGTTACCGGCAACCTATGCTATATACGTCGTCACTCCACTTAACTGCAGGCGGACCACACAGCACTTACCTATTTAGGGTCAACAACCTTCTCTGCAAGTCTTCAGCTAATTTGTTGTACAACAGATGACCAAACTACTCCAAATTTAGCTTGTAAATTACTTTACGTTCTGTGTTTTAAAAATACATAAATATTTTACAGGTGAAAATAATAATTCCAATGAAAATGAACATCGGAATATATACAGAGTAAGAATTATGGGTGAAGAAGAAATGATAAATGACAGAGAGAGTAGAAGAAAGAGCAGCAGATTTATTAAATGCACATTAAAGTGTGAGGAGTGTGTTGAAATATATTCCAATAAGAAGTGCCTCAATCACCATATGAAGAAACATGAAAAGGTATACTAAGTATGTAATTTTCTTTAATAACTTTATTCACCAATAGAAAAGAATGTTAGAAAAATTGAAAAGAAGTTTCTGTATATTGTGAACAGAAAAACAGAAGAATAACAGAGACAGAAGAAAATAAAGAGAATTATCTTAATAACTGTCACTATATACTGAATAAATGAAATCTTAGATAACACTTAGTTTTACACAGCACATAACATTTTAACAACCAGCATTACAATAATAATAATATTTCAAGACAATTCACACAACGCCATCTAGTCCCAAGCTAAGCAGTGTTATGAGTACTAGACAACTGATAAATATACTTTTTTTTTGTAAATACATACTTAATATATATAGAAAATACGCAGACTGATGCAAACAGTTATACTCATGAATAGAAATGATTGTACCGTGCGAGGAATCGGATCCGCAACCATCGGACGTAAAGTGGTGTGCTACAATGTTAACCATAACGGTCCAAGAAATTGACACCATTGAAAGCATCATGAGAGAGAATAATAATCAATAGCGACTGTTACCATTTACCATTAAGTGAGTAGTGATTTTTTTTGCCACTCCAATATTTTTTTTTTTCAGACTGCCGGTAAATTTGTTTGCCCCATCTGTACCCAAAGGTTTCTCGTTCAATCTGAATTAGAGGAACATTATACGACACATTATAGGTAAGAGAAAATTATAAATATAAAAATACTAGCTTTTACCCGCGGCTTCGCTTGCATTGAATCTATTAAATAACTTCATTACTGGCTGCTAGATGGCGCTGAAGTAGCAAAATGTTGATATTTTATTTTTTTCTTTCTATAAAAAGACACTTTTTTTTTAATAATAAGTATCTTATGTTTATTCTAATGCCTCCAAGAACGTGAGTACAAAATTTCATGATGATCGGTTCAGTAGTTTTTGCGTGAAAGCGTAACAAACATCCCTACTTTCACATTAATAGTAGTATTAGTAAGGATTTCTTCATATATAGAACTTTTCTGTCTCTTATAGTTGTCATATTTTTTATACCTATGCCTATATTTAATTTAATAATAATATCTCAGGACAATTCACACAGCGCCATCTAGTCCCAAGCTAAGCAGAGCTTGTGTTATGGGTATTAGATGTAAATACATGGATACTGGATATTTTTTTTTGTAAATAAATACATATTATACATAGAAAACACCCAGACCGATACAAACAATTATACTCATGAATACAAATGTTTATACCGTGCGAGGAACCGAACCCACGACCATCGGATAGTAAAGCGGTGCGCTAAACCACTAGACCACCGAGGCTGTCAATTATACTTTTTAATTAACAGAAAACAAAATAGTAAATATACATGATCACTTACAATTTACAATTGAACAGTTTACAATTGAATTAACTTATCCTTACTTAAGAAGTAGTGTTATATAAGTATATAGATTCGATTTAATATTTTATTTTGTTTTTTACTTTTTTTTTCGAACTTCGTGAATGCTGTTAACCATAGCTAGGATTTACACCTTCACCGGACGATAGGGGGCGAATGCAGATGCCACTCCAAACCAAAGGAAGGACTTATGGAGCGGCTGAAAGCTAACTACCGCCTGACAGATACGACTTTAGTCTGAGGGCACTGCTTCGAACCTCGGCTCAGGCTTCGTAATTTCGATCCCCGTTTGAATTGGACTGGCCATCAATTGGAGGGGCGACTGGGGACGTTGCTTTGGAGCGGTATGGTGTGGTTGAGGGTTTTGTAGTGGTCCAACTAAGTTAGTTTATATATAACAGGAGCTACCGGTGTGTCGTGTGCGAGCTGGAGTTCCACAGCGAGGAGCTGGTGGTGCGGCACCACCGCGACGACCACAGCCAGCACGGACACACCTGCCACGTGTGCCAGCGCCGGTTCCAGTCCGTAACTACCTCGGTTCTATTGTTACTCTAACACTTTCCATGTGGACGACCCACCAGATGGAAAGAGACATCGCCCGTATACATGAACAGCACTATACGATGCCACGTGTGCCAGCGGCGGTTCCAGTCAATACCTACAATCATATCCATGAATCAAATGTTTGCACCCTGCAAGAAATCGAACCCGCGACTATCGGATTAAATACAAATGTGACAAAAATATAGTGGTTTTTTATTTATACTACGTAGATGACAATCTACGTATGAAAGTTTTTTTTTATACCACGTTGGTGGCAAACTAGCATACGGCCAATCTGATGATAAACGGTTACCGTAGCCTATGGACGCCTGAAACTCCAGGGGTTTCACGTGCGCGTTGCTGACTTTTAAGAAACCTTAACCTTACCTATACCCTTCGTGATAACCCCATGATGTTGTCTCTCGAGAAACCTCGGCAGGTAGTTCATTCTTCAACCTTAGTGTACGAAGGAGGAAGCTCGTCTGAAACCACTACTTATTATATTTCTTAAATGAAGAGTACATTATTATTATCATGTTATCATCCTCGGTTCCATGTACAGATGGAATGGTGCGCCATCACGCCATCACGCCATCATCATCCAAATACCTATCTGTTCACAGAACGAAGAAACTGTATCAGTTACATCGGCGTAACAGTCACAAGGCTCGTAAAAAGTGCCCCATTTGTAAGAAGGTGTTAGGACCCAACGCAGACCTGAAGAAACATATGCTGTGAGTATCGTAATTGCTAATAATATATACATATAAATAATATTGGAGTGTCTGTTTGTAATATTGAAATAATCGGTTTTTCCCACATGCATATTAATATAAATACCCTACATACACCAAAATAACATTTTAAAATTTTTTTGTCTGTCTGTCTGTTTGTTCCGGCTAATCTCTGGACCGATTTTGACGGGACTTTTATTGGCATCTATCTGATGTAATAAGCCCGAGACTTCGTCCGCGTGGAATTTAACTTTATTTTTCTAAAATAAAAGTAGCCTAAGCCAAAAAACGTCGAGCCATTTCAGAGATTAGCTGGAACAAACAGACAGACAAAAATTGTAAAAAATGTTATATTAGTGTATGTACCGTATTTATATTCGTATGCATGTAGTAAAAAACGGTTATTTCAATATTACAAACAGACACTCCAATTTTATTTATATGTATAGATGTATATGCAATTAAATACATTTTTTGTTGTTATTCACATACCAAAAAATGTATTTAATTGCAATTTAGAATACATAGGAAACTTCGAGAAAAATACTCGTCAAAAATAATTTAGCTTTTTGACTCTACCCTGAAAGGTAAGCGAATAAGGATTAGAAATAGAAATAGAAAATCATTTATTCAAATAAACTTAATTTAAGCACTTTTGAATAGTCATAACAATTTGTTTTTTATCTACCACTCGTTCGGAAAGCTGTCTCATCACAAGAAGAACGAGCAAGAAACTTGTGTGTTGCTCTTTTAAATTATTTTATGATTATTTCTATTACAGTATCCACACGTCGGTAGTGTTCGAATGTAATATATGCAACAAGAAATACAGAAGCGAATCGGGGATTCGATTCCATAGACGGACGGCGCACCGCGAACAGGCAAGTGTTAGAGTTAAAGATCTTAAAAATGAAACTTCGGTTGTGTTGTCAAGGGTTTATTTTTAAGTAAAAAAAAACGAAAACTAACCACTTCGTTCACATTTCAAAATCAAGTCCCCAGTTCAAAGGAGTGGCGTTCTTTCTATAGACATCCATTGAGTAGTTTCTCAACTGATTTCGTCTAATAAGTGAAGTTAATTTAATATTCTTATAAAGTTTTATAAATATCTACATTATACAGGGTGTTCCAGAACTCAACATCAAGCAGAAACGGGGTAACAGTATTGATTGTAACCATCACGTGAAAAATCAGAAACAAATTTATCCCATGCAATTTGAAAATTATGGGCATTTAAGAAAAACCTAGAAATTTGGTCAAAATGTAACCATTTTTCGGTTGTTGTGGTTAATTTTTATTATTTTTGTTCATTTAAACTTTGGAACCGTAACCCTAAATAATATTTCTAGAACCACAATAAAAAATAATAACATAATTGCCCTAAGTTTTCTAGAATTAACCTGTATATTTATATCAGTTGTCTAGTACCCATAAAAGACGCTCTGCTTAACTTGGTACTACATAGCATTAAAAAAATATTGTTTTTTTTTCTATTTCAGAAAGAAGAAGACGCATACTGCGCGGAGTGTGATGTACAGTTTAAGGCTGAATATATATATAGGATGCATCTACGCACTAGTCTCAAACATAACACCGACGAAGACCTCAAGTAAGGCCGACAATTACTTATAAGAATAAGAACAACTGACAACCTAGGTGGTCTAGCGGTTTAACACACCGCTTTACATCCGGTGGTAGCGGGTTCGATTCTTAGTTCATTACTTTTTTAGTTCATGTTCTTACTGTGCATACGTTTTTTATTTAAAGTGTTCTTAGTTTAGTTTAATTTTAATGAGACGTACATACATATTTCGTTTATAATATGTATAGTAAATAGCTATATATAAAGTAATAGCTCCTTCAGCGAGTAAAGTTAAATAATTTATAAGTAACGCGTTATAAGTGTTAGAATTCACATCATTATTGTAGAAAAAATCAGATATTTTAAAAATATATTAAAAGAAGGTAGTTTGTTTTTAGTACTAATGAAGTACCCAATGTAAAGATTATTACAAATATTGTAAATAGCGCCATCTAGTATTTATAGACCGACCTACTACACTGACTTTGGTCTATAAATACGGAGGTCGGTAGTTCAATACTCCTCTTTCGTTGCGTGAGCCGCGGCATTCAGTCGACTAGCGCAGAGCGTGCCAGTTGTGTTTTGGATACTAAAGTGAATTGTATTAGAAATGGGTTTATTCCGGTCTTAGTTGGGCCTGGGGGGTAACTGCAAGTAGTGAAGGTGAGTGTTAATGCATTCTAAAAGGGCCTTTTAAACCTACACCCGTGTCACAAGCCACGGGCGCTACTTGGGGTTTCCCTTGCGGTAGCCGGCTTCAAAGCCTCAGTCGTCCACCATAAATAGTTATAAGGAGTAACTTAGGCTACTTTTATTTTTCTAAAATAAAAGTAGCCTAAGTTACTCCTTATTACATTATTGTCAAAATCGGTCCAGCCATTTCAGAGACTAACCGGAACAAACACACAGGCAGACAGACAAAAATTGTAAAAAAAAATATTTATATTCATATGCATGTAGTAAAAAACAGTTACTTCAATATTACAAACAGACACTCCAATTTTATTTATATGTATAGATTGTATTTATGTTTTGTTTGCAGACACAAATGTCCCCACTGTGACAAGAGATGCAAGTTTGCTTCTCTACTCAAACATCACATAGAGTCGGTACACACGAAGGAAATGATCTACTCATGCCAACTGTGCGACCAAGTAAGACCACTAATATCCTTCAACTTACCAACTAAATTAGATGACCTGAGGGGTCCCAATACAGGTCCGCTTTGGATGTCAATGTCTGAAAATGTATTTTAAAATTCAGTTGATTAATTTGTTCAGTATAAATTATCTTTTAGTATTCTAAGCATCTTAATGAACTTATAAACTTTTTTTAACTAAAACGGTTTTTCGATGTATCGATATTAAAACCCAATACAGGTCCGCTTTGGATGTCAATGTCTGAAAATTTATTTTAAAATTAATCAACTGCTTGTTCAGTATAAATTATCTTTTAGTATTCTAAGCATCTTAAACTCAATAATAAACTTACCAACTAAATTCGATGGCCTAAGAGGTCCCAATCCAGGTCTGCTTTGGATGTCAATGTCTGAATATGTATTTTAAAATTAATCAATGGTTTGGTCAATTTGAATTGTAACTTAGTATTCTAAACGCCTTAATGAACTTATCAACTTTTTTTAACTAAAACGGTTTTTCTATGTATCGATATTAAAACCTTCAAGAAAAGAGCTTATTCCTTCTTAAAAGGTCGATCGGCTCATATGCGCTAGTAATCACTTACCATCAGGTGTACCGCAAACTGACGCCTATAGGGGGAAAAGGGATTATTATAATGTGTACCCTGTCAGGTTGACCACACGGTTCCCCTGGAAACCACCGTGATAGAATCTGGTGAATTTGTTACTATGGTTTCCACATGGCGTTTGAAAAGCCCCACGCTATAGTCTCCCGAAAAAACCTCGGCAGGTAAATTTCCACGATAACTGTTATCGTGTAATTTTCTTTTGTGTTTCTTAATGTACACAGCTTACAAATTTATAAATGTTCGAGCTGTTGAAATAGACAGGTACACAGTTGAATTCGTACAAAGTTTTATTTGACTTTGTGACCTATTTCAGTCGTCAAGTAGCTTACTTTGTAAGTTACATCTGGTACATCTTCAGTAACTGTATATCGTTGCAGGCGTTCATACGTCGGCGACTGCGTGTTCTACGTCCGGTTGAAGCACAGGCGATGACTAATCAAGACCGAAGAACAAAATTTGCACCATCTGTTCTAAGGCGTTTGAAGTAAGTATTGTTTTGTTTCTTAATGTATTTTATTAACTTTATAAATGCGAAAGTTTGTTAGTATGGATGGATGTTTGTTACTCTTTCATGCATAAAGTACTAGGCAATTTTGATGAAACTTTACAGTAGTTTAGTTTATAGGTCGGAAAAAAACATAGGCAATTTAACAAGAAATTTTGTAAATTGGGCGAAATGTAATGTATAATGTGTATAAATGTCAAGAATGCAATGCAAACGAAATTGCGGGGGTCAGCTAGTATACTAACAGCTAATATATCTTACTCGATGTTACCTACAGATTATGACTTGTTGCTGTACCATTTTTTTTTTACTTTCATTTATCTTGATTTCATTTATCAGTCGCATAAACTATAAACAGACGAGGTGTAGAGTGCCAGTCCCAGCACATTAGATGGGACGTATGCTTGTTTGCATATTGTTATTTTTACACTATTTTAGACCATTTATGGTGATAGTAGTATAAAAAAACAAATTAGCCCCTCTTTCATTACATCAATTCACAAAAATGGTAATTTATTTTTTTCTGTCGTAAAGGGCACCTAAGTGCATTGTCATAAAGTTGACAATGGTCTGTTTCCAGACGAAGTCCGGGCTGCAGCAGCACATGAACGCGCACACGGGCGCGCGTCCGTTCTCGTGCTCGGAGTGCGCGGCCACGTTCGCGCAGTCGGGCGCTCTCTACACGCACCGCAAGCTGCTGCACGACAGGCACAAGCGACGGAAACCGGTACAGACCCGGACAGACCAGTAAACACGAGTTTACCGATGTAATCTATGTAAAAAGACGGTGAAGCTGTAAAGGCCAGATGCCAGCTCCATTAGAATAGTTCGAAAAAATAAAAATGGAAGACAGTAAATTTAAATGTTTTTATTATTTTTACTACCAAACTATTTCTTTTGATATTGACATCAAAATTTGTCGAAATAGACACCTCTTTAGAGTATTATGTTCCTTGTACACATATACCCACTAAAATGACAAGTGATGTGATTGATTTAATATGTTAAATTCAATAAAACAATATAAGTACTTATTTATAATATTTCCTAAAATTAGATTATTATAATTTTCAACAAAGTTGCGAGAATATAATAAAAAAATCACGATATATTCAATTTTGCTTTACTTACTGTTACTTTTCTGCTGTTTTACTTTTTTAAATCAGCGCGCTGCCTACTGGCTGGAGCCGTGCAGCGGTCACTTCGAATTTGATTAAAAACATAAAAATATTTGTTATGCACAAACGTGCATTATAAGCTTTTATATATAAAAAACCGGTGAAATTTGATCCAATTTACGAGCAAGTGTGTTGAAAAATAAATATATCAGATGGTTATAATTTGTACCTTGAACTAAATACATGTGGATTTGTAGATGGCGCCAATTCTTTTTTTTTTATTTACAAGAGGCTAGTGCGACGCCAATTTTAACAGCTGAGTTTAATACACAGATTATATATAACAAAATTATTGAATGTATTCTGTGGTTCAGCAATACAAATCTATCAGTCAAGCTGTCAATCGACAAGTTACAGGAATTCAGATTATTTCGAAAATAAAAATTGCTCTGTGACTGCAATTTTCGAAAAATATATAGAATTCTTGTTTATCTTAGAATTTCATATTAGTAATATTGAATAATTCAATTCTTATTTGAGAAACGGCAAATAACTTTTATCTACAAACAATATTTTTTCTATTTTATGAACATTATACTCTCATAAAGATATAATATTGTACATCTACCTAATTTTAAATATCAATTGCATTCTACGATATGAAATTTACACGAAATAATAAACAAATTAAAGTGAAAACTCAGTTATATTTTAAGCTGTATATACTGCCCTTAGCATCAAGTAAAGACTAGCTAAAAAAAATTAAGAAACTTCTGACTATTTGCAGAATTAAGGTATAGGAAATTAAATGAAGTGATAATGTATTCAGTAAAAGTGGAGTTAGATAGAAAAGACATTTGTCGCGGCTGCCTCAGTACAGACAGGCAAACAGCTTTAATAAAAAAGTATGCGGATTTATTCTTCAGCTTGTTAGGAGATCAGCAACAGTATTCAGTGAGTATATTGTCATTACTTTAAATTACATTATTATAAATTAGACTTGTGGATAAACAGAACAATAATATGTTAATAATAATAATAATCTCAGGACAATTCACACAGCGCCATCTAGACCCAAGTTAAGCTAGCTAAAGCTTGTGTTATGGGTACTAGATAAGTGATACATATACATAGTTTTTATTTTGTAAATACATACATATTATACATAGAAAACACCCAGACCGATACAGACAATCATACTCATGAATATAAATGTTTATGCCGTGCGAGGAATCGAACCAGCGACCATCAGTCGTAAATTGGTGTACTAGACCGCTGGACCACCAAGGTCGTCAGTAATACTTTAGTGTTGTAATACTGAATATTTCTTTAATTGGCCTTATTTTTAAGTACATATTATTTGTATATCGCTGTTGGTTTTCAAAATAAATAAAAAAATTACTTATTTTTTTCCTAAATAAAATCAAAAATAATTTATTCATGTAGAACATTTGAGCCACTTATGAGCAGTAAATTTTTCCTACCATCCAGTTCAGTATACAGATTAAATTGATTATTTCGAAAATAAAAATTGCTCTGTGATTGCAATTTTCGAAAAATATATAAAATTCTTGTTTATCTCAGAATGTATATTAATAATATTGAATAATTAAATTCTTATTCAGTTCAGTATACAGATTGAATTGAGAAGAACTAGCAAGAAACACGACTGAATTTCTTATTTTTTTTTAAAGACAGTTTATTTACATTTTGTACTTGATGATATCTGTCCTTAAATGAAAGTCCGGTGCATGATCAACTGTTGCCATGCACACCATCATTCAAGCAATCATTTCGTTAGTAATAGGCTTCGCTCAGTAAATATGTATATATTACAAACAGCACATGAATATGTACTGTCTGTAGTGTTGTTCATGTTTGCTATTTCAGTATTATAAACCAAATCATCAATGTTTGAATTGTTCATTTGCAGGATGCAAAATTATATTTATGTTGGGAATGCAGAGCGCTTCTGAAAGGGATCCAGAAATTCCAGGATCGTATTCAACATGCACAGTTTATACTGCAAGAATCACTTTTTGCACTGGTAAGTTTAAAAAAATAGAAAAAAATTAAAATCAACCTAATAGGCTATAGAATAAATTATAGACAAAATCAGTAACATATAGACAAAAAGAAGAAAAATAATATAAACTCAGGACAATTCACATTGTGACATCAAGACCCAACTAAGTAGAGCTTGTGTTGTTATGGCTACTAGACATCTGATACAAATACTTAAATTATTTTCTTTTTGTACATAGAAATCATTTGGACCAATATAATCACTTAAATTGATGAATAAATATAAGACAAATATTCGCAAGGAATAGAACCAATGACCATCAGAAGATAGGCAATGTGCTAAACTGCTAGACCATCATTCTCATGCTATATAATTTTCTTTTTATAAATACACACATTATATATCTAGAAATTATTCAAAATCACTATTGATGAATACAAATGTTGCCATTGTGTAAGGAATAAAACCTGCGACCATTAGAAGTTAGGCAGTGTGCTAAACTGTTAGACCATCATCCTCGTGCTATATTCTTTATTTGTATCATTTACCCCTGATTAATTAATTGATACTACTACAATAATTTTATTTATAGTTTTATGGTATACTAGCTGTCCCGCGCAACTTTGTCTATATTACAGTTACATGATAAATGTCATGTAACTGTAATATAGACAACGTGTAATATAGACACATAAATTGGGCGAAATATAATATTTCACCCAATTTACATAATATATTTTTAAATTATAGCCTATGTGTTATTCTAATGTGTAAGTTATGTTACTGTAAAGTTTCATCAAAATCAGTTCACTAGTTTTAGTGTGAAAGAGTAACAAACATCTCACAAACTTAGGTGTATATAATAGTAAGTCAGATAAAGTATTTAAGATTTAACAACATAAAAATGTCTTAAACATGAAAGTTTAAAAAAAACTACAATAATTTTGCTTTTAAATTATTTTCAGGGAAACATATCACTATCAAGTCTATCAAATTTATCAAAAATACAAAAAGATTTCTACGATGTCATTATAGATGAGGATGAACCAAAACCAATACAGGAGAACAACCTAGAAGAAGAAGTAGACAATTTAATTAAACAAGAGATAGACGACGTTGATGATTCCTTTCAGGATTTTAAAGCTGAAGACGACCCACCGGAATTCATAGACAATATAGTGCCACAGATAAAAAAAGAGAGTATAAAGAAACACTCTATAAAAAGGTATGAGAGTAAAGCGCGTGTGATCAAAAGTGATATAGATTTAAGTGATTCAAAAAAGTACTGGGTTAGAGTGTACTTGAATGAGACAGAAATAGAAGAATTATTAGAAAGAGACAACATTACTAGCAGTTACAAGAAGAAGCCTTATAAGTGTGAAGATTGCAATAAGGCATACAAGAGAGAGGTAGATTTTAAGAGGCACATTACATTTTCTCATCGGGACGTAAGTAATGGTTATTCTGTATATTTTTTTTGTACATATCTATACTCTATACATATAAATAAAAATGTAGTGTCTGTTTGTAATATTGAAATAACCTTTTTTAGTATATGCATACGAATATAAATACTGTACATACACCTAAATAACAATTTTACAATTTTTGTCTGTCTGTCTGTTTGCTCCGGCTAATCTCTGAAATGTCAGAAATCTGGCTGGACCGATTTTGACGGGACTTTTTTTGTAATAAGGAGTAACTTAGGCTACATTTATTTTAGAAAAACTCTTTTATTTTAGAAAAATAAAATTAAATTCCACGCGTACGAAGTCGCGGGAACAGCTAGTCTATAATAATAAGTCTTTATTTTATTTATTTAGTAAGTAAAGTAAATTAAATTGTTTCCTTCCAGCAATCGGCCCTCAAGTGTACAATGTGTAAAGTAAAGTTCACGTCGTGGCCGTCACTGGAGCACCACTGGAGGCGCCACAACGTGCACTACCGCTGCGTACTATGCGGCTGGCTGTCCCGCAGGCCGACGGCTATAACCGCACACAACAGACGAGTGCACTCGATGGTGTATGTTTGTAATACTTGTGATGCCAGGTGCCGGTGAGTGTTATCACTAGCTGACCTTGTAAACGTTGTTTGCTATATAAACAGGACGGCAATAACAGCACACAAGGCCCCCTCTGATCGATGCCCCGTCCAATTCAAACGGGGATCGAAATTACGACGGCCTGAGCCGAGGCTCGAACCCCTAGCGGTGTCCTCAGACTGAAGTCGACTGAACGTTCAGCCGCTCCATAAGTCTTTTCTTTAGTTTGGAGTGCCATCTGTACTCGCCATCATCCGGTGAAGCTGTGAAGGCCAGCTGCGACAAACAACATTAGAGTAGTCCGAAAAAAAAAAACCGCACATAATAGACAAGTGCACTCGGTGGTGTATGTTTGTAATACTTGTGATGCCAGGTGCCGGCGACTGTTTTATAATTAGCTGACCTCGCTAACTGTGTTTTCTTATATAAATAAGGGTTGATGATAAAATGCTGAAAATTTAAAGTTATATATTTTTTAATGCCACATTATAAAAAAATAAAAATATGTATGTTAGGAGTGGACAGGACAATCTTTATCACTTAGGAGTATGAAAAATAGATAGTGTAGTGTAATGAACGTAGTGTAGTATAGTAATCTACTCTGTATTGTTTTGGCTATCTCGTAGTAAACACGTGATTAATTAGAGACTGACTTAATTCATAATAGATAGTATGGAAGTATCTACACACGCGGTAGCATATCAAGCCAAGTTCAAGTAACGGAACTGGCGAGCAGCACAATGTGTAATATTACACGAACCATTTGGAGCTACTTTAAAACCCCTCATAACTCAAGAACTGTTTCATATAAATTTGACTCGTATATTTAGACTTGCAAGATACGAATGTGCTTCAAATTTTATAAACAAACTGTTATTTAGATATTAATCTGCGAAATTCGTCATTTTCATCACTGACTCAACTATAGATCAAAACTTTAACCCAGTTCCAGATGACCTAGAAAGTTCAAATTTAGCATGCAGATAGGTAATTAGGTGAATACGAAGGAATATATCAGAATCTTTTATGTTGTTATAAATAAATTTCAGGACAGACCATTGAATTCGGCACCCATTTAGATCTCACTTTTTTTGTCGTTGAAGTCAGCAACCAAGGCATATATCATAATATTGAACTTGGCTCTCATTTCACATTTATATTTTTGATGGGATTTTTCAGTTGTCTAGTGCCCATAACACAGGCTCTGCTTATCGTAGGACTAGATGGCCCTGTGTTAATTGTCCAAAGTTATTTATTTATTTAATAGATTTATTTACTGCGCCGCAATAGAAAGTTGTCTTGTTTTTAAAAAGAAAAATAATATACCTATTTCAGTACTTTGAGGGAGTTTAGCAATCATTACAAGGAAGTCCACGAGCGGATCATTTGTGACCACTGCGGTAAGAGCTTCATGAAGAAACGAACTCTGGAGAAACATATAAAGTGAGTTTAATTACCTTTAAATTTTTCATGAAATAATCTTTATTATAAACTTAATGTAAGCACTTTTGAATAGTCAAGTTTTTTTATTCTAGCGCTCATTCGGAATTCAGACTCATCACAAGAAGAATGAGCAAGAAACTTGTGTGTTGCTCTTTTAAATAAATATTGTTTTAGTTATATTTACATTAACAAGGATTAGGTATGCGAAAATCAACATAGAAACCGCTACGCTCTTAATCTCTGTTCAATATAATTATTCTCGCTCTCTTTCTTTCTCTCTTCCAGACGTAACCACTTACCAGCAACCTGCCACACCTGCGGCAGAACGTACGCTCATTACCACGTCCTAGAGAACCACTACAGGATGCACCATCCGGAGCTAATCCGCGGCGACACGAGGACAGAGCTGGCGTACTGCGTCGAGTGTGACAAACAGTTTCCCACGGTATACAAGTATAGGCGGCACCTGGCGACGGCCGCTAAACATACACCGCCCAAACCTGTCAGGTGAGTCTTTTTTAATAAGTCGTCTCTCAGAGAACTGAGATAAAGTTCATCGTCATCTTTTATATATACATTAAGAATAAAACATACATATAACATATATGTATATGCACAGGTGCGTGCACAATTACATTATCATCATAAAAAAACAAACAATCATGGTCATGAATACAAATATTTGTAAAACAAAGTTTGAAGCAGTTATTTTTAATAGATAGAGTGATTCAAGAGGAAGGTTTTTATGTATAATACATGTACACCCGTGCGAAGCCGGGGTGGGTAGCTGGTAGAAATTAAATTGAAGAGTAAGATTGTAATTTCAAATTAACAGCTTTTCACTATATGAAAGTATATATGGTACTTACTAATGGATGAAAATGTATTAATTTACTTCAGGATTCCATGTCCGGAGTGTGGCAAGGTATTCGCACGCAAAATCCGCATGACCAACCATTATAGGTCGGTGCATATGAACAACACGAAGCACAGATGTGATATATGTAATAAAGTAAGTGTTTTTTTTAATAACAATAATAATATCTCATGACAATTCACACAGCACCATCTAGTCCCAAGCTAAGCAGAGCTTGTGCTATGGGTACTAAACAACTGATATAAATAAATGGCTGCATTTTTTTTATTAATAAATACATATTGTACATAGAAAACACCCAGACTACAACAAATGTTTGTACCGTGCGAGGAATCGAATCCGCGACTATCTAATAGGAAAACGATATGCCAAACCACTAGACCACCGAGGCTATCAATAATAATCATGGACCTTAAATAATCACAGGGCAATCCACACAGCGCCATCTAGTCCCAATCTAACCAGAGCTGTGTTATGGGTACTTAGAAATTAGTAGAAATAGTAGAATTGTGATAATAATAACTATAGACTATTCACCAGCGCCATCTACTCCCGATCTAATCAGAGCTGTGTTATGGGTACTTAGAAATAGTAGAATTGTGATAATAAGAACTATAGACAATTCACCAGCGCCATCTACTCCCGATCTAATCAGAGCTGTGTTATGGGTACTTAGAAATTAGTAGAAATAGTAGAATTGTGATAATAAGAACTATAGACAATTCACCAGCGCCATCTACTCCCAATCTAAGCAGACCTGAGTCATGGGTACTAGACAAATTATGTAACTACACATTTTTTTCTTCACTCTTCAATTTTGCAAAATCTACAGACTTTTGTTGTGCATAGGCCTAGGTTTGATATGTTTGTTCACTTTGCAATGTCCTTTGAGGGCCCTAGTCACGATGTAGTAAAATGATACATGCTGCGTAAATAGTTTATATGATTACTAGCTGTACCCGCGACTTCGTCCGCGTGGAATTTAACTTTATCTTTCTAAAATAAAAGTAGTCTAAGTTACTCCTTGTTACATCAGCTACCTGCCAATTAAAATCCCGTCAAAATGGATCCAGCCATTTCAGAAATTATCCGGAACAAACAGACAGACAAAAATTTAAAAAAATGTTATATTGGTGTATGTACCGTATTTATATTCATATGCATGTAGTAAAAAACGGTTACTTCAATATTACAAACAGACACTCCAATTTTATTTATATGTATAGATTATTGTACGGTGTTTAGTACTATATTGTATTCTTGATGGTCCAACAGACGTTCTGTTCGGCGTACTCGGCACGGACGCACCGGCAGTACGTGCATGAGAAGATACCGATGCCGAAGAACAAGATGTGCGACATATGTGGACGGGGTTTCAGTGTGAGTTTATGAATCTTTATATATATATCTCTTTAATTTTCTTGTTAACAAGAAATTAAATCAATATCTTACTAATGTTATAAACGCAAAAGTATGTGAGTATGGATGGATTGTTTGTAACTTCTAATAACAGTAAAAACTACTGAACGGATTTTAATGAAACTTTACAATAATATGTCTTATACATCGGAATGTATGTACATATTATAAATACGCATAGGCTATAAATTTCAAGCAGGTGAAACCGCGTGCTTGTATTATGGGATTACATATTAGACAACTGACATAAGTACTTAGATTTTTTTTGTAAATACATATATAATAAACCTAGAAAATACCCAGACCGATACAATCATACTCATGATTACAACTGTAATAGTTGAAAAATAAGTATATCTAGTTTGTCTTTTCATTTTATATATTTTTCTATATCTAATAATTAAAAAATAATATATCTACAGACAAATCGGATCCTTACAAACCATCGAAGAACTCACACAGGCGAGCGTCCCTACAAATGTACATACTGCCCAGCCACATTCGCACAACGGACAGCTATGAAGACCCATGAAAAGACTCAGCACAAAAATCTAGTCTATACCGCATCTTAAGGACTTAATCCTATACGCCCTATGCCTTAGGAGCACAAAAAAACGTTTTGTTTATGCTCGACGGACGCCATTATGAATTTTGGCGGGAACTAGTAGTAAATATGAAAGGAAATTTGTTAAGGATAACATGGTGATCCAGTGCTAGAGAAATTTATAAACATTTATATGTATATAATGTCTAAAGAAATATGATTGATGAAAATATAATATCAGAATTTTACCGAAGATAATAAAAGCTGAATAAAAAAAAGATAAAGCTGTATGGGCTGAGACCCTTCCCATAGAAAATACCGAAATGTTTGTTTTTTATTTTTTAAAGTCTTGGCGGCGCGACCAATAACCATGTAAAGTACTTTTATTAGCACTGTATATTTTTGCAAATATTGTTCAAGGTTCTTTGCTCGTACAAGTCCCTTGTACGAGCAAAGAACCTTGAACACCTTGAAATTGAACCTTGATACGGAAGTGGCAGATGAGTATTCATTGCTCTGTGCGCAGTGTATGAAACAGACAATGATTGTTTACTTTTTAATAATGACCGTTGGGCACAGATATTTTTATAAAGTAGTTATAAGCAGCTTAGGGTCACAGAATGTACCTATAAATGAAATTTATTTAATTTTAATTGTTATACTGTATTATTTTATTATGTAATAAAGTAATATAAATACTTGATGATGTTGTAATAATTATACAAAAATACTAAAGGTAAGATAACATAGTGGCTTATTAAATTAACGGTACTGGCAGTCATGCCTTTAGGCCATTTATTGGTATGTGGCAATCGTCACCTATCGTCATATACATGAATAGCATCGTGATATCACGTCATCATGTGATAAACTATACGTCCTGTGATTAACATATTACGTCTCCGTTACCTGTTATATCACTGCCGTATCTCACCCTTTAACTAAAATAGCGGGGGAAGGGGTATGTGGATTGTTGACCCCATGGTAACATTTCGCGTCGGGTTGATGTGGTTGCCCTGGAAACCATCATGATATATTCCTGGTAAATTGGTCACGATGTGCTAACGAATCTGACCTGATGGCCATCTTATCATCCTCCACTGAGGCCCCGCTACCGTTAGCACAGGCGAGTGTACCATTAAATTATCATCCATTAGAAAAACATAATGTAACTTGTAATGCGGCTGGCTGAAATGAGTGAGACTTAGCTACCCAAGCACAATATAGGATAAATTATGTACACAAAATATACCACTGTTAAATTTTATATGTTGCATACTAAACTGGATCTTGTGACTGAACAGTTTGTATGAACATAGACGTTATTTTCTATTTTCTACTTTGCTTCTATGGAAAAATTGTCCAATAATACTTGAATTTTATACCTTTAAGAATTGCCAGAGTTAGTTAATTAAAGGATGATAAAAGATCGCGAAAAGTGGCAAAACCGCCACCGACAAGACCGTGACTTTTAAATTAAGAATGAATATAATTCGCGCTGTGCGGTGAAATTTATAAAAAAAATAAACAACAGTGAAAATATCATATTTAGTTTTATTTAATTATTAAAATATTTATAATACATTATGTAATTTCAGCCTTATATTATATATTTCTATACATTCTACATATTATCATTAATATAATGAAGTTATGTACTATATATTTATAGTGACGTACATACATACATTTTTTACATTTCCAAATAAATATATACAAATTATATTGACTGCCTTAGTGGTCTAGCGGTTTAGCCTTACTACTGATACTAGCTGATTCGATTCCTCACAAGGTACATACATTTGTATTCATGAGTATGATTGTTTGTATCGGTCTAAGAGTTTTATATGTATATATAAAAAAACTTTAAATATTTCTGTGTCGTTTAGTATCCATAGTACAAGCTTTGCTTAGTTTTGGATTTAAATGTTAAACTGAATCTAGTATTGTAGAGATGTACAAGCTCATTTGAAAAGAATAAGAGCTGAGTTTCTTGTCAGTTCTAAAGCACTTCGAACTGACGGGAGATTTCACATATAAGAGTCTGTAATGGATAAATTGTCGTGGGTTATTAGAATAGAAAATAATTTATCTAAATAAACTTAATTTAAGCACTTTTTAATATAATTTTATTATATTTTCTAAGTTAATGGTCAAGGGATTGGTTATAAAGCAAAATCCTAGGAGCGCCACTTCTTCCCTCCGTATGTAGTAAAATAGAGTAGGATTGAAGTCACGATCTTCCGGACCAGTTACTAAACCACTAGACCATGACATTTGTATCGGATACATAATTTTAACTCAGTATATCTATTTTCACAATTTATAAATATTTTTTTCTTTCATATAAAATTTCATTTACAATTTGTAAGTTTCATTTAAAGATTTAGTTTCAGTTTCTAATAACATTTGTCAGCAACTTTATTACATAATAGCATGGTTTATATTGCAATATTGTTTCATAAAAATCACCAGGATTTAGAGTTATTAAAATAATGTTTATTTGAAAAGAATACGAGCTGAGTTTCTGGTCAGTTCTTCTAATCTCGAAATCATTCCGAACTGACGGTAGATATGACATATCATAAGAGTCTGTAATAGACCTATATGAATAAAGATATTTTGAATTAGCATTCGACTTTGTTTTTTTAATAACAACTAGCTGCACCCGCGGCTTTGTCCGCGTGGAATTTAGCTTTCTTTTTATAAAATAAAAGCAGCCTAAGTTACTCCATATTACATCAGCTACCTGCCAATAAAAGTCCCGTCAAAATCGGACCAACCATTTCAGAGATTAGCCGAACCAAACAAACAGACAAGTTTTAAAAATGTTATTTTGGCATATGTACCGTATTTATATTCATATGCATGTAGTAAAAAACGGTTATTTGAATATTACAAACAGACACTACAATTTTATTTATATGTAAAGATAATGCTGTTCTTGTATAAATTCTAAACTTATAATGAAAAGTTTAGATACCATAGAATTTAGAGCCTCATAAAATAATCTATTATTTTTATAATATTGACAATGACACGAGTCATATCCGTGCATGACGTCCAAGTCATTCGAGTGTCAATTCGAGTCTCGATCGAATTGGTAGAAATGGTCATTTTTAAGTCTTTTATATAGGATCAAGAAACTTCTATAGTAATAGGATTTTTTGATCACAAAAAATGTCGTGTGGAGGGTTGGTGACTATGGAGAGAGAATAGAGAGAGCCCCGCGTGTATATTTCATATTTTAAAAAATAAGACCAGAATCAATTATTTTGGACTGAAAGATAGACTGGCGTGCACGTAAAATAGACATAGAAGATGCCGAGGTCGCTGTCCACGCCGGCGAGGACGGTGTCGAGTGTTTCTGTGTGATAGTGAGTAAGATGGAAATAATGTTGATTTGTCTGATGTGTGAAATGTGAAAGTGAAACGTATGGGTTTTGATCTTTAATATTTAAGGGTGTTTTTTTTTCTGATTTCTTATATTGAAGTCAAACCCTATATGGGTTTGACTTCAATATAAGAATCATACATCATACAGTAATGATACTTTATCATCATCATACAGTAATGATACTTTATCTAGTCTATCTAGTAAACCTCTTTACTAGGGTCATATAAAATTTAGAAGGTAAGATATATTGGGAGGGACCTGGTGATCCAAGACGCAGGAATCTCTGGATACCTAGAACAGTTACCATTTCCCCACAGGTTTGTATTTTATCATTACCTTTTTATGCCCAAATAGCTCTGTTACACTGTAAATCCTATAAATAGAGAATCCTCCTTAGTGGAGAAAAATAAATATGATTATTATTATTATTCTCTCTCATTGGCATTGGGTATAATTTGATTAACCATTTTCTTAATTGTAGGCTATGTTCTAATTAATATAAATCTTAATAATAAACTTATATTATCTTATATATATTTAAATAATATGATAAGTCAGCCTGTGACCATTAACTTAATTATTAACAGATCATAATTATTATCACACATTAGTTAAAAAAAATTAAAATCCAATATGACTAGAAATGTAAATAACCATTAAATAAAATAAAAAAGGATGTATTGTCAATAAATAAACATTTTAAATTATAAAGCAATTCAATAGATTCATTTCAATATACATATAATTATTCTGTATGTTACCCAACTGAAAGGGATGGTTCGATTTTGATAAAATTTTGTGTACATAATCAATATATCCAGATAGATGACAGCAGAATTGTACCTGGTAGGTAAGTAGTGACTTTAACATCAATTCTTGATACTGACGGTTCTAGGTAGCAAACTTTGAATATAGGTGAGCACAACAGATTTCAATTCAGACAATAGCCCAAAACCCTGAATAAAAAAAAATTACTAAACAATTAATATAGCGCCATGTAGTCCCACGGTAAGCAGAGCTTGTGTTACGGGTACTAGACAACTGATATAAATACTAAATTTTTTTTTTAAAACATAAGTTACATAGAAAACATCAAGATAGATACAAACAATCATACTCATGAATACAAATGTTTGCACCATGTGAGGAATCAAACCCGCAACTATCAGAAGCAAAGTGGTGTGCTAAACCTCTAGACCACCGAAGCTATCAATGGTATGAGTGTATTAATTTAATAGTAGTATATTTACAGATGAGTGAATTTGTGTCATTTACTGTTACAATGATTATTTACATTTTTAGATTTTACTGTAAATAAATATAACTATTAGTAAGATACGGGTGGCACCTGAGGCATCATATTAGTATATACACACTGGTTTTCCAACGGTTTCATTTGCTGCATCTGCGGATGGGGCATCACATTTGGTACGGGCTGTACAGGCACAGGATTCGGCTCTGGAGGCTTCTTATTCTTCTTCTCACACTTCTTGAACTTAATACCAAGCTTATTCAATAAAATCAACCGTAGAGATTCTTTACCACCTCTATAATTCAATTCGTGTTTTGCAGCTGCTAATATTTTCCCTAATGTAGGAACCTCTTTTCTTAATGAGTAACTATTCACGATACCCCTTAAAGCACATAATTGGAAATAGTCAAGTTGAACTTTAGTTTTTCTTATCCGTTTCTTCTTGGGGCCAGCCATTTTTGTTTGTGTCTCTTCAGCGCGGAGACCGTCCCTCTTTATACGTTTTATAGTACTTTCTGAGAGGCCTGTCGCCGCGCAGGCCCTTTTCACAACATTTTCCACGGGAAACGCGTAACCTCTACTTTGTTTCTCACTTTCGAAGAATTTTATAACCTTAAAAATTATTTCCCGCGCTTGGCCCTCTATTGCCTCTTTCTTTTTTTTCTCCAATTTTGGTTTTCTATCATTACCAGGCAACGGCGGTGGCTCCGAATGATGAGTTGTGTTTACTGTTTGCACGGCTGCATTTGTGTTCGTTATTATATGTTGTTGTTGTTGTTGTTGTTGTGGTTGCTGGGGTTGCTGGGGTTGTTGTGGTTGCTGCGGCTGATGCATAGGAACTAATAGATTCAAAACTGGCACCTCTACCTCATGAAGTTGTTGATGGCTAATGGGAACTCCATGGGTCGTCATTATGCCGTTTTATAACAGTATAAACCGCTACTGGTTACGTGACACTCGCACAATTCATTTAAAACACAGTCTCTGTACTCGATTCTTCAAACAATTCATTGAAATAACTAAGAATTAGCAACAAAAATATATTCTTGAAAGAAGATCAACAGATCAGACGCCATTTGTCGTACATGTCGTATTTTTTTTTAAAGTATTAGAGCACAGATTACTAATATCCGTGAATATCCAGAGACGCTATATACGTATAGGAGTGTGATGATAATGAGGGTCGGATAAGAAATGTTTTTTTATATTTAATTTTATCACAGAATTTTACTTTAATAAAAATTTTGAATATAGTATAAACATAAGATTTAAGAGCAGTGATATGAAATATATACTAAAGTAATAATATACATAACCTTCACATAAAAATTGCTTATGCAATGTGTAAAAGTTCTTAAATAATAATACGTATATAAATAAATAAAATAATACATATATATATATAATATTACAGCATTACAAAAAAAAATGTCTGGCTATGATAGCTCATGTTATAAGATATTAGGTATCGGTTAGTAAAAATTTAATTTATTTTAGAAATTCTATAAAAAAAAATTAAAATCAACGCAAACGCCGAAAAACAGCGAAAAATAGCCGGTAATAGAGAGTAATTAATAATAATACGAAATGTTCGCAGTATAAAAATAGTATTTTCCTTATAGTTTTAATATCCAATTTTTAAAAAAAAGTATATGGTCATGTCATTACTACAGTGACAATGACAAAGTGTTTTTGTTTTGTTTTGTTATAAATTATTTTATTGTCCAGGAGCTAACCGAACGTATTTTCTTACTATATTCTCATTACAATTATAAATATTTATTTTATTATAATGTTAGCACCGATAGATAAGTACTATGAATTATTAAAAAATAATTTAGGTCCGGATTTGAAACAAAACTACACGAATGAAAATAGGGTATGAGAATGTTTTAAAATTATAATATTTTATCTATTCATTATTATTGTATTGATTAAATTTGTAATTATTGTTTCAATACCATATAATAATGAGTGTTAGAATTGTTTATTTTTTGTTTATAATTGATATATTTATTAAATTAAATGTATGAAAACTTATTATTATAAATGGTATAGTCAAGTATTTGCTTTTAATTTCTTTTTCTAATCTCAAGTTGACAGTAACTTTCTGCTTTAATAATTAAAAGAAAAATTAAAACATCAAATATGCTTCTTAAACTTTAAATGACTTTTTTCACATTATTATTATTCCTTTTAGAACCTCCTCATATGTTGGGAATGTCAGATTATATTTAAAAAATTTAAGGATTTCTTGTCAAAACTGAAAAAAGCGCAAATCTTCTTTAAAAAAAAATTGAATGAAAATAGACAGTGTTGAAAGAAAATGAGGTAAGTTAAATAAATCCTATAATTTTCTTATATTTACATTTACCACAATATTGGCAATCAAACATACAGCTAACCTTATGGTTAGAGGAGCCTATTTCAATTACTCATCTTTCTATTTCAGTGTATAAGTTTGCCAACTTTAACAGCAACAACCAAACTTAATTTTGATTATTCCTACATGTATGAATTAGACGCGATAAAAATAGAAAAAGCAGAAACAGTATCAAATAAATTTGTAAGTGATATTGAAATAATTGTTGAATGTAAAGCAGAAATTGATAAATTAGAGAATTACAACAACACTGGTAATGCTCTGGAGGATGGCCAACATTCAAATATAGAAAATGACAATTTCAATGATTGGATTGATACTGAATTAGTAAATTATGATAATGACATTACTAGTAATAAAAACATTGTTGATGATGTAAATAGAGAAAATACTACAATTAAAGAGGAAATTAGTGGTACAGACAAAACTGAAGACAAAGATTTTATTAAAGTATTACAAACTGAGGTGATTGATGTAAATATAAAAAGGAAAAAATCTCATCTTAAAATACCCGAACCACAAAGATATAAAACTGTATGTATATCAAATTATAATATTAATGAGAGTAGAATGAGATTTTATAATAGAATTCCTATTAATCATGATGAAGTTCAGTTTTGCCTAGATAAGGAAAAGAATAGTAAAGGTATTAAAGGCAAAAGGAAGTTTAATTGTGAAACATGTGTTGGTTTTGAGGTGGAAAAACAACTTTTACAGCATAATGAAGAGTTTCATTCAGTAAGTTTAAAATTTTTTAGAATAACCTGAGTTTGTGTTATTGCACTAGACAACTGATAGATTTTTTTGTATATACATGTATAATACATGTTGACTAAGGGGGAAAGAGATTATAAGTAATGTGGAGTAATAACCCCATTGCTAACAATGTATTGTGTCAGGTTGATCTCCATGTGGTTCCCCCTGGAACTCATGGTAAATGGTGATTTGCCAAGATAGGTTAACTGACCTAACTTCATGTTTATTTCATTATCCTCCACTGCTGCCACGCCTGTGTAAACCGTTACCATCATTGTCTATATAAAGAGCATCCAGACAAATACCAACAATCCTACATTTGTTGTTTGTTATTGAGTTCTTTTGTTGTTAAATATTAAATTTAATTACTTATCTTTTTTAAAACTTGTAAATCATTGTTTGTTCTATACTGATTTCAGGATAAAAAGCATTATGCGACATGTGTGGTATGAGACTGGCGACGAATTCAGTAATGGCTACACACTGCAGTGAACATTACTCGAAATTAAAATGCGTACTTTGTAACTACACAGCTTGCAGAATGTCGGAGTTTGATGATCACATAATAAGCGTTCACCATACTGTTACCAAATGCTTGATTTGCAGAGCGATATTTCCGTAAGTTAAAACTTAATATTTCATAGTAACTAAAATGATGATGATGATGATAATGATGATGGTGGTGATGATGACAATGGTGATTCTTCACGAGGTACTTCATGGAGACAATTGTTTATTATAGTACTGTCAGTGGCACTCAATGAGGAAGTAGCCATTATTATTGCTAAAAGTTGCATATAGATGGCGTGATTGGTATCGATGGAATTCTTCATAGTTTTGCAAACGTTTTAAAAAACAAAACTGTGTTTTCAAAAATGTTTAATCAATTTTTAAAAAGTTATATATACATGTTAAAATGAAATAATGCGTTTAGAAAAGTAATTTTCATATATTTCCTCATTTTGTTATTTTCCAGTACTTAATTACACTTTAATCAGTGCTAATATGGGGCTCAATGTTTTCAAAATGCTTTCATAGATGGCATTGTCGTCATTTGTATCGGCCTAATTAAATGTCTTTTTTATATTTTCCAATAATAAGCACTTAATATATTATTATTGTAAATTAAACATATAAAAAATTTTTAAGTAAATTATAAATAGCCGAACAAGCAAGTAATACTATTTCCAATAATACTTATGTATGAAGTGTTGTCATATTAAAAATAAATACATGTATTATCGATTTTTTTGAATAATCGATAACAGGATTTTATTACAGCGCATTATTCGATGATGCTTTTAATGAGTCGTTGTGAACAGTAAATTTTCATTATTTTGTATTATAGCAGTGTTCCGTTTCAAAGAACGGAATATAGTAGTACATTATTAGTGTCGTTGGTTATTTACATTTATACTGAAAAATCGATTACATAATAATTTAAAATATCGAGTACGAATCGTAGCTGTCTTCGAATACTGGCAACTGGTAAGATTAAAATAGTATTTAAAAAAAAGAGAGATATCGACCCTAACTCGAATACCATAAAGTTGATTTTCCTTTCTCATTAATATCATAGCAGTTTGTTTTTAACTTGCGTATGACTCTGTGGTATGATATTTAACGTGTATTGTTATTGTACGGTGCATACATTTCAAAAATTATATTTTAATGTAGGTACATACATTTCTTTCATACATTTCATACATGTCAAAAATTATCTTTTAATGTAGGTAAACACATTTCTTTCATACATTTCATACATGTCAAAAATTATCTTTTAATGTAGGTACATACATTTCTTTCATACATTTCAAAAATGAACTTTTTATGTAGGTACATACATTTCTTTCATACATCTCATACATGTCAAAAATTATCTTCTAATGTAGGTACATACATACATTTCTTTCATACATTTCATACATTTCAAAAATGAACTTTTTATGTAGGTACATACATTTCTTTCATACATCTCATACATTTCAAAAATTATATTTTAATGTAGGTACATACATTTCATACATGTCAAAAATTATCTTTTAATGTAGGCACATACATTTCTTTCATACATTTCATACATTTCAAAAATGAACTTTTTATGTAGGTACATACATTTCTTTCATACATCTCATATATTTCAAAAATTATATTTTAATGTAGGTACATACATTTCATACATGTCAAAAATTATCTTTTAGTGTAGGTACATACATTACTTTCATACATTTCAAAAATTACATTTTAATGTAGGTACATACATTTCTTTCATACATTTCATACATTCCAAAAATTTCATACATTTCAAAAATTATCATTTAATGTAGGTCCTTACATTTCATACATTTCAAAAATTTCATACAATACATTTCTTTCATACATTTCAAAAATTATCTTTTAATGTAGGTACATACATTTCACACATTTCAAAAATTTCATACAATACGTTTCTTTCATACATTTCAAAAATTATATTTTAATGTAGGTACATACATTTCGTACATACATTTCTTTCATACATTCCAAAAATTTCATACATTTCAAAAATTATCTTCTAATGTAGGTCCTTACATTTCATACATTTCAAAAATTTCATACAATACATTTCTTTCATACATTTCAAAAATTATCTTTTAATGTAGGTACATACATTTCACACATTTCAAAAATTTCATACAATACGTTTCTTTCATACATTTCAAAAATTATCTTTTAATGTAGGTACATACATTTCATACATTTCAAAAAGTATCTTTTAATGTAGGTACATAACACCCCATGTCAGACCCCTTGTATTTGGAAGAAACTTAAAAATAATGCCAAAAATATTAGATGAATATATTTTTAATACGAATATTGTTTTATTTTTGTTCATCAACTTTATCCCTCACTAACAATACTAGTAGTAGTACATAACCTGGTTTATACCGCTAAAGATATTGAAAGATATACGAGTAATTCAGAATGTTATCAAGTTCAAAATAAGCACACATTACTTGCTTAGATAACAGAGTAATATTACTCGTAATAAAAACATTTGTAACACCCATATGTATACTACGTATGTATAGTAAGTACTTACGCTGCGGCGCCGTGAGACTCGTCTACCTCATCTACTCATCTACATATATTTTCAATGTAACATTATAAATAAATAAAAAATTGTCCATAATACAAAAAAATATTTTTTCGGGGTAGGCCACCCCTATGACTTAGGGGTATAAAAAATAGATAACAACCCTACCTCAGACCTGGCAAGTATACATATCAAATTTCATCAAAATGTGGGAGAAATATGGCAACTAACACTGTGATACAAAATTTATATATAAGATATAGCGGAATTCTCATTAGGTAAAAGAGGGGTACATCGTAGAATACATGAGGTATATACCAGTAAATTAATTGTAGCTAAAATCAGTCTCATACATATAACGATTGAAATAAAAAATCGTATAGCCCGATTTTGATACGTACGAGTATAAACGTATCAAAATCAGGCTATACGTATAGCGCAGACGCGTTACAACATATCAAAAAAATAGGCATGGAATGTAAAATAAACCATAACATAATAGGTATATACATTGGCACATAAGCCATATCTGCAGAGTGTCGGCTAACGATATTATACCTACACATTTACATTGAATCTTGAATCGTCCCTAATGAGGTACACGATACAGTTACCTACATATCTATTATATACATATCTTTGCAAAACAGATGTCATGTAGACTGAATTGACTGCCATCTATTTTCATGCTTTGTTACTAAGCACCCACTAGTAATCCGAACTGCTTCAGATCTAGCGACATCTAGCGGCTACGGTGGCGAAATAAAATAGCCCGAGTTAGGAAGGAACCATTTTCTTGTATGGGATGGGGTATCTGTATGTAATATTATGTTATCTGTGGTACTGTATATTTTTTATGCAACTGATGATAAACAATTATTGTGCCTATGGATGCCTGAAATACTAGGAGCGTCACATGCACATTGGAGACCCTTAAGAAACCGTAATATACCAATGCTGTAGTCTCTAAAAGAAAACATTGCACCATGCGAAGAATCGAACCCGCTACCATCGGAGGTAAAGCATTGTGAACTTACACAAAGGTATATCTGCGATTACTGCGGAAAGAAATGCACCAAGAAAAGTTTTATTGAGAGGCACATGTAGTACGTATTCCTGTATTTTTTAATTATTGAATCTTTAGTGTATTCCACGGAATTAATAGGAATTTTATGATTTTGCGCCCCCTCCCTCGTCCTCATCATAGCCGGTCACGTTTGTAAAACTCCCCGCTTGCAAGAGATGGCATGTATTATCACACTAATACAAATACAAAATGTGTGACGTCACAGGGGAACGTCATGTGGGGGAGAGTTTTACAAATCTGCCCAGCTGTGTTAAAAAAAAAGGGGATCGGGTAGGAAACTAATAATTATTATAATCCTAGCAAAATTCACACAGCGCCATCTAGTCTCAAACTAAGCAGAGCTTGGGTTGTGTACTAGATAACTGATATAAATATATAAATAAGTTTAAAAAATACATACTATGTATAGAAAACACCCAGACCTTATCCACATTAGGACAGGATAATATCTGTCGGGTTGGTTACTTACCAAATAAAATTTGTATAGTTTTCTCTTGCTTTTCAATTATTATAATGAATAGACAAAATCAAAATTTTTGTAAGTAGCCAACCCAACAGACATTATCCTGTCCTAATTATGGATATGGTCTGGGTAATCTATTCATGTAGGATATATTAGCCGCTTATGAACATATTTTTTTTCTATTAAGGCAAGAAATTCAACTGAATTTCTTTTTTTTAAAAGGCAGTTTATTTACATTATAAACTTATATGGTCTATATATCTAACATTAAATGAAAATCCCGTTCAGGAATAATGATTGCCATGTGCAATTTATTATATAAATAATTTAAAAAGCGCAGTATAACATAACTTTACATGTTTCTAGTATTTCCTGAACGGGCACGGCCTTCGACGGCATACCGAGATTACACATAAGAAATCAAAATCGAAGAATAAAATCTGCTATTTATGTGGTCGGGGATTTAATGTAAGTACACACTACATTTCATTACATAGTATAAAACAAAGTCACTGTCGCTGTCTGTCCGTCTCTACATATGCTTAACTCTTTAAAACTACGCAACGGATTTTGAAGTGTTTTTCTAATAAATAGAGTGATTCAAGAGGAAGGTTTATATGGTATAATACATGTACAACCGGGCGAAGCCGGGGCGGGTATCTAGTTTTGAATAAACCTTAGCTTATTATCATTAGTTCTTATGTGTTATAATTGGTGAAAACAAGTTGACGGCCAACCTGATGGTAAGTGGTAACGGTCAACTATATACATGAACAGCATGAAGGTGAACAGGTGAATACACAGAATTCTGATGGAGATCTGCACGTACTTGCGCACTTTCCAACTTAAACCTGGTCGTAAGTTCAGATCTAGCTGAAAACTGGGAATATGTATTTATAAAAAAATGAGATGTAGTATAACTTTGTTGCAGACCAATCGGATATTGAATAATCATATACGCACGTACACAGGGGAGCGCCCATTTCTGTGCACGCAGTGCCCAGCAGCATTCGGACAGAAAACGGCACTGGTGGCACACACGCGGGCCATACACAAGGAAGGACGCTGGAATTGATTATTATTTTTCAAGCGACTTCAAATAAAGGAGCAAGCTATCAATTCAATTGTGTTTTTTTCACCAGTCCCAGCTGCCAAGCAGCATGCTGTAAGCTGTGTTTTAGCTATAGGGAGCAGATTAGGCAATGAAATTACAGAATAAAAGGCATGTGCGATGGTAGGGCAAAGGCCCCACCATGCCCCATTGTCGCTATGCCCATGGGCATAGGCTATTTTATTATAAACACATCCTATGTGGTTGTAGCCCACTCTGGCATAAACGAAATATCTTTGAGAAGTTTACACTATCCTGAGGAGATAAAAACCATCGCTTCTAAAAATATGCTCCATGCGATTCTCCCAGGAAAATATCGATAAATTCATTGCGAATTTACCACGATGGGTTTACTGACATGTTCATCGTATAATTCTCCACTGGCCCCGCCAGCGTAAACAGTTAGCGCAGACGGTTGTACCATTTTATTATATTCATAATCTTAAAAATCTTAATGTAATACAATTATTACACCAGTACACTCACTACCTATATAGTACAAATATTAATAAAGAAAACAAAGAAGCGACACCTCATCACATAATACATAACGCTAAAGTGATGAGGTGATACCCATCATGCTACACCGCATATTTAATAATTGGTTCTTTTTACATAAAAAATCTAATAAAATTGTCTATCTATTTGTTCTTGCTAATCTTTTTAACGGCTGGACTAATTTTGATGACACTCGTTCACCGATAGCTAATGTTTTAAGGTACGCCTTAAGATATTAGTTGTTGGGGAGTGAAAATTACTTAGGTTAGGTTACTTTAAAACTTATATTTATTTTAATAAAAACAGTTAAACTCCACCCGTAGGGAATTACGGGTAATACGCTAATAGCTAGTAATTAACAATAGTGAAAAGCACAAAATATCCGCCATGTAGAAATGATCTATGGTTTATTTCGACATTGTTTATGGTGCTGTCATTGTCATTTTGACAGTGGCAAAACATAATGATGTTTCGTATATTTTATTGTCCAAGAGCTGACACCACATCTATCCATTGCATTATTTTCATTAAAATTACAAATATTTTCTTCATTCCAATGTTCTGTAATAAGCTGGAAGACATGAAAGTATGCCAGGGTTGTTTGTGTACAAATCGGAGATTAGCACCGATAGATAAGTACTATGAAATATTAAAAAAGAATTTAGGTCCGGACTTAAAACAAAGTTACAGGAACGAAAATAGGGTAAGAGACAATGTTTTAAAAGTATTTGCTTGTTTAATCTATGAATTTTTATTATTATAATATTAATTACTACTTAATCAAAAACTAATAAGTTAATACCATTTAGTGATGCGTGGGAGAATTTATTTATTTGTGACCACACTGTCAATATTCTTTATAAACAGAATCTATGTAAAACGTTTAGTTATTTATAAGGTACATACAAACAAATTCTCAACTTTTAATTATTATTTTACAATCTCAAGTTAATAATAACTTTTGTCTCCTTTTAATATTCTAATAATAAAACATATATATATAGTGTATATGTTTGATAGTGTATTTGTTTGAGAGATACTTTTTTTATTAAGTATAATCCATTTTTTAATTATTCCTTTTAGAACCTGCTCATATGTTGGGAATGTCAGATGGTATTAAAAAAATTTGACGATTTATTGCTGAAAGTAAAAAAAGCGCAATATTTTTTCAAAAAGAGAACAAAAATAAACAAAGTATTAAAAGAAGATGAGGTAAGTTAATGGAAATATAATAAAAATAAAGCCTTTGGTTTTACTTATATTTACCACAATATTGGCTAACATGTGGCCAGCCTTATAGTTAGAGGTGTCTATAGGAAATAAATATAATATAATCTAAATTTACTTAAATGACTGTGTATTATTGTTAACAAGTACAACATTTTTTTTAAAAGAATATAAACTGGGTTTTTTTCTCAGTTTTTCTCATCTCGAAATCATTCCGAACTCACAGTAGATTTGACATATTATAAGAGTCTGTAATAAACCTACATGCATAAAGATATTTTGAATTTACATATTTTTATGTACCTACCAGGTGTTCAAGTACTCATTTTGAAATAGTTTTATATATCTGTTAAGTTACAATTTGGTGAATTATTATGAATATTAATATGTTTTTATTACCAAAATAATATTGGGAAGAATATATGTTTTTTAAATGCATATATTTATTTTCTATAGACATCTCTTACTATAAGGCTGGCCACATGTTTGCCAATATTGTGGTATTAGTGGGACCACCAGCAACATAATAATGTGATATTCATTGTACTGTAAATATACACACATATATACATTGTTTTGCCATGTAAATTAAGAAAAAAAATATTTGTCAAAATAATGTTAAATCACTTAGGGCTGTGAAAAATACATAGTAGCCGTTTCTCTGATCTACTTATTTAGTAGATGATTTTTATATAAAAATCAGTCAAGCCGTTTCGAAGGAGTAATAACTAATATTGTGATAGGATTTTATATGTAAGATAGTAATTTTTTATTTACATTAATAGATACATCATTATAATAATGGTCTAGGATACAGATATAATATTGTTATAGTTATACATAGAGTTTCCTTTGAGTGAGCTTACAGATCTATGGGTCCTATGATCACTAGGATCGAAGAAGATAGAATAGAAGATAGACGATAGAAGTGTGTGTACTTCTACTAAAAAGTAATATTGTAATATATTAAAATGAAAAAAAAATTGTCTCCTATTACAGTGTATAAGTTTGTCAACTTTAAGAGCAACAACCAAACTTGATTTTGATTATTCCTACATGTATGAATTAGACGGGATAAAAATAGAAAAAACAGAAACAGTATCAAATAAATTTGAAAGTGATATTGAAATAATTGTTGAATGTAAAGCAGAAATTGATAAATTAGAGAATTACGACGACACTGGTAATGCTCTGGAGGATGGCCAACATTCAAATATAGAAAATGACAATTTCAATGATTGGATTGATACTGAATTAGTAAATTATGATAATGACATTGCTAGTAATAAAAACATTGCTGATGATGTAAATAGAGAAAATACTACAATTAAAGAGGAAATTAGTGGTACAGACAAAACTGAAGACAAAGAATTTATTAAGGTATTACAAAATGAGGTAAATATAAAAAGGAAAAAATCTCATCTTAAAATACCCGAACCACAGAGATATAAAACTGTACGTATATCAAATTATAATATTAATGAGAGTAGAATGAGATTTTATAATAGAATTCCTATTACTTCTGATGAAGTTCTGTCTTGGATGAATAAAGAAAAAAATAGTAAAGATTTCAGCAAAACGAAGTTCTATTGTGAAACATGTGTAGCTGGTTTTGACGTGGAAAAACAACTTTTACAGCACAATGAAGAGTTTCATTCAGTAAGTTTAGCTAAACATTTTTTTTATTATATCCATAGACTATTCACACAGCCATCTAGCCCTAAGATAAGCTAAGCCAAGTACCCATAGCATATGTTAATACTTCTAAAAGATCTAGGCCTGTCTAGAACAGTGATTTCTACACAGAACGTGTATCTAAATCTGCACTAACAGGCTACTGCTAGATTTGTCTGGGCAGGGAAAGAAACAAGGGAGATGAAGGTGATTGTTGATGTCGGCAAAAGGTCCACTTAAATCTACATCCGAGTCATAAGTTCCGTGATCTGCTCGGAGTTTCCCTCACTGCCACACAATGGACCCGGCACCCGCACTGTAAATTTATGCATGAGTTCATCACACAAAACACCCAGACCAATACCAACAATCCTATATTATGTTGAGATTTATTGTTATTAAATATTATTACTATCTATTATCTTTTTGTTTGAAATGTTATATGCTTATTTCAGGATAAAATGCATTATGAATGCGACATGTGTGGTATAAAACTGTCGACGAATTCAGAAATGGCGACACACTGCAGTGAACATTACACGAAATTAAAATGCGTACTTTGTAACTACACCGCCTACAGAATGTCGGAGTTTGATGATCACATAATAAGCGTTCACCGTACCGTTACCAAATGCTTAATTTGCAAAGCGAAATTTCCGTAAGTTACCTTGTCTATTGTAATATATGTGGAAAAGAGAAGGAAGCATTATGTCGTCTCTAGCGCAAACTGCTGGCATCATGTGACCATTATGTTGTAACCGGCGATCAAGAACAGTGGTGTGTGCCAACCATACTGACGTTGCCGGCCTGGGTGGTCTAGCAAGTTGACAAACCGTTTTCTGTCCTATGATTGTGCTTAAAATTATCGTCAAAGTTGCCAACCTTATAATGTTAGCGTATAATGTTAACTTATAATGTTAGCGTTAGTTACTGTGATGTGGCTTAGAACAAAAAAAAATGTGATATTTATTGAGTGTATGATGATTTTTTTAAATTATTTCAAATTTTGCTTGATTGCAGGAGAATGTTCGAGTACGTCAAACATCACAAATATTTTCACAAGAAGTATATCTGCGATTACTGCGGAAAGAAATTCACCAAGAAAAGTTTTATTGAGAGGCACATGTAGTACGTATTTCTGTATTTTTTATTAATTGAAGTTTCTAGGCATCCATTACGTACAAAATTAAAGTAGGTACATATAAGAATTTCATAATTTTTAAACACGGAGAGTGTTGAGCATTCTTGTCACAGTCGGTCACAATTTGAAAGATTACCCCCTCTCTAATATGATGTCTTGTATTTTGCATTTTTATACTGGTATATATACTTTATTTTTATTGAGGTCTCGATATTTCGGCAGTGTTTTTTCGACAACCGCCATGATCAAGGGTAAACTGAAGCGCAGCGGGTAGATGGTAAAAAAAATCTTTTATGGGCAGACATATTCGTTTACTTTCACACGCCTTCGTTTGTTGCTATTATTGAAACTCGATATTCATCTCGGCAAACTATACTCACCTTTTTCATATCTATTTTTCTTTTTGTTTAATTAAATTTGTAATATGTTGTTTTTATATTTGGTTACATTTATGTTATTGTTATTTTATTTCCTTGCAGTAGTCGACACTCGGATTATAAATGCAAAATATGTGGAATACAATTAAAAACATATGTAAACCATAGAGCACATATGAGAAGGCAACATGTGAAGAATCCGACCGAGGAAACATTCTGCGTTGAGTGTAACATACAGTTCGACAATATAGATAAATATAAGGACCATTTCAAAGCAGTTGTTAGACATCGGCCGCCGGTTAAGAAAAGGTAAATATCATATCCAACTCAAGAACATAAATAATCATATTCATAATCATAATTAAATATTCTTTATTGCACTTAAATACATTTGTAAGTATATTAATTACAACTAATGTTAACAAAGGAGGACTTATCTCTAAAAGAAATCTCTTCCAGTCAACCCAATAGAGCGTGGTATAGGAAGTGTGAGTGGGACAAAATGTGCAAATAATTATTTTTATAAAAATGTCATAATTAGGAAAACATAAATGCATGTAGCGCGGTCGTTATCCTCATCACTGTAGCGATACATATATATGTTGTGATGAGGTGGCGCTACAAAATAAATTATTTATTGTAGTATGTTGGTATAGTATACCGGTAAAATGATTGTACTAATTATTAGACATTGTTAAGTTTATTGGTAGTGTGCTACATGGCTTATTAGTAACGCGTCCAGTCGACGCGGAGTCGGGCCGTGGACTCATTTTACACTTAACTTAAATCTATGTTAGTGGAGACGTAAATTAATGGAAGGGTGTCAAGTGTCGACAGAAATATTACAAGTGTAGGCACATGCATTTACTAATTATTGAAAGCCCAAGGTCAGTGGTTTAGCACACCGCTTTACTATCCGATGGTCGTTGGTTCGATTCCTAGCACGGTACAAACATTTGTATTCATGAGTATGATTGTTTGTATAAACAACAGTATAAACAGCTAGATCATGGAGACCGTCAGTTACTTTCTGGTATCATGTAATGTGCTAATGTTTTATCGCAGCTTCCCTTGCCCAGAGTGCGGGAAGACCTACAACAAGAAGATCACAATGAAGTACCACTACAATTATGAACATCTGAAGAAGACGCAGTTCTACTGCACCAAGTGTGATCGGGTATGTATTTTTTTTTATTTTTTAGGAGGTTTGGGCTATTGTCAGGTGCTTTGGATCTGTAGCACTGCGACCTACATAGATCTATTGCTCGCTACCTAGACCCGTCAGGGAGAAGAATTGAAGGATATTCTTAGAAACGATGTTTATGTCCAGATATAACGATGATTCGGTTCAGATATGTAAATTCAAATTCAAAATATCTTTATTCATGGAGGTCTATTACAGACTCTTATGATATGTCAAATTTACCGTCAGTTCGGAATGATTTCGAGATGAGAAGAACTGACAAGAAACTCAGCTCGTATTTTTTTCAAATTATAGTGGAACATGTTTATAATAATATACAGTCATTAAAATTCAAATTTGGGAGAATAGAGTGACCACCAGCATATGCTATCGCAAAGAACAAAAAATTTAATCAGTGTTCACAACCTGAACAGACCAGTTCCCACAAGCAACACCCGTTCACGAGTATGACGTATGAGTCAGCCATCATTGCAGTAATTATTAGCCACAAATTCACACAGCGCCATTTAGGCTTATGCTGAGCAGAGCTTGTGTTATGGGTACTAGTTAACTGATATAATACATAGATAAGTTTGTTTTGAAACGTATTATACTTAGAAAAGACCCAAACTTATACAAACAAATTTTCCAAAAAATTTCAGGAATACAAATGTTTGTACCGTACTAGGAATCGAACCCATGACCGTGAATATGTCATATCTCGGTGTATAGAATAGTTTTGTCTGTTTCCAGTATTTCCTGAACGGGTTCGGTCTTCGACAGCATACAGCTAATATACATGATAAGATAACAAAACCGAAGAATAAAATCTGTTATTTATGTGGTCGGGGATTTAATGTAAGTACATACTGTATTTTTTATTCATATATATATATATATATAGTAGGGCCCACCCCAAATAATGGGATAAAGGCAAGGCAATCATGATATATATATATTAGCCGTACACGCGACTTCGTCCGCGTGGAATTTAATAAAAGAGGTAATTAGAGAATTCTTCTAAAGCCTAAGTTACATCAGCTACCTGCTAAAAAAAAGTCCCGTCAAAATCGGTCCAGCCATTTCAGAGATTAGCCGGAACAAACAAACAAACAGACAAAATTTGTAAAAAATGTTATTTTGGTGTACGTACCGTATTTATATTCATATGCGTGTAGTGAAAAACGGTTATTTCAATATTACAAACATACACTCCAATTTTATTTATATGTATAGTTTTAAATCAGGCTACAAATACCTTATATATTATCATACATATGAATAATAATCTTATATATAAAATTCTCGTGTTACAATGTTGGTTACCATACTCCTCCAAAACGGCTTGACCGATTTATATGAAATATGCATATTCAGTAGGTATGAAAATCGGCTACTATCTATTTTTCATACCACTAAGTGATTCCTTATCACTTGTCCACACAACATTAACACATACTAGTAAAACTGTTTTAATAGTGATTTTAATTTATATGGCAATGTTTACGGGATGAACTAGTATATAGTATATTCAAATGACAATGTTTTTCATTATATCGTTTTTTCGTGGGTTGGGTCGCTAGTTATGTAGTGTCCAACCTTTAACCATGAAAAATCGGGACGACTCGCCATAATATAATTTTGTTGCAGACCAATCGGATATTGAATAATCATATACGCACACACACAGGCGAGCGCCCATTTCTGTGCACGCAGTGCCCAGCAGCATTCGGACAGAAAACGGCACTGGTGGCACACACGCGGGCCATACACAAGGAAGGACGCCGGAATTGATGCTGTTGTCTATGGTCTAGCGATTTAACACACCGTCCTAATTCCGATGGTCGCGGGTCAGAGTCCTCGTACAATACAAACAAAAATTGTATGTACTCGTCTGGATCTAACCTATGTATGTAAGAGGGTAAATGGAATTGTTAGTAATGTGAATTGATGATCTCATTGGTAGTAGGTACCATGTCAGGTTGACCTCCACGCGGTCCCCTCTGGAAACCATCGTGATAAATTCCTAGTGAATTAACCACGATGGGCTAACTGACCTGACCTCATGCTCATCTTATCATCCTCCACTGTTGCCTCACCAGTGTAAACCATTAGCGCAGGCGAGTGTAGCATTCCATTATCATCCATTAAAAAAAACCTATGTATGTATATTTACAAAAAATGTATTTGAGTCTTTCTATCAGTTGTCAATTACCATTGTATTATTACTCAGCTTGGGACTAGATGGCACTGTGTTAATTGTGTAAGGTGAAACAAAAATATATATTTTTTAAAAATGCTATGTCATTGAATACCTGCATATATTACCATCATTTGATTTTAATTTATTATTATTATTAAAAATAATTGGTAATTATTATTTCATTATAATTATTGTGTTAATTTATTATGTAATTTTTACCTTCATATATTCGTTTGTTCGTTTTAAAGTATGTTTTAATAGTTGATTATATGAAACTTATACTTTGTGAATATCTGTACATATATACCTAAGATGTTTATAATAATTGTAAGTTATATGAAATATATTGTTTTTACCGATACTATTTATTTTTATTCAATTCAGACTACTATAATATAGTGCCTCTTATTACAAATATCATAGAGACGAATATATATGTCCTACTGGCTGTGTTGATGTAACTACCTAATTAATTTAATTTAACCGAGGTACTCTTTGTATCTTACAAAGATTACCTCGGTTAAATCTTCATGGGTAATAATATTCTACTCTATTATTACAAAAAGATATGGATGCATAGTTACATACAAAAATAGTAATGTTGAAATTATTGAAGAGCGAATAATATTAACGCAAAATTATTAATTTTAAAATGAAGAATGTTGCCAGGCAAGCCTGGCCATCAATCTAATCCGGTCATTAATGATCTGTGGTATCCATACTTAAAAAATAAACACTGTCGACATTGACATTTGAAATTCTCATCTGTGCTTTAAGAGAAACAATTGACAGCGTAAACAAAATTTATAAATAAATGTTTTGATTCTTTAACTTTATTTATTCTTAGGTTTTATTAATGTTGTAAGGAACTTGCGTATATTTAAAAGCCTTTAGCTTTTATTAAAAGTGTCCATTCATATTATATAGTAAAATGGATGATTATTGTATAAAAAAATTGTGTTGTACATGTCTATGTAAAGATCGTAAACTATATCAGCTGTGTCGAGTGTCCGACGGTGTTAATAACTTGTATTTGTTGTTATCCTTTGATTCGGAAGCTTACAGAGTAAGTATATTAAGTATAATATCTTTTGCCTCTTGCCTCTCCCTTAAGGGATGGATTTAAAAAAATAATAAAATACATATTATATATTTTTTTATAAGTGCTCTTGGAATATTTACTTAAATTAGGGTTTCCATACAAACTATGAATTATTTTTACGGTATTTTAGGTGTTGAATTTCTAAAACGGCACAACCAATTCTAGGTTCTAGGTTAAGACCTACACAAAAAAGTGTATAATAATTAAAATATATGTTTCATTCTCCAAGTGATTAGGAGGGTTCACTTAACATTTTGTTTTTAATTTTTGCCATAATTTTTCTTTTTTAATTTTGTTGATTTTCATCAACTTTTATTTTTTTTATAAGGACTTTAATATTTTTCTACTGTCTTCTTATATGCCTAAACAATGTTTGGCAGCTCAGCTAGTAGATATAGTGTATATTATAATATTGAAATGTGTGTTTTTTCCTCTTTGATTTGATTCTTTAATTTAAATGTGTTCTAGGAAGGGTTCTACAAGGACACAGCTAATTTGTTTGTCTGTTGGGAATGCAAAGCCATTATGTGTAGGATCACTAAGTTTCGAGAGCAAGCATGCATTGCACAGAAAGAACTTTCCGGAATAACAGATGGTCGCCAAAATGTGAGTTCAATTAGTATTTTGTTGTTATAAAGTCATAATCAAATTAATTTAATAAATTACATGAGGTTTTCTAGGGGAAACAATCACTGTAGAAATATTTGTATTCATAAGTATGATTGTTTGTATCAGTCTGTATGTTTTCTATGTATAACTAGCTACCCACCCAGGCTTCGCACAGGTGTACATGTATTATACATATAAATATTCCTCTTAAATCACTCTATCTATTTAAAAAAACTGCCTCAAAATCTGTTGCATAGTTTTAAAGATTTAAGCATACATAGGAACGGACAGACAGTAACAGCAACTTTGTTTTATAATATATTTGCTCCCATAAGACAAACTCTAGCTCGCTTCACTTAGGTCTAGATGGCGCTGTGTGAATTGTACTGAGATTATTATTACTATTAACTTATATTATTTATTAAAAACGGGGTATGCCCCTGGCACTACTCATATTATATTTTTTTTACAGTTAAAACTGGATGGCCTATCAAATCTAACTTTCACATTTAAACATGGCTATGATAAAATTATCACTGAGACCAAATTAATAACAGATAATTTTATAGACTGTGGTCCTACCACAGATATTAAAACAGAAAGTGAGGAAGACATTCCATTATCTGAGTTACATAATAATTATATATCTGATACCCTAAGTGATATTGTAACTGGCCCCATAAAGTCAAAAGTTTATCAGAAACGGAAGAAAAAAATAAAAAGTACCAAAAATAATGGAATCTACTGTGATAGTAATAAGAAGTATTTTACAATGAATGAGATGAATGAAGTTAATATGATGGAGAGTAGAGAGAAAAGAAAGATGGCGGCAATGTTTGCAGATGCTGCATTTAAATGTGATAGCTGTATTGAAGGGTTTAAGAGTGATATTGATTTGCTGACACACAATTTAGATTTACATACTGAGGTAGGTGCATTCCTAACCAAATTCTATTATTCTTATATTAATTTACATTATTACATATTTAAGATTTTGTTTGACAAAGAAATTAACCATTAGGTTACAATTATTATCACTTGCAAAAAGTTCAGGTATACAGTGTTCACTTAATTACTGCTTGCCACGACGCGAATGTTTATATTTATCTTATTATTTTATTTTACTTTGTTTATAAAAAAAAATTAATTAAGTTATTTTAACAGTGAAATGTAACATACATTTTCCAAAATATTTGTTACTTTTGGCTTTTATTGTGTCTGAGATAGAATTAGGACAAATACACTAAAAAAAACATGTATTTGAATTATACACATAGAGGTATAGTCTTTGAGTTTTTCTTTTTTAAAAGGGCTACAGGTCATAACACCTGTCAATAGTCCAAACACTCAATTAAAAAAATTGTTTTGATACAAACTTTTTTTATTTTTTTATTTCAATTGACGGCCTCAGTAGTCTAGCGGTGTAGCACACCGCCTTACTTCCGATGGTTGCGGGTTCGGTTCTTCGTATGGCACAAATATTCATATTCATGAGTATGATTGTTTGTATTGATCTGGGTATTTCCTATCTATAATATGTATGTATTTACGTAAAAAAATTATGTATTTGTATCAGTTACCCATGACACAAGCTTTAGATAGCTTAAATTGGATCTAGATGGCCTGAAAAAAAATTATCTATATATCGGTATCAGTCTTAAGTATTTGTATCAATTATCTAGTACAGGGATGTTATGGATATGAAATTTCGGATACGGATAGGTTTCGGATATAGGAAAGATTATTATACCGGATACGGATGGGGATATGAAATTATTTCGGAATATCTGTTAGTTTCGGATAATTTCGGTTACGGATATTAATATTTTAAGGAACTTCAAAAGTAAAATACAAATAGCTAATAAAACGGTTACATAACGTGTCTCAATTAGATATTGTCCGAATCTTTTATTTCGGATTCGGTTACGGTTACGGAGCTCCTTAACATCCCTGATCTAGTACCCATAAGCTTTAGCTAGCTTAACTTGGGTCTAGAGGACGCTGTGTGAATTGTTCTGAGATAATTATTGAATAAAAAAAATGTGGTTGAATTTAGACCACTAGTGACATCTATTGCTTATTATTCGTTTTTTTCTTTCAGAAACCCAACCACATACAATGTAACATATGTCTATCTTACATAGATGAGACCTCAATCACAGATCATAAGAAAGCCCATTATTATAGTTATACTTGTCAATTTTGTGATTATATGACATACAGTCAATTCGAGATATCGAGGCATCTGAGGTGTGGGCATGCTATGAAGAATGTTGTGGTCTCTGGGAAGAGGAAGAAGGTGAGGTACAGTCTGTATATATATTACTCAATGACTCATGACCACTCTATCTATCCCCAATAATAATAATATATTTATTTTATTTATTATTGTAAATATGTACAACATTTATTTGAAAAAAATACAATCTGAGTTTCTTGTCAGTTCTACTCATCTCGAAATCATTCCGAACTGACGGTAGATTTGACATATCATAAGAGTCTGTAATAGACCTACATGAATAAAGATATTTTGAATTTGAATTTATTGAAATAACTTTAATGCACGTTATACATAAGTAAAAAGTACATACGGCGGTCTTAACACCTGTCTAACCATGAGTTGTACAGAGATAAGTTGTTGGCGGTGAAAATAATATTATAATATTTTTATAAAACAAACACAAGTAAATATATATATACTAGCTGTCCCGGCAAACGTTGTTTTGCCTTAAAATAAAATAAAAATTAGGGTGGTCTACCCTTAACATTTAGGGGGATGAAAAATAGATGTTGGCTGATTCTCAGACCTACTCAATACGCTCACAAAATTTCATGAGAATCGGTCAAGCCGTTTCGGAGGAGTATGGGAACGAAAACTGTGACACGAGAATTTTATATATAAGATATATATAAATATCCCTACAAATATACAAATACATATAATATACACTTTATAGTGCTTGTAATATTAATAAATAAGGATAATTAATTTAAAAATGTGTGCAAGGGTGAGCTTTTCTCTGAAAGAGATCTCTTCCAGCCAACACAATGTGACAGAGGAACTACTACCTCTGCGAGCGGGCAACGATGGTGATCGAGTTGTTGTAATAACATTAATATATATTCAATGTATTTAATTAATAAATAATAGGGGTTAAAGTATGAAATAACGATTCCAGACAATTCACACAGCGCCATCTAGTCTCAATCTAAACATAGCTTGTGTTATGCGTACTTACAACTGATATATTCAAATACACAACCTTACATATTACTGATTTTTTTTTATTATATTTGTTTTTATTGTTCCTTTTTTGTATTTTTTCATACCGTTCTTATCCAAATTTGGTTGTAGCATTACTGTTTTGGATATTGATATAGATTTTATCTGTCTATCTATCTATCTATTAAATTTGATAATGAAAAAGTGTTCATTCCTAAGCTAACGTTTTTTTTTTGTCATCAGGGTCAAAGAAAAACGTCTGTAGTGCTACGGCCAGGGACGAAGCCCCGTAGGAACCAAGCGATGATGGACAAACGGACTCCGTACGGTTATCTATGTACAGAATGTAATAAATATTTCGAGTGAGTTAATGAAATTAATAGGCCAAAGAAGACTGTCGTAGTCTAGTGACTTATTGGATGTAAGTCGGTGTAGTTACTACAGCGACTTACATACAATAGGTCGTGAGTTCAAACTTAATAAATAACCCTGGACAATTCACACGACAGCATCTACTCCCACGGTTAAAAGTCCTTGTGTTATGAATACTAGACAATTGATATCAGTACTTAGATATTTTTTTATAAATATTTACATAATATACATAGAAATCACCCAGACTGATACAAACAGACATACTCATGAAATGTTTGCATCGTGCAAGGAATCGAACCTGCAACCATCAGAAGTAAAGGTATGTGCTAAACAGCTAGACTACCGAGGTTGTCAACTGAAGCGTTATTTTAAAATTAATTTCATATTAGATACTAAATTACTATAATTATATATTTCTAAATAAATTATTATTGTTTGTCAGTAACAAGAACCAGCGATGGAAACACGTGCAGCGACACCACCGCGAGGGTTATAAATGCTCAACTTTAAAATTAATTTCATATTAGATATTAAATTACTATAATTATATATTTCTAAATAAATTATTATTGTTTGTCAGTAATAAGAACCAGCGATGGAAACACGTGCAGCGACACCACCGCGAGGGTTATAAATGCTCAACGTGTGGGAAGAGATTCGCCTTCAAGAATAATCTGAGCAGACACGAACAGTGAGTGTTACTAATCCTACTTCATTACATAGTATAAAACAAAGTCGCTGTCGCTGTCTGTCCGTCCCTATGTGTGCTCAAATCTTTAAAACTACGTAACGGATTTTGAAGCGGTTTTTTTAAATAGAGTGATTCAAGAGGAAGATTTATATATATAATACATGTAAACCCGTGCGAAGTCGGGGCGGGTAGCTAGACTATATATATATAACTCAAAGGTGACTGACTGACTGACATAGTGATCTATCAACGCACAGCCCAAACCACTGGACGGATCGAGCTGAAATTTGGCATACAGGTAGATATAATGACGTAGGCATCCGCTAAGAAACGATTTTGATTAATTCTACCCTCACGGGGATAAAATGGGGGATGAAAGTTTGTATGAAACTTCGCCAATTTCAAACCGATCGAGCTGAGACTTTGCATGCATGAAGCTACTATGACGTAGGCATCCCCCAAGAAAGGATTTTGATAAATTCCACCCCTGAGAGTATAAATTAACGCGAGCGAAGCCGTGGGCAAAAGCTAGTATATAATAAAATGCAATATAGTTATAAAAAATGTGTTATTATATGATATTCTTATTTCAGGCTACACCAAGGCCCGCCGCCCCGAGAGGAATGCACCGTCTGCCACAAGATGATCAGGGTGGACCTGGTGAAGATCCACGCGAGGATCCACTCCGACCGGCAGCAGTTCACCTGCGCAGAGTGCGACAAGTGCTTCGTTAGTCGCGCCTCGTACGAGCATCATTTGAAGTATACTCAAGCACACGCCGCTGTTGATATCCTCAAGTAGGTTAATTTTTTTATGTAATAGTCTATACTAGTATTAGCGGCCTCGGTGGTTTAGTGGTTTAGCACACCGCTTTACATCCTTTGGTCGCGGGTTCGATTCCACGCACAGTATGTATTAATGAGTATGATTGTTTGTATCGGTCTGGGTGTTTTCTATGTATGTTATGGATGTATTTACAAAAAATATATATAAGTATTTATATCAGTTGTCTAGTACCCATAACACAAGCTCTGCTTACCGTGGGACTAGATGGCGCTGTGTTAATTGTCCAGCGTTATTTATTTGATATTAATTTAATGTTATAAAGCTGAAGAGTTTGTTTGAACACTCTAATCTAAGGAACTACTGATTCGAATTGAAAAGATATTTTTGTGTTGGATAGTCCATTTGTCGAGGCTTTAAGCTATATAACATTACGCCACGACCAATATAAGCACCAGTGAAAAATGTTGCAAAAATGGAGAAATGTTTCATGTTTGAGGGCTTCTGTTTGCGTAAACGGTTCAAATTATGTATGAAAATACCCAAAAAAATGAATGAAAGAATTATTCCTTTAAATGATCTAAAAAATGTCCGCGACTAATTATGATAATGTTTTGATAACGCGAACGAAGTCGCGGGCACAGCTAAATCTTATATATAAAATTCTCGTGTCACAGTTTTCATTCCCATACTCCTCCGAAACGGCTTGACCGATTCTCATGAAATTTTGTGAGCGTATTGAGTAGGTCTGATAATCAGCCAACATCTAGTTTTCATCCCCCTAAATGTTAAGGGTAGTCCACCCCTAAATTTTATTTTTTTATTTTAAGGGAAACAACGTTTGCCAGGACAGCTAGTATAATATATATATAAATGATTTTTGAATTTGTATTAGACTTAGAATTTATAAAATTGTAGTGTCTGTTTGTAATATTGAAATAACCACTTTTTACTACATCCATATGAATATAAATACGTTACATACACCAAAACAGCAGTTTTTACAATTTTACGTCTGTCTGTCTGTCTGTTCCGGCTAATCTTTGAAAAGGCTGGATGGATTTTGACGGGACTTTTATTAGCAGGTAGCTGATGTGGAGTAACTTAGGCTCTAGAAAAATTCTCTAATTAACTCTTTTGTTAAATTCCACGCGGCCGAAGTCGCGAGTACAGCTAGTAGCACTTAAAATAAACAAGAACAATATGTGTCATTAAATTCCAGGTACAAATGTTCAATGTGCGACAAGGGGTACAGATCTCGCGGCGAGCTGCGGGACCACGTCAACTACCAACACATGGGGAAGACGCAGCACAAGTGTCCGATCTGCGGAAAGGTAGTTATATACATTGTACAGCTCATACACGGGATTATCATTATGAATCCCGCCACACGACGCCCACAGCCGGCTGCTGAAAAGTAACCGGCTTCCGGCCGGCCGGTAAACAACGTTGGGGTGCTTTTTTTTGTGTATGATAATGGAATGGTGCACCCGGCTGCGCTTGCGTGGAAGAGTAACAAACATCCATACAACAAACTCACAAACTTTCGCGATTAGGTGTCTATGTAGATGTCTAACATTAAAATGATCATCTTTCTTACCGGGTCGTAATCTGGTGGTTGTGGACAGCTGGGTAGGGGTCTGGAGCGTACGTTCCATGCCCGCGCACTCTGCTGGGGTGAACCACCCCAGCGTCGAACCCCAGAATGGGGGGAAGGGGATTGTTAGTAATGTGGATGATAACCCCATTGCTAGCAATGTACCATGTCAGGTTGAACTCCACGCGCTTCCCCCTGGAACACATCGTGTTAAATTCATGGTGAATTTGTCACGATGGGCTAACTAACCTGGTCTCATGCATCTTATCGTCAGCGTATACCGTTAGCGCAGGTGCACTATTTCATTATAATTTCAAAAAACAAAATTAATTGTGTTTCAGGCGCTAGCGACGCGTCGTTGCATCACAAGACACGTGCGCCGTGCTCACCACGGTCTCAAAGAGAGTGCGCGAGATAAGATCTGCCAGCAGTGCGGGAAAGCGTTCCGGGTTCGTATCCCGGCTGACTATCGTACTTTTATTTGGCCTCAGTGGTCTAGTAATTTAGTACATAGCTTTACTTCGGTTAGATGTGGGTTCTGATCAAATTATGCAAACATTTGTATTCATGAGTATGATGGTTTGTATTTATTTATTTATTTAACTTCAATGCACACAATATACAAAATATAGTAAAGTACATTTGGCGGACTTAACACCATGCGGAATTTTCTACCAGTCAACCATAGGTGGTGCAGAGAATAAATGTTGGCGGTGCAAATATAATAAAATTGTTTTGGTCTGGGTGTTTTCTATATATATTATGCGTTTTAAAAAAATGTATATAATTCACGTTTTACAGGACAAAAAAGGTCTGAGGGAGCACGAGTTCATACATACAGGGGAGAGGCCGCTCTCCTGCGAGATATGCGGATGTACGTTCAGACAAAGCGCCTCTTTATATACACACAGGTCAGTTTAACGTACATTAGTAGGAGTATACTTTACTAGATGTGCCCGCGACTTCGTCCGCGTGAAATAGTGACCTTAATCAAATAAAGAAAACATATTCAATAATTTAACCCAAAGAAAAATTGATTAGTTCTAGCTTCCAAAATATCGATTTTCTATAAAAAATTTCATCCCCTATTTTATTTTACCCCTTTAAGGGTAACATTTTTACAAACATTAAATGTAATATTTATTTATATTCAAACAACAGCCTAAAAAATAAGTATCAAACTTCTAGCTTTAAAAATGACGATTCAATCTCCCTTTTCAACCCCTTACAACCCTTATTTCGAATTAAAAAGTAGTCTATGTCCTTTCTCAGGGTCTAGACTATCTGTGTATCAAATTTCATTAAAGTCGGTTTAGTAGTTTTGGCGTGAACTCGAGACAGACAGACAGAGTTACTTTCGCATTTATAATATTAGTAAGTACTGATGAAGATCGTCTAAGCTCAGCGATTGTGTAATGTATGAAATATAATAGCCAGACCAATACAAATATTGGTCTAGGTAAGGTACATACAAGATGCCCAGACCAATACAAACATTGGTCTAAATAAGGTACATACAAGATGTCCAGACCAATACAAATATTGGTCTAGGTAAGGTACATACAAAATACCCAGACAAATACAAATATTGGTCTAGGTAAGGTACATACAAGATGCCCAGACCAATACAAATATTGGTCTAGGTAAGGTACATACAAAATACCCAGACCAATACAGATATTGGTTTGGATATTTTGTATGTACATTATATACAAGATGGCGGTATGGAAGATACTTTATGAATTATCTTGTGTTATTATTCGCATTTATAATATTAGTAAGTACTGATGAAGATCGTCTAAGCTCAGCGATTGTGTAATGTATGAAATATAATAGCCAGACCAATACAAATATTGGTCTAGGTAAGGTACATACAAGATGCCCAGACCAATACAAATATTGGTCTAGGTAAGGTACATACAAGATGCCCAGACCAATACAAACATTGGTCTAGGTAAGGTACATACAAGATGTCCAGACCAATACAAATATTGGTCTAGGTAAGGTACATACAAAATACCCAGACAAATACAAATATTGGTCTAGGTAAGGTACATACAAGATGCCCAGACCAATACAAATATTGGTTTAGGTAAGGTACATACAAAATACCCAGACCAATACAGATATTGGTTTGGATATTTTGTATGTACATTATATACAAGATGGCGGTATGGAAGATACTTTATGAATTATCTTGTGTTATTATTTGTAACCAATTTTATTTTTTATTTACAGAAAACGAGTACACAAAATATATCCACAAAAGAAAAGTGTGGAATTGCTAGAGAGCACACCCGCAAGCGGCAGTTGATCGCCTCATCATTAAATTGTGAAAGGTTGCTAATATAATCCGAAGACGCCGCCGCCAAGCAGATTTGTACGCTGTGTTATGTTCATAGAGTGCAGATTAGACTGTCAACTTAGCATAAGAGGTATGATATCTTAGGCCTCAGGTATGGCAAAATGTGAGGGCGAAGTATGATAAGGTGATGTCAGTGATATGTACATATATATACAAAAGATTAGATCTTACCGTCATGTGGGCCCTCAGTTTTTTTTTCTATTTATACCTTTAATGCACATAATTTCAAAGTACATATGGCGGTCTTAACACCATGCGGCATTATCTACCAGTCAACCAACCAACCAGGCGGTGCAAATATAAATAAATGATATAATGAATAATACACATACATATATATGAATAAATACCTATATATATATACACATACATATCTAATAATCTGCCAATGAAAAAACATGTACATAATGAAAAAAACTTTAAAAAAATATAATGGGCATATTAGGCTGTCAAATTATAGGATAAGAGGCATGACATCTTAGTACTCAGGCATAGCAAAGCGTGAAGAGAGAAATATGATAACGTGATGTCCGTGATACTTACTGTTCATGTAATGCCACTTACCATCAGGTGCGCCGTTAGCTTTTTTTTCTGTTAAAGTTACACAAAACTGAACCTAATAGTTACCACATAATAAAATGTAGGTAGGGACACAATAATGTATTTAAATAAAAGATTATGTAGAAATAATAAATTATTTATTTATTGAACACGTATTTTTTTATTCCTGATCATCCCAGAAATTATTAGAAACTAGCTGTACCCGCGGATTCACCTACATGAACCTACCTGATGTATAAGCTATATTACTGTAAACTTTCATCAAAATTCGTTAAGTAGTTTTTGCGTAAAAGAGTAACAAACACCTATCCATTTATTTATATACACAAACTTTCGTGTTTATAATATTAATAATAATAATAATTTAGAGATCGGGTGGAAAATTTTATTCAAATCGCATATGCAGTGTTCATGATTATACCCAGTATCAGCATCAGATTTATGAACATTCTAGCTGCATGCAAATAAAATAAACCCATTTCTAACAATTTACCATGTCAGGTCCACCAAACATAGATCATCCGGCATAGATCTCATCCATCCACCCATCCCTAACAATGATTGTAGTTACGATGAGATATATACCTTCAGATGATCAGTTGGCCTAGTGGTGGATAGTTAATAGTGGGACCTAGAGGTCCCATTGTTATCCTTTTTATTACACCTTCACGCTGTGTAGTGCTGCGGCAGCGTATACCGTTAGCGTATGCATACTATATTCATCCAACAAAAAACTTCATATTGTAATTGGTTATTTGAACTGCGTCAAATCGCGTAGTATGTATGTATATAAGTGCCCTGGTCTTGATACCTTGTAACTGGACTATAAGTCCCATCGGCATGTCTTTTAATTAGACTATAAGTCCGTGATAATGTCGCTTTAAACGTGGATTATAAGTACATTGATAATGTCTCTTTGAATTAGAATATAAATCCGTGATAAAGTCGATTTATAAGTGGACTATAAGTCCCGGTGCAGTAGTCGATTGTGGGTGTAAAGCGCGGCGGAGTGCGCGAAGGTGGCCGGACAGTGCGAACACTGTAGCGGCCTCTCACCAGTGTGCGTCCGGATGTGAGACTGCAGGATCGTCAGCGTCTGAAATATTTAAATAAAAAAAAAGAACTCAGAACAATTCACACAGCGCCATCTAGACCCAAGTTAAGCTAGCTGAAGCTTGTGTTATGGGTACTCGATATATGATACATATACATAGAATATGTAATAATAATACTCACAGTAAATCCTCGGCCGCAGTAATCACAGATTTTATTCCGCGGCGGTCGTATCTTCTCGTGTACAAAACTGATATGCTTCTTCAGTGCTGATCCATTTTTGAACACCTTTAACACAATAACAGTAGCTATTTATATCAGAATTGTTAAAACAACTGATTTACTAAACATGTATTTATTATTATTATTATTATTTTTATCCAAAAATTCTCATCTCCCCTCTTAAGGAGAGGAGATGAGAATTATTATTATTATTATTATTCTCAACAGTCGTCAAATGAAAATGAGAAATGTTTATTTCATTAGAAATAATTTAAATACTAATATGATTAGCAACGGGGATGTCTTTTTTTAGGGTAAAATAAATAATTGATTCACCAATAGTTTTCGTACACGTATGTATGAGTATTCTATTTAACACACTATCCTATAACATTTTCTAGGTTTACTGGAAGAAATCTCTTTTTAGAGATAAGCTCGCCCTTGTACATTACATTTATTCTATATCATTTCATTTGTATTAAATATATTGATATAATAATACTGAATAACGCCGAACAAACAGCTTTAAAAATCTCATGTAGGTGCTAGAGTCATGGACCACAGTTGCAGTAGAAGGAAAAATAGCTTCAAGGATCATTAATGTTGGTGTCGGCACGGCTCAGTCCCGGACAGATTAAAGTGTGCCAAAGCCTCAAAAAACCATCAATTTATAGTGTATAAAGGAAAAGGAGAAAACCTACTTCTACACAAATATTTAATACAATATTTTCGTGGAGAACTGGAAAGAAAAATTATCTAAAACAAAACGCAAAAAGGGCATGGACTTAATGGTATATGGAAAGCAGGAGCGTAATATATATATAAAGGTATCTTTTGGTATATTTGACACAACTATAGAACTAAACAAAAATATAAATATAAAAATATAGTTCAAATTAAGAAAAGAAATATAAAAGGAGGTCTGTAACCAACAAATACAACAATACATTGTTGGGACCTAGTTAGTATAGCAACGGCTGTGTCAGGTACATCCCGCTCTTCCATATCCATTGTCATATGTTTTAAAAAGAGAATTTTGTAAAACATTAGTATCTGAAGTTCTAGCAATGGGCCGACTATATGGTCTCTATTATCAGAAGGGAGGTTTTTTTATGCAATTTGAATGCCAAAGAATGGCAAACAAACTTATGGCGCACCTTACGGTTATCGTAGCCTATAGATGCCTGGGACACCAGGGGAGTCATGGCCGTCCGTCTCTATCTACCCCAAAAGGGATTTAGCGTAAATAGGGTTGCCAAACCCAAATTTAAAAAACAGAACGCAGTAATAGTGTTGCAATAGTTATATTAATATGTAGTAAAATTCAAGTAATTAATATAATCAGGTTTTTAATAAAAAGTATTTGATAAAATTATACTGTTGAAAATCAGTAATTAAGAGGCGCGCATATTTTAAAAACCCAGGACGCTGCCAAATAACTATTCAGGACTTCCCAGGACACTTAAAAAACTAGGACATGTCCTGGGACAACAGGACGGTTGGCAACACTAAGCGTAAAGATAAATGGTTCATGGGGTTTACCTTATAACATTTGTCGCAGACGTATTTGCTGTTCTTCAGGTGAACGAAGTCGATGTGCTGTTGGAGAGAACTCTTCGTTATGAACTTTGCGTCGCATTCCGCACATGTAAATCTGGTGAACATTTCAAAAAGGGGTCGTCAGGGGGGCATCGTAGCTCTTAAACAGATGGACCGTTTGTTATGGGTTTTTTTATTGAAACTTGATGAGATCGGGGTAATAAATGAATAACGCTGGTCAATTAACATAGCGCCATCTAGTGCTACGGTAAGCAGAGCTTGTGTTATGGGTATTAGACAACTGATATAAATCGTTAGATATATATTTTTTTTGTAAATACATACATAATATACATAGAAAACACCCAGACCGATACAAACAATCATACTCAAGAATACAAATGTTTGTAGCTCGATACGCGACCACAAGAAGTAAAGCTGTGTGCTAAATCAACATCACCACCGAGATGGTGATTAAAAAAAAAAACACTCACCTTTTATCTCTTTCTGTGATATGTTTGGAGTTCGTTCTGAGATGATGTGCCAAATTGTGCTCAGTTCTAAAATGGCGGCGGCATAGCGTGCAGTACGCTGTATTGTTTGAATGTGCGGACGCAGTGTGAGCTATGAGTCCTGATTTAGCATTGTAGACCTTATTGCAAGCGCCACAAGAGTACACTCGGCTTGATTGTTTATGGACCGTGCTGAAAGATATGAATATCTGTATATTATACTAGCTTAACTGCGCAACTTCGTCTGCATACCACTTAGGTACTCAAATTACATTGTATGTTTTTAAATTATAACCTATGTGCTTTTCTGATGTATAAGCTATATTACTGTAAAGTTTTATCAAAATGCGTTCAGTAGTTTTTGCGTGAAAGAGTAACAAACATCCATCCATACTCACAAACTTTAGCGTTTACAATATTAATAAGATATAGGTTTAGTTTTTTTTATACCAAACCAGTTAGACTGCATGTGAAATTGAACCATTTCAATCAAGAAATAAAGTCCAATTTTTAAAATTATTCTACTAAATTGATCACGTGACCCCATGGTTTGTATGAAGGTTTTTAAAATCATTTATAATTATAATATGAGACAAAAGCCTTTCCTTCACATTACAAGCCATCAAACATTGGAATGAGTTACCCCTTGACATTAAATCCAGCGCTTCCAAATTCTCATTTAAATCAAAATTGCGTAAACACCTTTCCTTGAACTAGAGTAATTCCTTTTATCCCAAATTTCAATACTATTTAATCTTCCTCTACCTCTCCTCCTTCAGGAATCTGACTTTCATTGTTGATTTGTATATATATTGTATGTATATGTATTGGTATGTATTTATATATATATATATATATATATATATATATATATATATATATATATATATATATATATTACGTTATGTAAGTATTATGTTAATCATAATGTACCGCCCACGTGAATCTCTGTTTGCTCTATGGTTGACTGGGAGAAAATGCCTCTAGGTGTTAAGTCCGCCATGTGCACCTTTATTAATGTATATGTGCATTAAAGTTTAATAAATAAATAAATAAATAAAAAGGATGGTACACATTTATACAAAAATTACGCTGACGGTGGAGTATTAAATTTCGTACACTTATCCTTACTAATATTATAATTGCGAAAGTAACTCTGTCTGTCTGTCTCGCTTTCACGCCGAAACCACTGAACCGATTTAAATGAAATTTGGTACACAGAGTCTAGACCCTGACAAAGGACATAGGCTACTTTAGGTTTCCAAGGGGTTGAAAGGTTATGTGGAAGTATCTTCATTTTACGCGGACGAAGTCGCGGGCGTAGCTAGTAGTTTTATACATAGAAAGAGTATAGCATACATTTTTTTTATTATCCATATAAATCCTTCCTCCATGCGACGGTACCGCTTTTTCGTGACCGAAAAATCCTAATACACACTGTCTATATAAAAGTTCACTTTAAAAATAAAAACTCACTACATATGCACTCTGAGGCCGGCGTTGTTAACAAACGTACTATCGCACAATGTACAATGCTGCTTCTGTTTGTGTTTATCTCGGTGGTATCTGTAGCCGCGGTGCGATCTGTAACACAAACAATCATACTCATGAATACAACGGACGGACTGTGTTCTGAGGAATTGTTCGACATGATGCCTACGCAGGGGCGGATCGTGAACTTGTGGGGCCCTGGGCTAAATCTACTTAGGAGTCTACCTAATTACTCAACTAAAAAAATACACCGACCAAAAACAAGCGATTAGAAATTCCCCATTCCTTTCGATAGACTACATTTGCATGGGTTGATTGATTTTAATATATAATTTCTAAATATTTTTTCATATTGTAAATATCGTTTTAGTGGGGACTAGGGGCCCTTTGTATCCTCGGGGCCCTTGGCTGCAGCCCAAAAAGCCCTTAGGTAGATCCGCCCCTGTGCCTATGGCCACCTTTTACCATCGCCAGGGAATTTATCCCCACACGTTGGAACCTAAGTGATCTCGGACAGTGCGGTTTCAGAGGATCTTCCTACCGCGTGCACTTATATTGTGGAATGAAAATTACATATAACCCTAAATTTTATCCCTTCTATCTTATATATCCATATTTATATGGCAAATAAATATATTTTTAATAATATTTATTTGCCATATAAATATGGCAAAACAAACGTTTGCCGGGTCAGCTAGAAAAATATTAAAAAAAAATACAAACTGTGTAGTAAATCCACACTCCTGGCAGGTGAATGTGGTGCTGATGACGCCATGCTGTTCATTGTAATGCTTCACCACAGAGTATACGTTATTGTTACGTTTACCACACTCGCAGCATTCGTACCTGCATCAAAAACAATAATCTTAATCTATACTTCTAGGGATTGTTCCTACATTTGTTGATAATGATAATTGATAATTGATAATCTACGGGGTTGATAAATATGTGCCTACACTTGTAATATTTCTGTCGGCACTTGAGACCCTTCCATTAATTTACGTCTCCACTAACATAGATTTAAGTTAAGTGTAAAATGAGTCCACGGCCCGACTCCGCGTCGACTGTACGCGTTACTAATAAGCCATCTTACACACTACCAATAAACTTAATAATGTCTAATAAAATAAAATTCCACGCGGACGTAGTCGCGGGAACACCTAGTTTATATTAGTAAGGATACCTTCTTGTATGTCTTTTCGTGTGTTCCTTGTACGATATTTCAGTACTGAGTACGGATTTGCAAATATCACATATGAATCCTCCGTTTTTCTGTAATGAAAATAATTTTATATAAAAAAAATCTCTTGTCACAATGTTACCATACTCCTCCGAAACGCTTAGACCGATTTTTATGATTTTAGTAGTCCAAAAAAAATTTGTGTATTTTTTCGGACTATACAAATTAATTCTGAAATATTCTAGTGCTGTTGGCTGCTGGGCTTTACAGCTTCACCGAACGATGGGGGGCGATGGCACTTCAAACCAAAAAAAGGACTTATAAAGCGGCGGAAGGCCCATTCCCGCCTGACGGATACGACTTTAGTCTCAGGGACATCTCTAGACGTTCGAACCTTGACTCAGGGCATCGTAATTTCGATCCCCGTTTGAATTGGATCGATCGGAAGGCGACCGGAGCGTCGGTTTGAGGTTCATTGCGCTGTATGGTGCGAATGAGGTCGTCGCCTTCGCCGGCGAGGACGGTGTCGTGTGTGTGTAATGTGTCGATCAGAGAGGCAGGGTACGGCAGTGATATTACAGGGTACGGATGCATGACATCTTATTTCTAAGGAATGGTAACGCACGACCACGGGACATCAACCGTTTTATTGAGGTCTAAACGACGGTAGCTACTGTCCCGTGTCTCTTAGCAATAAAAGGTAAAATGTCTTACTTGTTTATGCCTTTTCTCCATATGGTCTTTCAAAGTTAATTCATGATCAAAACCAGTAATACAATATTCACATTTATATGGCAACTTCAGGTATGCGTCTTTCCGTCTCTCCCTGTCTCTTTCACTCATCATCTCTTCGTTAGTAAGTACAACTATACGGATCTTCCCCTCGTATTTATCGTGTATACCACTCTTAACCTTCTTCTTGTCTATGCCTTTTTTTTTCTTCTTTCTAATATCTTTTTTAATTTGAGACAGCGGCAAGTCTACGTCGTCAGAACTTTCATGTTCGATTTTCACCTCCGTTGTGATTTCATCGAATAGAGGATGATTGTCTTCTTCTTTGATTGGTTCATTGTCTATGGTCTCGATATTATCCGTTAAATCAATGGCGGAAAATTGTAAATTATGTGTAATTGTTTTGTTTAATTTCAAATGTTCAACCTGTAAAATTATGTATACTTAAACGGGGCTAGACGAAGAGTTACACTATAATCAAATAATAACGTAATATGTAATAATTATTATTTTAATTAATTATATATAACAATGAATTAATTACTTTATATAATTAACTGGACTAGACGAAAAAAAAATTTTCGCCCTTTAATCACCAACCCTATTTTTTAGTAGCGATATTAATTTATGTGAGAAAACAACGATTACTAGCTTGTATGGTGGTATATATATATATACATTTTGTTTTATTTTATCTTATTCTTTTGTTTGTCTTTGTATATATAGTGACCAAAAGCACTGAATAAATATTTTTTCTTTCATCTTTCTTTTTTTTTGTATATTGCTATGTTTTAAAAACAATCGTAATTATATACCTGTTCGTTTAATATAACAAAACTCTGTTCCACTTTCCTTTTGAAGAGTTCCACTGTTTTCAATTTATGATGACACATAAAGCAGACCAGTATACCTTGTAGCGACATCTGTAAAAATATATTTATTTATACAATTTCAATATATAATGCTGCCGGCCTCGGTGGTCTAGCGGTTTAGCACACCGCTTTACTTCTGCTGATCGCGGGTTCTATTCCCAGCACATTTGCATTAATGAGCATGAATGTTTGTATCGGTCTAGGTGTATCCTATTTATATATTATATTTACAAAAATATGGTTATTGCAAAATAATAATCTCAAGCAATAAATTAAAATTAAAATTACATATCCTCTTGGCGGCCATCTTGATGCCTCCAACACCAATCTACAACGAGCTTACTATACCTATCAATTTATTATTGCTTAAAAACGCTAAAGAGTTTAAACAATTAATTGATATGAACAATGTACATACATATTTAGGGTGAAATATTAAATACTTGCCTTGAATTTGAAGACATACTCAAAAAAACCTGAATGTTTACATTTAGCCAGATTTATAAATGGAACTTCTGTAGCCAAACAACACACGCAAATGTTTTCGGCAGGTAAAGTTTTAAATATGTCTTGATTAAACTCATAGTCTGGTATATTTGACTGTATAAATTGAGACATTTTAAGCTATAAAATAAATAAAAAACAAATCCTCGTAACATCCAATCCTTTGTCGTTGAACTATGTATTTACTTGAAATGTTTCATTTCATGTAGGTAATGTTACCACTTGGCCGTTGTAAAAAATAATATTAATTAATAGAAATATTGATAAAGACCTTATTATATAACACTATTAATTTTTCTAGTTAAATATTTTATTTTGTAATGTCACATATATATTTATTGTTTTTTAAACACAATTCACAGTATATAAAATATGTTAGCTAATATTACTGCTAATATAATTTATTATCACGATATAGGAACGTATCAAATGGTGCGTTTTGCTATCACAACTTTCTCAATTCCATATACAATTCCTGAATTTATTTTAGTAAACGTTACCCTAATATTAAAAATCATATAAATTTTATTTTACAATACAGTATTACTTATATTGTATTTATTGCAGTACTAGAGTTTCTACATAAGAGAATACTATTTTCTGCATAGGAGTAATTTGTCATATCGTGAAGTGAATAAACTAAACGCACTTGACATATTATTGTTTTTCTTTTCTGTTTTAGCGTTCTTTTTTTTGTAAAATTTTAATCAATTTATTATTGTTTATTGATTATCTGAAAATGATATTTATACGCAGTTTTAATATATCTTAAATTGCAATGAACAAGAATAATGTGTGTTGCGGTTGCTTATCTGCCGAAAGAGAAATTAATAAGATTGAGGATATTTGTAAAAAGCAATGTTTTATGAAAATAATAAATGAAATACCGGTGAGTTTTTATTTTATAAATACGCTGAGGTAGTATCTGAATTTTGAGCATAGACAATTATTTTATATTTCAACGATCTAGCTGAATATACTATTATTATGGCGATTGAATATATGTAATTCGGCGGCGATGTCTTTGGCTCTTAATTTAGTTAAAAAATGTAAAAACCAAGCAAACAAACCATCAGTCTATATAACCGTATGGTAAGTGCATTTTTTAGGAATTCAAAGTGCATAAAAGAGCCATATATAGTACTTTTTTTTTCTTTCTGTTTATCCTTTAAATGAAAGGTTTAGGCAATTGTGAAACCATCTATAGTTTATAGATTCCTATTTTATGAGGGTAGATTTGTTACTCATCCTATCATCACCATCAAATACCATTAGCGCAGGAACATGCACAATATTCAACCAATAAAAATGTTTTCCTGTTCTTTTCTTTATGTTATTATAATGGCAATTAAGCTAACATTCCTGATGGTAAGTGTTTACTATCACTTATATAAATAGACAGCTTTCCTGTTCTCCTCTCTAGGATATAATATAATTAATATGATACATATATAATAAGAATAATATTATATTGTAATAAATGGAACAACTGACATACTTTTAACAAAAATGGAGGGTACAGGCAACTTTATATTTATGCTATAGTTAGGTGACTACTTGCCCTGGCTTCACATGGGTATATATTTATTTTTATTTATTTATTTATTTTCGGAAAACCAAGGCTATTTACAAACATAGTTATAAACATAATTAAATGATAACAGCCACTTATAGGTTTCCACGGATAGAAACGTAATATAAAAAAAAAAAAAAATTACAGTGCTAACACGAGAGGCGTGTTTGTGTTATAAATACTCATAAAATCAATATGTATTATACACATAAGCCTTCCATTTGAATTAATCTATCTATTGCCAAAAACTGTATTAAATTCTGTTGAGTATTAAAGCACAAATCACACTGGCCAGAATGACATCTATAGACTACTTTTTATAAAGTATCCACTTTAGTACATAACAAGTAGTTTAAAAGATCAAAGCAAACAGACAGTGGAAATTACTTCATTTTATACTATGTTAATGACTTCAAAGGTCATCATTTTAGGTTATGATATTATGAATTTGCTTTCAGATGTCCTGTATACCAGTGGACCATGCAGTCTGGCTGTGCTCGGAGTGTGAAGCACTGCTCGGCCGGTTCATCAAGTTTAAAGAACAAATTCAGCATGCTTACAAAATGCTACTCGACTGTACAAAGAAGGTAAGTTAGTAATTGTATTAAAAAAAAATATATATATATATTTTTTAATCATGTAATCAGTCTTCCACACTATAAGCAGATCAGTTGATTATCAAATCTCCTGAGACATAATCTCCATTGAGAATCCAGCCTCAGATTGCTTGATTTTATATAAAAAACATATTTATTTATTTATTTAGCCTTTGTGCTGACAATCATCAGCTTGTCCCAAGACATAGGCCTCCTCCAAAAGACTATAGAATATAAAAAACATATAGAGACTATTTTTTCCTATTTATTTTTTGCCGTGTACAACCTCAAATTCTAGTGGAAATCGCATGGGCGTGACTTGACATGGTTAACTGCTAGCAATGGTATCATTACTCAACACTAGTAACTATTCTTTTCCCTACAATGTGGCAATAAATGCCCATATACAGAAACCATAAACAGTACCATCATATGATCACAGTGATGCCTATGATAGCACTCATGCATTGATATCTGGATGACTGTGATGTCATGCCTCATATCCTATAATTTTACTGCCTAATCTCAAGAACTATAGTTTGGATTATAATCCAAACTGCTTGGCGGGTAAAGTAGGTGAGATGCAGATGACTTAGAAAATCTACCTCAGATAAAACTTGATTGTACCAATATTAATAGGCCTCCATCCCTGACATTTTCTTAAAATAGTTAAATAAAATTTCTGTATGTATTTCATATAATTAATATCTTTATTTCCAGAGTACGAAACAACTTAAGACAAATGAAGCAAAATCAGAAAAAACTCTGAATATACCCAAAGTAGATAATGATTTCTTTAATGAATCGAACGATAAAGTTATAGACAATGATAATGTAGAAAATATATGTGATATTAAAGAAGAAATTCATGAATATGATGAATTTAATAATGATGATAAAGTGGAAGATAAAATAAAAAAGAACAAAAAAGTAGGAAGGAAGAAGAGGAAGGTGTCATCAGAGTTGTATAAAGAAGTGAAGCTAACACCCAAACAATTAGAGGAGGAGAGAAGAATTATGATTATGAATGAAGAATATTTGAATGCTATGTTCAAATGTGAGAAGTGTATAGTTACATTTCCAAATATAGACGATTTGAAAGATCATGTGCATTTCAAACATGAGTTGGTGAGTTATATTACAATTATTTATTTATTTATATTTATATATAAAATTACTTGCTCTCGGTGATTATTACAGTGCAATACCAATGCACTCACCAAGGAATAAATATATGCAATACATACATTAATAATAGTAATCATAATAACAATAAGGTGACAAAAAAAATAAAACAAAAGAAATAAAATAAATATAAAATCAGCACCTATACAAATTACAATAATATTAATAATGTAGAAATATACTAACACACTACTCTCATATTGTGACTCCACAAAAATTGTTACCGCTCTGTGAAACTCTGTGGCAGTACAATTAAAGATGTCAAGTGGAAAAATAGTAGATAACTCATTAAGCAGACGGAGTGCTCTTGGGAGTGGTGCACGATCAGCATGTAAGGTTCTATACAGGGGCAGGGCAAATAATTTTATTTATTTTTATTTATTTATTTATACAGCTATTATTATAGGACTAAGCCCAATACAATAGTGTATCTAATTCTATATTATACATGTTCGTTAATATAACATATAACATACGATGTTGTTTTTGTGAATTCACACAGACTACACACAAACAAATCCGTTGTTTCTGCTATTTTATTGAGAGTGGCCAGTGCGTGTGTCATGGGCGCCTTGTTTAACAAATTAGTTCTGCCGCGAGGTACCGCTAGCAACTGGCAATTTGTACTTACGATCACGCTTTCCAAGTTCTGCGACGGGACAAAATTATAATAATTCTATTTTGCTCCATAAACAAATGGAGAGGAATACAATAGCTCTCTCTCTCTCTTCTTAGCTAAATATCCCACATTGAAGGAGGATCAGCTTTCCTTATTCCATTCATATTAAAGAAGTCTGATTTACATTATTACTTAAGTGATTACATACGTAACTGAGTCTGCAAAGGTAACAACTGTTAGTCGGAATATTTTTATTCTAGAACGCATCAAAACACAGCTGCAATGTCTGCGACTGTACATTCGCGACGGAAGTAGCGTACAACTACCACGCCGGTAGACACCTACATAGATATAAGTGCAAGGAGTGTGGTGAGATGTTCATCTGCAAGCGAGCAGTACTTAAACATTATGAGAAGGTACACAGTTACGGTTATGGGTACGTATTGTTTTTTATTGATGATAATGTAATGAAATTTTTATTTGCATATTATACAGTTACATCATAGTAATAGGTCCAGGTAATAATTTATTTATAAACTCTTTATTGCACCAATAGAATTAATACATAAGAATTATACAGAAAAGAGATATGGAAGCACAAAAGGCGGTCATATCGCTAGAAGCAATCTCTTCAAGACAACCTTTAGGTAGAGAAAATACAACAAAAAGTTGTCAATAATAATAATATTATTGACAACTGTTTAATTGCACCAATTTATGAGCATGCAAATTTTGAATATGCTATGATATGTTGTATATACATATAAGGTGCACTCGCCTGCGCTAACGGTTTCCGTTGGCGAGGCAACAGTGGAGAATGATAAGATGAGCCTGAGGTCAGGTCGGTTAGCCCATTCTGGCAAATTCACAAGGATCTTATCACAATGGTTTATAGTAGAAACCGCAAGGAGGTGACTTGACATGGTACATTGCTAGCAATAGGGTCATTCCCTTCCCACTATGAATCTGTATTCTGAACTGACCATTATGGAAATATATTAATTACAACAGTTTTAGCCGCTTATGAACATCAAGTTTGTGAAGTTCAGAAAGGTAAATGGTTTATGGTTATTGTTTTTTCAGAATCGATTTAAGATATGATCTGAATGATGACAAAGATAATGGACAATTGGAACAAACAGAAGATAGCAAGTAAGTATTTATTAGGCCTTAGTTTAACAACAATCTGCAGCTTGTGCCAAACATAAGAGAAAACGGCCCTACACATCGTAAGTGGTTGTAGCCCACTCATGCATAAACGTAATATCTCCTATGGAAAGTCTACACTCTACCCTGAGGAGATAAAAATATAAATCTAATAATAAAAAATTAAAAAATAATACATTATTCTTTATTTCTAGTGATAAAAGCATATTAGCGGGCCCGACATTATTCCCCTGCGATTACTGCGAGAAAACGTTCAGATGGAAAACTTCACTGCGCAAACACATCGAGAGGCACACGATAGAAATGGGACAGAAAAGGAAACCGTACTGCGAGGCCTGTAGGTAAGAAAGAGACTTTAGAAAACACTGTATTTAAGACGTAGGTAGTTAGGTAGGTAGGTAGAGATAGACAATCAATGCTATTGACTTAGAAATCTCTTTATTTACCATGTTAAAGACCACATGCCCACCGGTGGGTCACTCCGCAACGAAAGTAAATTTACACGTTGGGACCGGGTGATTATCTGTGAGCACTTTAATTTAAATTAATGTAGGGGTTAAATAATGTCTACCTCAATATATATAAAAAATAATAAATGCCGCTAAATAAGGTTTTTCAATGCGATTTTCAACGTGTTAAACTTAAGAAACCTTTGTAAATCTTTCTGATCATGGATGAAAAGAATGTTATTGGGCACCTTAGTATGAAATCTATACCCACGGCCTACAGAAAAAAAATAGATTGGGAAGTTATAGAGATAGTAGATAGTAGATAAACATCTCTAGTTTATGAATATGTCGCATTAATGCTATCTGCATGGGACTCAGACCAAAATATGAAAAAGAAAAAAATATATATTAAGATAAATCAGTTTTCACTCATTTTTATTATTTTAGCCGGATACGTTTTTTTTTAACTGGATAAGATTTTGCCCAACGACCTTTTGATCAAAAGTATTTCCTTGCTTTGAAATAATCTGTTTTCCAGATTAACGTTTATGACAACTTCAAACCTTCAGAAACATGTCAGGACAAGTTCCAAACACCAGGTACAGCTGAAGTTGAGGTGAGAATCTGTATGTTAATTTTATAATAAACCTGTTTAGCATTTGCTATTGGTGAATATTATATTAGTTTTAGTCTATATGATGTTGGTATTAATTGACATATAAGCAATTATATTTTTAAACCAATAATAATAATACCCCTGGACACTTCATACGACGCCATCTAGTCCCAAGGTAAGCAGAGCTTGTGTTATGGGTACTAGACAACTGATACAAAAACTTAGATTTTTTGTATATACATATTAATATATACAGAAAACTCCCTGACCGATACAAACAATAATTAAATAATTGTATTAAATTAAATAACTGTATTCATGAGTATAATTACTCATGAATACATTTTTTTGTGCGATACGAGGAATCGAATCCACGTCCATCGGAAGTAAAGCGGTGTGCTAAACTGCTACATAACCGAGGCTGTCGAAATAAATTAAAAAATGTTACATATATATTATAGTAGCAGTATAAAAACTTAAAGTAATCTTGTCATCTAGAAAACTAAACGCTTCGCTCGCCGAAGATTCAGTCACGCCAGAGAAGCAACAGGCGCACATAGAGCAAATCAAGACGCTGGTGAATAAATCAAAGCAGAAGTATCCTTGCACGCAGTGTGACAAGAGCTTCCAATGGCGAGGAAACCTACTGAGGCATCTACAAAGTCACACCGCCAAGTATGTGTACCTTTGTGAATTTTATACATAAATTATATCACTACATATACATTATTATACCTGTGAGGTTGAAGTAGACAGTGTGACATTGTCACATAGCAAGGCAGACATCGTCACATGTCAAATTTAATGTATCATTAATATAATAACCAATAAAATTTATACTTCGAACTATTAATAAAAATCCCTAATATTTTATAAATTTGCAAAATGTGTGAAAAATTAGGGGGGGGGCCGGGGGGGATTTTAATCCATAAATTACCTTATGGGGAGAAATGTAGTCCCAATATTTGTTATTGCTTGTTTTTGCATTTTTTATTATGCTCGAATTACGACCACTGAGTGACCACTACAAAATAAATAAATATTTTAACCGATCCAAACTCTGATATTGTGTATAATAATCGATTATTTTTTTATTGTATTTTCTCTAATATATAACAATTGTTTGCATGTTGTGTGCAGGGCGAACGGCGAGCTAATATGTGCGCCATGCAACCGAACGTTCTCATCGATTGCAACGTACAAACAGCACATGACGATTAGTAAGAAACATATCACAGAGGATGAATTCAAGTAAGTTTAGTTTCCAGTGAGTCACATTATGTAGAAAGAAAGAAATCTGCGGTCAATTAAAAACATGTAAGTTTACCGAACGAAATGTGGGCAACACTTGATAGTGTTTTATTTTTTAGGTACATGTGTAGCGACTGTGGCCAAAAATTCGCCAACAAAACTCAACTACGAGATCATATAAATTGGGAGCATTTGAAGAATTATGTGCATAAGTGTCCACTTTGTCAAAAGGTAAGTTGATTTTATTTATGTGACTTGATGGTAAGTGTTACCACTTACCATCAAGTGGCCCGTTATATATACACCGTCGTCTATACACCTGAACTTTATGGTCATCACGTTATCATGTGAAATGTGTGATACCACTCATATGTTGCCATTCCAAAGTACTAAGATGTTATCCTGTAATTTCAAATCAGATATAGTTTAGAAATTTAAGTCAAAATTACGCAAACACCTTAACCAGAATGAGAGTAATTACATTTGCTTCAAATTTTAAAACTATTATTCCTCTACTAATGATTAGAGGAATAGTACCTTAATTTTCGTACTAGCTGTGCTTGCGACTTCACCCGCATGAAATTTTTAGTCTATGTGTCAATCCGATGTATAAGCTAGATTATTTTAAAATTCAGTAGTTTATACGTGAAAGAGTAACAAATATCCATCCATTCACACTCACATACTTCCGCGTTTATAATATTAATTAAATTTGTGTATTGAAGTTTTAATAAATAAATTGGGTAAATCTACTATTATCTTCACCAGGTGTTCAAGACTCATACGTCACTGTACTGCCACAACCAGGTGGTGCATCAGAAAGGTCAGGCAGAGCTCTTGTGTGACCACTGCGGGAAACATTTCACGGTGAGTTGTACGCAGAGCCTATACACCTTTGTCTGTTCACGGCTATATCTATACACGGCTGTAGCCTAAATGAGGGACACGAGTGGAAACACTTCCCAAGCCATTGGCGCTGCCACTTCCCTCGATTGTTTCGTGCGCGAGTCAAAGGACTGGCAGCGCGAGTGGCAGCGTGTTTTTACATACAGCCCTCTCGCTCAGTTGTCGCCCGGCAATATTTCCGGCAGCGCGAGTGGCAGGGGAAGCGGCTGAATGTAAACGTAGCATAATGACAAGTGACAAAAGTATAATAAATGTTGAACATAAACATTTAATCTTGACATGTTTCTTTATGTAACATTGTCACTTGTACCTTTTATTTTATTAACAGGTGTTCCTCTACTTTTGTAACATTGCCGCATTCATATATTACAAATTAAATTTCATGGTTGCATTATTATATATATAAATTTATTAAACCTACATTTATTATTATTAAAAACTCTCCAAACTGCAGAACAGTTTGTTGGCAAGATATAGTTAATATTTATTAATACTAAGACTTACCTACCTACATCTCTACACCCAAATATACGTCTATATCTACTTATCTATATATTTTTTGCATTGTAAACTTAACAGTTGCATGTCTGTGACACTGTCACATTCAAATATTACACTTATTGTGACAGTTGCATATGTGTGACATTGTCACATCGCGGTTTTACAGAACAACGCGAAACTCCGCACGCACATAACCGCGATACACAGCCACCAGTCCCCGTACCGGTGCGGCACATGTTCTGCCCGGTTCAAGTGGCACTCGTGCCTGTCGCGACATGTCAAGAGAATACACGGGCCACTAGCTACTCGCCGGCGACGTGTTCGCCCAGACGATGCCGGGGGTAAGACGCCATTTATTACTTTATTGTTTATATCCTGTTAGTAGCAACATGCTCCGGCTGCCTGTCGCGACATGTCAAGAGTATATATAGGTATTTAGTTGCTTGCCCGCGAAGTGTTCGACGACGGGGGACGCACGCTAGGTGAGCCGGGGTACCGGGGGGGTACACTTAGGTGTTTGTTTTGTGTAATGATTACATGCCGAGATTTTCTCAAAAGACTACAAGGATTATGGTAGCCGTTTACCGTCATACGAGCTGTGTGCTTGTATCATACCATCATAGTATAAAAAAAACATTAATAGAACTACGTCATATTAGGCATGTTACCACTCATTGATTACCATTCCGAAGTTGCTTGGCTAAGTGGTCAAATGACATGTCAGATTGAGTGCGTAGCGGTTTCTATGTTGATTGTCGCATGCCTAATCTTTGTTAATGTGTATTTACTTCTAACAACAATTATTTAAAAGAGCAACACTCATGTCTCTTTCTCATACTTCCTGTGACGAGTCTGCGTTCCAAATGAGCGGTAGAATAAAAAATGACTATTTAAAAATACTTATATTAAGTTTATTTGCATAAAGTTATTTCTATTTGAGTTGTCACTTAATTATATCTGATGTTAAACAGGTACTGAAGACGGCGGCCTTGCTGTCGACGGTGGTTTAAGTTGATAAACGATCACGCGTTTGTTATACAGTTCAAATATATAGAATAGTAGCCTTTACCCGTGACTTTGTCTGCTTTTTTAGCCTATAACAGGCCCTGTAATCTATTTTCAGTTGTGTGGTGAAATGGTAAAACTGACGAATAGACTTGCGTTATTGTTTTTTTAAAGGACGCGATCTCATGTATTTTAATCTATAGGAAATTGTTTAATAATATCTGGTATGAATAATGTATATATTTTGCTATAAAATCTTAAGTAAATAAACAAATGTGTTATGTGATAAATGACTTTTATTTAATGATTTCCTATTTATACATTATTATGTTTATATAAAACGTTCCACAGTTTACAGATAATATTTATTCATATAGGTCTATTATAGACAGTTATATGTCAAATCTATCGTCAGTTCGTGGTGGTTTCGAAACAAGAAGTGACTCAGCTCTTAGCTCTTAATCCACTATATAAATCCATAAAGGGAAGGGAATTACTAGTATTGTGGTCTAAAACCCCATTGCTAGCAATGTGCCATGTCGGATAGACCTCAAAGCGTCGTGATAAATTTCTGGTGAATTTGTCACGATGTACTAACTGACCTGACCTCATGCTCATCTTACCATCCTCCAACGGTGCCCCGCCAGTGTTTACCGTTAGCGTAGGCGACTGCACCATTCCATTATCATCCATAAAAACCCTATTATACATCATGCCCTAGATCTTGGTTATAGGACTAGAAAGACAGGGTCAAAAGTTACAATGTTAAAATCAAAACATTAAATTACACGAACGAACAAAACACAAACGAACAAAACACAAAGTTACAATCAAAACATTAAATTATAATTAAGGGGGTCTTCCTATGTGACGGCCTGTTTTTTAGGGATATTTTAGGATTTTTTTTCTACGACCAGTAAATATTTAGAGCTTCAAGTTTTTTATCATTTATTAACACATATTTGGACAGTATAAATATAAAATTTCAGCTAAAAATATTCAGTCAAACTAGAGTTACAGCGCTCTGAACACCCCCGCCTCGAAAAAAAGAGCTCCCACTTCCTCCACGATTCCGGCTGATCGGCTTATCTGAAAAAAAAAAAAAACGGCGTTTTAATTTGTAGGCTTAAAAGCACGGAATGACCTATAATCAAATGAATATAAAAAAAATTGGATTTTTGATAGACATTTGAAATAAAAGTTGCAAATTAGGCGTTTTTTTTTTTTGTTTTTTGCTATAAAAAAATCGAAGTTTTGAAAATTTTCGATTGATAATAGTTCATTCCATGCGTTTACATATATTGAGTGTGCCCTGTAAATTTCAAGTAATTCGGTCCAGCCGTTTCTGAGATACAATGGAGGAAAGTTTGAAAAACACAGTTTTGAGAAAAACGCGTTTAAAGTTTCAAGTCCGTTAAAAACTATTAAAATATCAACTTACTCTCAATCGGCGATGCCTGGTCCATAGAGTATTCCTTCCTCTTCCTCGTGAAACTCTTTTAAAGCAGATTGTTCAGCTCTTGAGTCAATCCTGGCTTGTTTAACGACATCACTTACGCGCCGCTCAGAGCGTAAGATTCGCTTTTCATCCCGTTTCTCAACATACGCTTGGGCTTCACGACCAACAGGGCATCCCATAATCGACATAACTTTTAAAATACCTTGAAAACCTTCATTAAAGATAATAACTGCTAAGTAGCTAGCAATTTCAACAACTTTGGGACCAGAGTGAAGATGTTTAGGAGCGAAAGTCCAAATCAAAGAATTCAAAGATTCGTTATTGTTTTGTGTCTCTGCTCCTAAACAACGAATTAATAATTCGTCTTTCGATAAATCTTCGAAAACCGGTTTGATAGCTTCTTGGACTTGCGGAATTAGAGGTGGTTTATCGTGATGAAATTGGTCCAGTTCATTATTAGCTTCAGCCTTACGCCATTTACACCAACTGTCTTCGCCTTCTGGACAAAATTGATGCTGAGGGTTTTCATCAGAAGAACATTTGTGATAGTACGTTGCCCAAACTTCCTTTCTCATATCTTCAAGCGAATCTGGATGGCGTCGAATTGCTAATCCGTAGAATTTTGTAATTTCTTGGATAACTTTATCAGTAAGTTTACCTGCTCCTTTTCTGTTTAAGTCTGTAGAAAACTGTCTAAACTTGTATAAACAAATATATTAATAAAAGGGAGGCCAGGTATAAAGCCGACGGTACACAATAGGTAAATATAACTGCCAACTCACCGCTCCGAACCGCTCTTTCTTTTACCTGCTGTATCTTTAAAACGACTTCGAATTTTCTAAAATCGCTTTACTACCGTATTCTAGACATGTTAAGGGAGCAATTTATGAAAAAAAAAAATCGATTTTTTCAACCCATCACATAGGAAGACCCCCTTAATTAAAATAGACAGTTTAGGAACAGCTGTTATAGATTAATTTTAAACTTTCGTGTTTAATATACATTATTTAAAACTTTTACTTTGACATCGCTGTTACTCCAGTCAGCTCGTGACCACGGCTAGTGCAACCTAGTCGAAACGTCGAGAGGGGTAAATACCTTTATTTGCCATAAAATTATTCGTGTTAAGACCCGGTTTAATAATTTTAAAAAAAGCTGTTATAGAATATTTTATAAAAACACTATTTGTTGCCATTCTATTCATAAATTTATATAAAACTAAGAATGAAATTGTACAATATATTTTATAAATATCCTACACTTAATTAAAAGAGATACGATTATGTTTGCAGTTGGGGTCGATGCAAGCTAAAAACAAATTATGTCAGGGCTTATCTTGCTTGTGTTACTTGTGCCTAATTGCAAAATACAATTTGGGACTATATTTTTAATGACTTTCCTTATTCCGGTTTGGCAAGAAAGATATATATTTCTTATTTAACCGAAATAAGGAAAAAAGTCAGCGAAATACTGGGGGTAAGGGTATCCATAAATTTTGTTACCTTGAGGGATGAGGAAGGGTTCCCCAAAGTGTGACAAGGGATGGAAAAGGACCTAAATTCCGTGATGTCACTTCAAAATCTAATATATCTAGTAATAAAATACGAAATTTGAATTTTCATAAAAAAATTTCATAAAATAATTCATAAAAAAATAACAACCTTATTCTGAGACCTAACAAAAATGTCATAAAAATAATTCCAGCCATTTCGAAATAGTTCGGAACGGAAAGTTTATTATTACGGATATTTGTTATTCTTTCTCGGAAAAACTAAAGCTACTAAATGGACTGTAATAGTATATATTACCATATAAGTGCGTTATGATGGTTACAACACACGAAGCGGAGTTCCAGTCCAAGTCGAAGGCTACGTCGTAATAAAGCCGAATGTATACATACGCACATACATCATACGACGTATTTCAAAACGTTATGCAAAAGATTGCTTTTCCTCCGTTTTACTTTTTAGAATCAATGGCTGTTCTAAACTGTCACTTCGAAATCTCTATTTTAATTCAGCCTATATATATGTACACAACTAATACATATAAATAAAATTGGAGTGTCTGTTTGTAATATTGAAATAACTGTTTTTTACTACATGCATATGAATATAAATAGGGTGCATACACCAAAATAACATCTTTTACAATTTTTATCTGTCTCTCGGTCTGTTTGTTCCGGCTAATCTATGAAATGGCTGGACTGATTTTGACGGGGATTTTTTTTGGCAGGTATCTGATGTAATAGGGAGTAACTTAGGCTACTTTTATTTTAGAAAAATAAAAATTTAATTCAACGCGGACGAAGTCGCGTAATAAACAACTTAAATTATGGTTATATTTCACATTCAGTAAGAGCATAACGAAATAATTTTATCTATTCTCAATTTGACATGGTGTGTGTGTGTTTTTTTTATTGATTTAATGTATTTTTAGGCATAATAAGAAAAAAATAGTATATATATATTATTTATTTATTCTTTATTGCACTTAAAAATTGTACAACTTGGCGAGCTTAATGCCATATGGCATTCTCTACCAGCCAACCATTAGATAGGAACAGAAAGCGGTTGATGGGCAGTGGTGAGAAAGGACAGGACCTTTAATTTTAGCCCACATAGGTAAATAGGTAGTATAGTATTCTGCACTCCTCTGTATAAACTATAAAAAAATCTGTTAAAACTCGGACGAAACGTGGTCTAAATGGTCGTGATTTAAACCATTCCTAATGTTAATACTTGGAATAAGCCTAACATTATTAACAATCCAGATCTAACAGAGGACTACTTTACTACATTTAAATCGTTCATTATGTATTCCATACAGAAATCAGTCACTCATGTCTGTTAGCGTACAATTACCTTCCGTTTTACCAGAAAACTGAAAAGATCAAAAATAATATTACGTCAAATAAAAATGTATGAACTAAAAATAACTTTATTTCTATTTATCTATGTCTTCATTATACTATTTCATTAATATATAGTATTTATTAATGTACTATTAGGCTGAATATCAGTTTTAAATTACAAGTAGGAGTCCTATACGGAGAAAAGGAACGGAGAGATATTTTATAACAATTTTCGTAAATGTTACATTTTTTCTTCACGTATTAATATAATGATAATGTACATGAGCGTACAGCTTAACTTTTAACAATTTAATCATTATGTAAATAGGTTTTACATGTTGTAAATTACATGCACAGAGTACCTACGGACGTGGTACGGATATAATTGCTAAGAACTACATAGATAAAGCTATCAAACAACAAATAATATTAATTAATTAGTTTTATATCTGCGCCAGTATGGTACATTCGTTGACATTTATTACCTATTAATTAACTACGGGTCCCTTACATCGATCCCTCTTCCAATTCAAACGGGGATCGAAATTACGACGGCTTTTGCCGATGTTCGAACCCATATCGGTACCCTCAGACTAAAGTCGTATCAGGCGGGAGTTGGCCGGGGTTCAGCCGCTCCATAAGTCCTTTGGTTTGGAGTGCCATCTGCACTGCCCCCTACCGTCCAGTGAAGCTGTAAAGATCAACTGCATCCAATAGAATTAGAGTAGTCCGAAAAAAATATTAACTCCGACTCGTGTTTGTCTGAAATTTAAATAAATAAAAGTAATGTTATTTTATTTATTTATTAATTTTAGGAGATTATGTTACTAAGTCACAGGGGACAAAGGAGCTTGCGGCTCGCCTGATGATAAGTGATTACCGCCGCCCATATGCACACCAGCAAGCAACAACAAACAATTCAGCAACACCAACGGAATTGGAAATGCGTTGCCGACCTTTTAAGAAGAAATAAGCTCTTGTCTTGAAGGTTTTAATATCGTATCGGTTCGAAAATACCATTACTGGAAGGTGATTCCACAATGTAGTTGTGCGTGGCAAAAAGAAACGTTCTAGAAAACCGCACTGTGGAAGACCGCCATTCGTCCAGATGATCAGGATGCTATTTTAGTTTCTAGCGGGTGGTACGATGGTGAAACTCAGCAATACCTCAGAACACTCCCCGTGATATATGCGATAGAAAATGCACAGAGAAGCAATATCTCGCCAATGGGTCTAGTCTGTCACAAAGACGTTGATTACCAATGATTCTGGCTGCTCGCTTCTGAACGGTACCTAACATTGTGACACGAGAATTTTATATATAAGATTTATAAAACTACGACTCCGCCTGTACCGTACATTACGTTGCAATTGTAATAAACATTATACAAATAAGCTTAAAAGATATCTCTTCCTTTATTATTACAACATGTGTAGCAACATACATTTGAAATTAAATTAATTGTGGTTCCTAATATACCGCAGTTATTTTATAAATAGCGGAAATATAAATTACTATTTTTGAGAGATTTACGGTAAGATTTTCTTTCCCTTTTATATTTTATATAATATTGATTGTATAATGGTTATGTTTAGAGCAAGTTCAGAGTATTTTCTATAGAAATATTTCTTTTATATAACTGTTAAATCATATTATTGTGCTCGCGGGTTCACCCCTGTGAAGTTTATAGCCTGTTTTATTCTGATATATAAGCTATATTACTGTAGTTTCATCATAATCCGTTTTTTTAGTTTAGGTATGAATGAATAACAAACATCCATCCATACTCACAAACTTCCGCATTTATAATATTAGTGAAATAATTTGTAAGAATTTGTTAATTTAGTTCTTCTTAATTTGTCAATATAGCTCTTTAATATCGATCCGTTATCCATAAATTCCATATTGAAAAAAAAAACAACTTTGGCGCCAAAATGCTGATCCATAAAAAAAAAAATAATATTAATATAGATATAGATATTGATGAGAACACGAGAGCAAATATACTCTATGAAGTATATTTCGCATTAATAATTTTAAGCTTGCATAATATTGTCTAATTATTATTTTGAACCCTATAATTTCACTGTCATATGAAAAACATAAATAGAATGGTGGTAGAAATAGGTATTTAGACATTACTTCTTTCATTTGTAAATTTCAGACCAGAATTCGATTCTGTTATGGGGTAAACTGAAATCTAAAATATGGAGCCTTGTGAATATAAACAGGTGAATGCTGATGATATTCCTGACGATGGCAATGACTCTCTCAGTACTGACGATGACAAATCTTGGAGACCGTTTTTGCGACAGGTAATGAAGTAATTTCGATGGCTGTAGGGGGCAGTTCCCTTTGCCCTTCCATTAAAGGATACGAAAAAAAATTAAAATTCGATGATATAGTAATTCCTAAAATGCAAAATGTGTATGCAATTGTTCGTTATTAAGATTTTGAATTTAAGACTTTTAAAACTAATTAAGAAATAATCTTAAAACAAATTAGTTTAGTTTCTTGCCAGTTAGGTATCACTATGCTGCTGGTCACTACACTACATTCTCCCTAATTTCAAAATGAATCTGTATATTTGTAATCATATATAGCAGCTTATTTGAAAGGAATAAAAGTTAAATTTCTTATCAGTTCTTCAATTTTCGAAAGCGATGAATCGAACCCGCGACCCGGTGGACTAAGGCGGTGTGCTAAAACCGTTAGACCACCGCGGCCGTCATTTTACAATTTAAGATGCAAGATCGTTGTATCCTGTCAATTTAAATGTTTTTTACTGTGCAATATACATTATATATATATAAGTTTGTTTGTTTGTAACACTATTGTATAATATAATACTAGCTGTGCCCGCGGTTTCATCCGTATGAAAATAGCCTATGTGTTATTCTGATGTATAAGCTATATCACTGTAATGTTTCAACAAAATCCGTTCAGTAGTTTCTGCGTGACAGAGTAACAAACATCCATCCATACTCACAAACTATTGCATTTATAAATAATTCTGTAATCTCTATCCGATTTTAAATCATAAATTTGTTTAAAGTTACTAGTATCGAGTGGTACATGGAACGTGTACTTCATATGTGGACTGTACATGAGCGCGCCGACGGTGTACCTACCACAGCTGCGAAAGGAGACCAATGGTACAGTCATCACCGACGAGATGGCGTCTTGGATCTGTAAGTATCATTGCATAGTATAAAATAAAGTCGCTGTCGCTGTCTATCCCTATGTACGCTTAAGTCTTTAAAACTACGCAACGGATTTTGAAGCGGTTTTCTTTAATAGATAGAGTGATTCAAGAGGAAGATTTATATATATAATACATGTACCCGGGCGAAGCCAGGGCGAGTAGGTAGTATTTGTATGTCAATATTTTTTTTTATACTACTATGGTGGCAAGCAAGCATACGGCCCATCTGATGGTAAATGGTTACCGTAGCCTATAGACGCCTGAAACACCAGGGGTGTCAAATGCGCGTTGCCGACCCTTAAGAAACCTTAATATACCCTTCTTGAAAAACCCCATGCTGTAGTCTCGTGAGAAAACCTCGGCAGGAAATTCTTTCCACAATAGAAGTGTACGCGGCCAATTTACAAAGGCCGCGGCGGTCTAGCGATTGAACACACCGCTTCACATCCGATGGTCTCGGGTTCGATTCCTCGCACAGTACCAAAAATTTATAAAAAATGCCGGTTTCTATGTGAGAAATAAGATTATTGAATGCAGTCTTCAATGTGTTATTATAGTTTGATTAATATTATAGATATATATTAACATAAACAAATATTTACAGCTTCAGGATGCAGTTACGGAGCTCTACCGTGGGTCTTCGTTCACTCAGCCGCTTTAACGCTGTTCGGTCGCAAATACACATCAGCCGTTACCTACTTATATATAACCATAATATCAATTGTTTTCTACTGCAGCAACACACCAAATCAATTGTTAATATTCCAAATATCATTAGGCGTTCCTTATTCAGCTGCTTTAACTGTATCAATTACAATTTTAGCAGAATATGCATCACCTTCATTTAGAGGTATAAGCTTGTCAATGAAAGCGGCTACGTTGTATTGGGGTATATGGGTATCTAATGCTATAGGAACATTTTTTCATTGGAAATATATATCTGTATTTGGATTTGTATGTTCGCTGTATAATTTAACAGTATTTCTATGGCCCGAGTCTCCTTTATGGTTGGTCAGTAAAGGTAGATTTGAAGAGTGCAAAAAATGCCATCGATGGTTGAAGGGCAGTGGAAGAACAGCGGAAAGGGAATTACAGAATTTGATAAAATCCTACAGCGCGGTCGATGCGTCGAATCAGAAGCGAAATGGGAACGTTGTTACGTCCTTCTTTAGAACTTTAGTTTCCAAAGATTTCTATCGGCCGATGTTAATTTGTTTTCTTTCTATAACCATGTACAATTTGTCCGGCAAAATCGTATGTAGTATATATGCAATTGAAATATTGAAGAAGATATGCGATAGTGAATCTACGGCTTATATAGCGATGTTACTGTTGGACGGTGTCACAGTATTTAGCATGTATTTCGGCTGTTATTTAGTGAAAATACTGAAAAGACGAACGTTATTATTCTGGGCGTCGGCTATAGCTATAGTATTTTTGTTTAGTTTATCAATATATCTGTATTTGATAAAATTAACAATTATAAATGAAAACAAAATTATGTCTATATTTTTACTGATAGGGTTCTCGTTATCTGTAAGCTGCGGCCCGGTAATAATGTCTGTATCGTTGTATGGTGAATTAATACCAATGAAATATAAACAAGAGTCTATAATAATTATTTCGTTATTCTTCATATTCCTACAGTCCAGTCTATTGAAATTTGCACCGTTAATATTTAAATATTTTAAAATGCATGGTATGTTTGTCTTCTTCGGTGTCTCCATGTCTATATGTTGGTTGTTCTTGTACAAGTATCTTCCCGAAACGAAAGATAAGACGTTGCAAGAAATCGAAGACTATTTTAAGTATGAGAAACGGAGGAAATTAATATTGTTACGTTAGTGTTATTTATTTTATTTTTTTATACTCTTTATTGCAACAATTACAGAACAAAAAAAAATATTAGTTTTATTTTAGTGTAAGATGCAATTAAATATTACAAGTTACTCCAGGCCCATCTTTACCTAAGGATTCAAAAGCCTTTATCCGAATAGAATAAAATAGAAAATCATTTATTCAAATAAACTTAATTTAAGCACTTTTGAATAGTCAACATTTTTTTAAATCTACCGCTTATTCGGAAAGCTGTCTCATCACAAGAAGAATAAGCAAGAAACTTGTGTGTTGCTCTTTTAAACAATCCTTGTAAGTTCACATTTTACAAGTCGAAACATGTGAATACAAACTACCAACCAGCACTAATTTATTTAGGCTCAAATATAAAAACACAATAAGATTAAATCAGTCGTAGTGATAAGAGCAGACCAGTCCCTACAAGCAGCACTCGTTCACGAGTATGACGGATGAGCCAGCCATCACTGCGCTCGACCATATTTTAGGGAGCCCAATGACCCGGCCCACCACGCCGCCACATGTCTGGACATTTTAGTGAGCATGACTACTTATTCCACTCGACCACGTCACAGCTACAAAAATTACTATATGGTAGTTACAGTATTCGCACTTTACATGAGGATGCATGCGGCAATCAATACAAAAGCCGCTACGCTATCATATATCAAGAAAGCAGTATGAAAAATAAATTATAACGTTGTCCGCAAATAAACTTATACTTGCTATATATTGCTATCATCTATAAATTCATCTATCCTATAATAGGCTTTTAGCCGAATAAGACATAGCTAAGATAAAAGTCTTGTGATATAGTCCCAGAGACAGAGACAAATTTCGTCAACCATTGCTAAACTGCTAGTCCAAAAATTGTCAAAGTTAAGAAAAACACATTTACTTTAATAAATATTTATTGCACGATACATTATACAATTTGTTTTTATATTGTCTTAAATTTATTTGAGAGTATTTTGTTAACAACAAAATAATGTTGCGTTATTTGAGAGCGTTATGGGTTAATGATTTATTAACCCGTTTTACAACAAAGTGGTCGTGAGTTCAAATTTGGCAGACACAAAAAAAAATATGTTTGAAACTAATATATTAAGTACTATCGACCAACTTCAATATGTGAACTTTAACATGTACAACATTTATTTGAAAAGAATACGAGCTGAGTTTCTTATCAGTTTTTTTCATCTCGAAATCATTCTGAACTAACGGTAGATTTGACATATCATAAGAGTCAGTAATAGACCTGAATAAATATATTTTGAATATGAATTTGATATGAGATCGTTAAATTTATAAAATACTTTTAAAATAATACATACTATTAATTAATACATGAGATTGCAACGTAGCCGACCGACTCAATTGTGTGTAAGAAAACTGTAATAATGCCCGATATTGGTATTGCCATTAAATTCAATAATAATTATTATTATATATTTATATGTATGATGGTATCCGCAGAATACCAGAGTCGTGGCACCCCGTCACGACATTTGCTGAGACCTATTTGGTACCATAATAATCCAAATCGTAATTAAATATTATTTTTATTGTATACTAGACGTGCCCACGACTTCGTCCTCGTAAATTATCAATTCTTCCCTGAAACCTTCCATCTCCCCATTCAACCCCTAACAACACAATTCGGATTATAAAGTAGCCTATGTCCTTTCTCAGGTATTAGACTATATGTGTACTAAATTTCATTTAAATCGGTTCTATAGTTTTGGCGTGAAAGCGAGACAGACAGACAGACAGTTACTTTCACATTTATAATATTAGTAAGGATTTCGTGTGTACCATATAAACGTATTTTTTCTTTCTTCTTTCTTTCTTTCTATTTTCTTTCTTCTTTCTTAATTTTTTACTTGAATACTTATAACTAAATTATAATTAATTTTATTAAAATACTAGTGGCAAGCCCCAAATACGACTCTATGTACTTAATTATGTAACGATGGTATTTTTATTGGGTGTTTTGCGTTATTATCAGGTGCTAAGACCTGTAGCACTTCGACCTGCATAGATGTGCTCGTCCATTTCAAAGTTCGCTACCTAGACCCGTGAGAGACATAACACAATGTTTGCTTGGGACTAAATGGCGCTAGGTGAAATGTTCTGAGATATTACGTATAATATAAAATTGTTAATAACATTGTTACAGAATTAGACTAACATTAGTCTGACTTTTTAAAGTCAAAAATTTTGTAGTTTCTGGGTTTGCTTGATAGAGTCGCGTAATACTAGTTTTTCTCATACATCTTCCATGTACACAGCAATAATTTACATTTTATTGTATATATAGTTTAAACACATATACAAATCTAATATAGCAATATATTTACATTTTAAAATCAGATTCACATTTTACTTCAGTCTTTTATAGATAATGGCAACCCAATTGTTCTATTTATTTAATTAGAATTGCGAACAAGCTGACAGTCCACTTGATGGTAAGCGGTAACTAGTGTTGCCAGACGCACCATATTTCCCGCGACGTCCCGGCTTAGTTTAAAATGTCCCGGCGGGACTGACTCTGTCCCGTATTCGAATCGTGCTCCGTTTTTTATTATTAAATTGATCTATCTACACTAGACACTTCGTGTTTTAATAATTTGTCTCGGGTAAAAAACTAAAGTTCCGTATTCTTTTGCCTATTTAATTGCCGTTTTCCCCTTATAGGCTGAAAAAAATCTGGCAACTCTAGTTGTAACCGTCGCCTATATACATGAACAGCACTACAGATGTTATCATGTGACACCCGCGATCTCATATCACCCGTGTTCATGTGCGTAAGGCATAACATCTTATACCATTAGAATGATCAAGTGGACTAAGATGTCATGGCCCTCAACCTTCAATTCCACGGCCTATTCTGTACCCTACAATCGAGCTTACAACAGATCCCCGCCCAATTCAAACGGGAATCAAAAATTTCCGGCTTCGAACCCCTAGTGGTGCCTTCAGACTAAAGTCGTATGCGACAGGCGGGAGTTGACCTTCAGCCGCTCATAAGTCCTTTCTTTGGTTTGGAGTGCCATCTGCACTCGCCCCCTATCGTCCGGTGAAGCTGTAAAGGCCAACTTCAGCCGACAGCATTAGAGTAGTCCGAAAAAAAAACTAAGTTGTCATGGCCCTTAACCTTTAAATTCACGGCCTATTCTATACCCTACAACCGGGCCTACAATAGATCCCCGTCCAATTCAAACGGGGATCAAAAATTTCGAGATTCGAACCCTAGCGGTACCCTCAGATTAAAGTCGTAACATAGGCGACGATTACCGTTTACCATCAGACTGCCAATATAATTACGTTCAAAAATCCACACAATAAAAAAAGAGGCAGAATTTACCTACGCAGATGAGTTTACACAAAAGTATACCAAAATCTGTTCCTAATAAAGTTTTAAATTAGAACTAACTATCCTATGAGGAAACCTCTGTCTGGCAGCGTGTATTGTAACATGTCGACTGGTTTGTACGGGTCGGCTTGTACACAGTAAAAGAAAAGGAGGCAGAATTTACCTACGCAGATGAGTTTATACAAAAGTATACCTTAATCTCTCCCAAATAAGGTTGAAAATTAGAACTAACTATCCTATGAGGAAACCTCTGTCTGGTAGCGTGTAGTGTAACACTGCGACTGGCTTGTACGGGTCGGCTTGTGTTTGAGCGGGCGGGGGTTCATTTCTTGCCTCTTGTTTCTTCTTACACGCCGAATACCTTTTAGTCTTTATGTTGAGATGTACCTGGAAAACAAATACTCGATTTGAAAAGTGAGAATTTGCTCATTCAAATCAAATCAGATGAAAAAGCATTTGTTCATGTAGGACATTTTAGCCGCTTATGAACGTCAAGCAACTTTAATATGTATATAAGTAGCTGACCCCGTAAACGTCGTTTTGCCATATAAGTTAAAATCGCTAATCAAAAATATGGGTTGCATTGATGGTTAGAAGGGTGAAAATTTATGGTTGTATGTATTTTTAATGGAACATTAAAAAAATTAAAAACGAAAAGCTTTGCCCAAAAAATAAATCTTAGGGGTGGACAACCAGTATCACTTAGGTGTATGAACAAAATAGACAGTAGCCGATTCTCAGAGCTACTTAATATACATATAAAATTTCATAAAAATCGGTCAAGTCGTCTCGTCATAAGAAGAGGTAATGATGTGAAATGATTATTATACAATTATCATTAAACAGTATAAAATAAAGTCACTGTCGCTGTCTGTCCGTCCCTATGTAGACTTAAATCTTTAACTACGCAACGGATTTTGAAGCGTTTTATTTATAGATATTTATATTGATAGTGATTCAAGAGGAAGATTTATTTGTAGAATACATGTACACCCGGGCGAGTAGCTAGTATACAATATACCATAAACTAAATAACTCACTTGTCTATTATGCTTGTACAGATTCGATTGCTGCGAGAACGTGGTCGGACAGTATTCACATATGAACGGCCTCTCCCCGGTGTGTGTTCGTATGTGCGACTCCAATTGCACCTTCGTCTGTTGAATACGACAATATTATTAATCCACATCAAAATAATGGAATGGTGCACCCGACTCCTATAAACCATCGTGATGATGACCAAATTCCTGGTGAATTTGTCACGATGGTCTAACTGACCTGACCTCATGCTCATCTTATCATCCTCCACTGGTGCCCCATCGTAAACCGTTAGCGCAGGCGGGTGCATCATTCCATTGTCATCCATAATAACTCTACTAGTATTAGATAAAAGAGTGTTTGTTGGTCTGTTGTGTTACATACCGGGAACCCCTTGCCGCAGTGATGGCATATCTTGTTGTTCGGTCTACCTCGGTGCACATTCCTAATGTGTTGATCCAGCCCCATTCGATTCTTAGAGGGCTGTACAGATAAAAAAATATAACATATTAACTTACTTTAAGTGGTATTATGTAAGTGAAACTCAAATTAGAAGTTTAGTGAAGCTTTTTTTTTTTCGGACTACTCTAATGCTGTTGGCCGCAGCTGGCCTTTACAGCTTCACCGGACGTTAAGGGGCGAGTGCAGATGACACTCCAAACCAAAGGAAGGACTTATGGAGCGGCTGAAGGCCAGCTCTTGCCTGACGAATACGACTTCAGTCTGAGGGCACCACTAGGGGTTCGAACCTCGGCTCAGGCCGTCGTAATTTCGATCCCCGTTTGACTTGGATGGGGGATCGATTGGAAGGGATTAGTGAAGCATAATAAGTAAATATAAATTGAAAAGTTTGGAAATGAATACAAATGTTTGCATCGTGCGAGAAATCGAACCCGAGACTATCTGAAGTAAAGCAGTGTGCTAAACCGCTAGGCTGTCACCGATACTATATTATCGCCGCTTATATTCATCTATATAAGATATATTGCTGTCCTACCTTGAGACAAATATGACACTGGTACGTTTTGTGCAAATGCTTCTCTTCTATATGGTCCCGGAGCTTCGTTTTATCCGCAAACCGCCTGTTACAATGGTCACAAATAAACCTGTAACGAGAAAGTTCAAATATTATATATAAAATTCTCGTGTCAATGTTAGTTACCATACTCCACCGAAACGGTTTGACCAATTTTTATGAAATTTTATATGCATATTAAGTAGGTCTGAGAATTGGCTACTATCTATTTTTCATACTCCTAAGTGATAAGGGTTGTCTACCCTAAGATATTTTTTTAATACTATGGCATTAAAAATATACATGTAACCCTAAATTCTTACCCTTCTATCACCAACCCCAATTTTAATTTATATGGCAAAAGAACGTTTGCGGTGTATATATTTAATTTAATACTGTTATATCAATTACAGATTATTGTACCCGGGGGGGATAAGGGATTATTAGTCATGTAGACTGATGATCTTATTGCTAGCAATGTACCATGTCAGGAAGACCTCTTCGCGGTTCACCTGGAAACCATCGTAATGAGTTCTTGATGAATTTGTCACGATGGGCTAAACTGACCTGACCTCATGCTCATCTTATCATTGGTACCCCGCTAGAGTATACCGTCAGCGCAGGCGGGTGCACCATTTCATTATATCATCATCTGCTTCTTCCTTATCCCATTTATTTGTGGTCGTCGTAATATGTTTTTCTCTTCCATTCATCCCTGTTCGCAGTCATCGCGTTATTTACTTCCTTTTTCACCATATCTTTATTCACACAGTCCATCCATCTCTTTTTCGTCCTTCCTCTGCCCTTATAACCATCCACATCCATACGTAACAACTTGCTTAAAATATTATCTTCATTCCTACGCTTTACATGCCCATTATAATACATAAAAAATAAATTATGTACCCCACGCAATAATAATTCTATTATATTCTATTTGCCATTACAGCAATATAAAAACAGTTATTATACAGACCTGAGCTGTTCATGGCTGACATGTTTGAGGCTGTTCTTCATATGACGCTGGTATGAACAAACAGACGAGAAACTAACGCCGCAAGTTGAACAGAATGCGGCCGCTGTAGCAGACTTACCCTGTAACATTATAGATAGACATATATTTCTGATCAATCCCCCGTCCAATTCAAACGGGGATCGAAATTACGACGGCCTGAGTCGAGGTTCGAACCCCTAGCGGTGCCCTCAACTGTCGCTTGACGAATACCGTCAGGCGAGAGTTGGCCTTTAGCCACTCCATAAGTCGTTCCTTTGGTTTGGAGTGTCATCTGCACTTATCATCTGGTAAAGGCCAGCTGCGGCCAACAGCATGAAATTAGTCCGAAAAAAAACCATATATTTCAAATCAAAATACACCAAAAATCATTTGTTCATATAGGACATTTTAGTTGCTTATGAAAATCAAGTTTTTTTAATTATATTTTTTCCCTACCGTCCAAGTCAATATACAGATTAAATTGAGAAGAACTGGCAAGAAACTCAACTGATATTTTTTTTAAGACAGTTAATTTGAGGCTCCCGGTGTTCTAGCAGTATAGTACACCGGTTTACATCTGATGGTCGCGGGTTCGATTCCTCACAAGGTTCAAACATTTGTATTCCTGAGTATGATTGTTTGTATTGGTCTGGACGTTTTCTATATACACTTATATTAAGTATGTATTTACAAAATGTATTTCTATCCCAGTACCCATAACACAAGCTCTGCTTAGCTTGGGACTAGATGGTGCTGAGTCAATTATGTCCTGAAATATATGTCACCTCCAGAGCATGCTTCTCCAGATGCCTCTTGAGGCTGGTCTTCCATCGGAACACCTTCTCACAAACAGTGCAGGGGAACGCATTGTTGAACTCGTGCACTGCACTGCAACAAACAAATGTTATAGAACAAGTATACATTTAGGTATAGGATAGGATACAGAAAGGATAGAATAGGAGAGAACAAGAGAGAACATCATTATGGAGCGGTTGAAGGCCAACTACGACGAATACGAAGATACGACTTTAGTCTGAGGGCACCGCTAGGGGCACGAACGTCGGTTTAGGCCGAACTTCGATCCCCGTTGTACTTGGACGGGAGATCGGAATATATTGTGGTCGTTATCTAACTCAAACTAGATGGCGTTTGGGGAAAGGGGATTGCTAGCAATTTACCATGTCAGATTGACCTCCACGCGGTTCCCACTGAAAACCATCGTGATAAATTCCTAGTGAATTTGTCACGATGGGCTAACTAACCTGATCTTATGCTCATCTTATTATTCTCCACTGGTGGAGGCGGGGGCCAGAGTAAACCGCTAGCGCAGACGGGTGCACCATTTCATTATTATCCCAAAAAGAAGCTAGATGTTACAGTCACTGAAATCTGCTTTAGGAGATTGTGGATCTCTTGGCACTTTCCTAGATCTTACATCCTACTCTTTAAATGTTGATCTTTATATGTTGTCGACATGAGAATTTATATTGTTTTATTTAATTTTGCTACCATTAGCATGTGTTTGATCCTAATTACTAAATGCGTAAACCAAACCGTACTTGGAACGTTTTGACCTTTGCTAGTTCCATTTAATATTTTCAAAACTATTAAATATAATGTATGCATATATATTCAAAATATTCATAAGAATAAATAAAATTATGACTTTGATATAAATTTTACAAAATAAAAAATATTTTATAAATGGTAAGGAAAGCTAAATACCGTTCTATGAGTCACTTCTAATATGCTTTTATTATAAAAAAGAAATCTCACAGTCTATGGTTCATGAGGCCAGCCCGGTGGGTGAATGTTTTGTCGCACTCTGAGCACTGCACGCGTGCTTTATGCGTGTCCTTGTGGTACCGGTGTGTGTCTATGGAACTGAAATAAAACACAATTTATTTTGCTATATCGTCTTATAATACAACTTTCGTTAGGATTGATCAAGCTGTTTATTTGTGAAAAGACAATAATCAAATATACAAACCTAAACTAACCATCACCATCTGCTTCTTCCTTATCCCATTTATTTGTGGTCGTCGTAAAATGTTTTTCTCTTCCATTCATCCCTGTTCGCAGTCATCTCGTTATTTACTTCCTTTCTTACCATATCATCTTTCACACAGTCCATCCATCTCTTTTTCGGTATTCCTCTGCCCTTATAACCATCCACATTCATTATGTAACACCATCCTTAGAACCTAAACTAATAAAATAATATAATTCAATACTAACTTGGACAGTTTGCCGCAGAGGTCACACTTGTACCTTTTCAGTGATATGTCGTGGGTGCTGTAGTAATGTTGCTGCATCACCTTCATGTCTTGGGTTCGTTTCTGGCAGATACTGCACTCGTATCTATAAACCAACATATCGATTAAATTAATCATATATTAATCGGTCTTCTAATATTACACTTGTATTTTTACAGCATACGACGCACTGGATAATAAACCGTATTAGCTTTAAAAACATTTCGAGAAATGGACTCTACAAGTAAACATTTAAAGTTTATTTTCCATTACATTTTTTTTTGTGAGATGTTTCAAACAAAGCTGTTATTGCTTAAATTACCTTCGCATATGTCGTTTATAGTGGGCCGTAAATGATTCAACTGACGCTATAATCGTTTTGCATATGGGACAACTATAATCCCCCAGTTCCTGCAACAAATAAACAAACAAATCCATAATCCAGGACAATTCGCGCAACGCCATCTAGTCCCATACTAAGCAAAGCTTGTGATATTGATACTAGAAACCTTATAAAAATACTAAAATATTTCTATGTAAATCTTTACCAATAAATTGACTGGCTTGTTTGTAATTTGAAATTAACTGCTTCTCACTAAATGCATATAAAACTATATACATTACATACAAAAAAATGGCTGTTTTGTTCTAGACTATATATACCAAATTTAATTTAAATCGGGTCAGTAGTTTTGACGCGAAAGCGAGACAGATAGATAGACTTATTTTCGCATTTATAATATTATTACTAAGGATTTCTATTTCTAATTTTATAAATAAACATATACTCACTGGTGAATGCTTACTCGATACGTGTCTCTTATAACTTTTACTGTAATTAAATCCGACCAGACAAGATTCGCACTTGTATTCTGAACGTGTATAGCTCTCTCTTTTCGACTCGCTGTCTCTTTCTAGCAGCATTTCTTCATAACTTAGCTCTATGGTTATTATCTTTTGGTCGTTTGGTCTCTTTGAATTATTTATATCCTGGAAATAAATATTTTTTATGAATATTTTATTTTCGGACTACTTACAGCTTCACCGGACGATAGAGGACGAGTGCAGATATTCCTCAAACCCGCGGAAGGACTTATGGAGCGGCTGAAGGCCAAATCCCGTCAATGGATGGTAATGGAATGGTGCACCGGCCTGCGTTAACGGTTTACTCTGGCTGGGCATCAGTGGAGGATAAGATGAGCTTGAGGACAGGTCAGTCAGCCCGTAGTGGTAAATTGACTATTAATTTATCATGATGGTTTCCATCTTATCATCCTACACTACTGCCCCCCAGCGTAGACCGTTAGCGCAAGCGGGTGCACCATTCCATTATTATCCATAAAAACGCTAGCAGTTTACTGCTACTCCAGCAGTGTTGGCTAACTAATACAACCAAATAGTATTTAATATTTGAATATTTAATACCTTACTGTTGACTTGTAAACTTTTGACAATCTTCCTTCCTTTCCTCTCCTTGCTGTCTTGTTCTTTCCTCTTTCTTTTCTTGCCCTTCTTCACTGTTCGCAGTAAACTCTCTAATTCTACATCAATATCTTTTATATCCTCTGGTTCAGATAGAGGACAATCGGAGTGCACTGTCTCATCTAAATCTAGAAACGATATATTATTAAATATTGTTAGTAATTATTCATAATTTTACATCCTTAGCAGTTTAGCATATCACCTTACTTCCTATGATTGCGGGGTTTGATTCCATTTATCATGAAAACATTTTTATTCATGACTATGATTGTTTGTATTGATCAGTTGTCCCATACCACATGCTCTGCTTAGGTTTGGAGTAGATAGACAGCTCTAGAAAAGAGGGGATCGTGGCCCAATCCTTTACTACCCTCAATTACATTTTAGAGATTGTGAGTTCAAATCTGGCAGATGTGTGGCAATTTATATTTCTGATTGAGGCACAAGAAAACACTGATGTCATAGCAAAAAATAAATAATTTAAATATGCTGAATGAAATGTGGCCATATTAAGTGTAGTTTTGACCACAACATCAACAGTTGACAATGGATAATATTTTTCTAACCATATATTTATGATGCTGGCTGGGTACTGTAATAGTCTGGCTCTACAGGCACAACGGCCCAAATGAGAGGCTAATTGCGGAGACTGGAGTCCAATTTACATTTACATTTTATTGATATAATAATAACATCCCGGGACAATTCACACAACGTCATCTAGTACCAAGCTACGCTAAGGGTATTTGACATTCATACATAGTCTAAGAGTTACGCTCTTGTCGGTCGAGGTCTCTTGCCACTTTCCGGGATCTTCCATCTATAGATAAATACGAGTACATTAGGAATATTAGACAACTGACATAAATACATTTTCTGTAAATACATATTATTATACATAGAAAACACTCAGACAGATATAAACAATCATAGTCAATAGAAATATTTGTACCATGCGAGGAATAGAAACTGCGATCATTGGAAGTAAAAAACCATCTTAAACCTTTAGAACATAGAGGTTATTTGACACCACCTTTGTCATTCCATTCATTCTTGACTTCATTTTTAACACACACCAACTGGACATCATGGAGTTCCACACTGTCATCATCGAGAGGTGATATGTTAATGGAATCTATGGTGTGGACACGGAGTCGTGGCTGTCGCGTCACTTCCGTCAGTAGACACTCGTTGAGAGTCTGAAAACACCAAGTAATTATATTAAAATGCAACCTTATCTTTATAACTTAGTATATTCCATAGTAAGAATAGGCTGACATGTCAAAATAATGTATATAATATCATTGAATGCAAAATAACCTTGCCATTTCATAGAACTTAGACATAATAACAAAGAAACATCTAGTTCACTCCGCGGAACTATTATATTCTACAATAAAATATATAAACACAACAAAGACATAGATTTTTATTTATTGTAATAGAAATAGAAATAATCTTTATTCAAATAAACTTAACATGAGTACTTTTGCTTTTATCAAAAGAAATAAATAATACTTACCTCATTTGTGTATGTTTGTAGCACCCTAAATGAGTCTTGTACCTGCTCTTTAAATGAGACAGCCTTTTTGAGCAAAGCTTTGCAGTCTACACACAAGTTGGGGTATGATATTTGTGTGTTGCACAGCTGTAACAAATAATATGAAAACACTGGTTAAAGGATAGAAAAGCATCATATTATTATTGGGAAAAGAGTTGGATTAGTTAGTTAATCTTATTAATATTATAAACACAAAAGTTTGTGAGTATGGATGGATGTTTGTCACACACAAAAACTACTGAATGGATTTTTATGAAACTTTACAGTAATATCGCTTACACATCAGAATAACATATAGGCTATATTTCATGCAGGTGTAACTACAGGCACAGTTAATATAAAATAATAATTCAATAATTTTTTTATCCTATTTAATATACAACTTACAATCAATCAATGTAGGACTACAAGCTGTTGCTATGTAGAAAGTAATGTGATTTTTTTATAATAAATTTTCTATTTATTTTTAAAAGTACTAATGATAACAGTATATTATAAGAATATTAAAAAAGGTGCATCATAGTAATTGTATTTGATTGATTGTGTTAAATAAATAATATTTTTTGGCACAGAATAAAAAGAGAAAGCTTGAATTGTATCCGACCAAAGACAGTGCAATATTAGTTTTGTTTATAACATTTATTTTAATATTTTTTATTAAAATAAGTTTTCTTAATTTAATTACTACTTACTGGTATTTCGTTCAATATGTCCACATAATATTTCCTTAATTTCTCCTCGGTCACTGCTTGCAGAGATCGACCAAAACATAAACAAGACATACATATCAATTTGCACGCGATATCATCTTTCTTTTCCATTTTTGTTGAACCTTGTTTACATCAAATAAAATAAGTACATAAAATTTCTAATTGCATTCGCCAGAAGCTTATACGACCAAAAAAAATCAATGAATCTACATTATTAATATAAGTTTATTTAAATTTGTAATTTTCAAATTATTTATATTCATAGAAAATATTAGTTAAAATAAAATAAATTGTTCTATATTAACATTCAACCAATTTTATAATAAGTTAAATCAAATAAATAAAGAAAACATTTAAAAGAACGCGGATGACATTACTAGACATTGACAATTTATTTTGACAGATTAGCATCCGGTCTTACCATATATATCAAATTGATACTTTAAATACTACTCAATGAAACTACTTAAATGAAATACTTGAATATTCCTTTTGTAGTTTATAACCAAAACTAATTTATGATACCACATAATAAAAATGTACAGTTTCGTTATGCGTTTAAGTAGTTTGCGTTCTAAGTAATACAATACAGAATTACATAAAGTATAAAATTGTTAATGGTACCAATTATTTATACTATTGTAACACCGGGTAAAGCAGCCATTTTGTGGTGTCGTAGTTAACTTGATTGTTCTTCATTAAAATTCGTCTATTTTACATGGAAGTATTACTTTTTGTTGTGGTTTGAAAATTAATCATAACAATAAACAAGTTTGGAAAGTTATATTAATATTAAATTAATTAACCTAAAATGGAGCAAGATGTGGATAATGGCTATAGAACTGTTTGCAGCGCTTGCCTAAGTAGCGATCGGGATTTATTTTCTATATGTAATTTACAACATGTTTACGAAATGTTTAGGTTGCTTACATATGATTTCCCGGTAGACAGGGTATGTATTTGAATTTGAAACTCATTGTTATTATTATTGGTATCAGAATTAATCGCTCAACACTCAATGTAATGAGAATGAGGTCATTGATCTATATTTTTTTAAATAAATATAAATCTTACTAACTCAAGACAATTAGTCTACTTCTTTTACTAAATTCTAAATTAAATATCATTGCCAAACTTGTATTTTTTTTCTGGTAATAATTATAGTTTTTAACCATTTATGTATATATTAATATGGTTGAATTAATTTTTAATATTATTTGTGAAATAACTTCAATATCAATAAATATAATTCTACAGTGATTTTTAGGGTAGTGTTATTAGACAAAAAATATCCAGGAACCCTTTAAAATATACACACACAAATCTCATTGTAATCAGTCCAGCAATTTAGAAGAAGATTGATGATAAACACATACAGAAGAATTTTATTTATTAAGATTAATTATATCATTCTTAAGACAAAACATGATCTTAGTGTTAAAAAATGAAAATTTAAAAGTGTACTAGGTACTTCATTCCATTCTTCTATATTCTCTCTAACTTCTTTATGTTTTCTTTTATTAATTTTCTTAATTTAATTATTATAATCTGTTTAATTTATTTATTTGCAGGTAATTGAAAATAAAACATATATGCAGCAACTGGTCTGTTGGGAATGTCTGGCAATCCTAAAAAGATTTGCTCGGTTCAAGAAGCAGGTTCATAATGCTCAGGAACATCTCCGTGTTCTCGCCATAAGCAGCACACAAGAGGTATATAAAAATTTGTTTATAAAAAAATATAATAATGGGACACCCGCCTGCTCTAACAATATACAGGAGCACCGGTAGAAGGTAATAGGATGAGCATAAAGTCAGTTCAGTTTGCACATTGTGACAAATTCAGTAGAAAATAATTATAATGGTATACAAGGTGGAATCATGTAGGTGGAACTGACATGGTTCATTCCTAGCATTGGCCACTATTGGCCAGTACTAACAATTGCCTCATTTTCATAAGTGATTTATTTTCATCTTGAGCATACATGCAACAAAATAATACATCAATATAGGGTGGAAAGGAGATTATTAGTAATGTGGACTAACAACTATATTGCATGGTTCTCCCAATCATCTACCATAATGGGTTAACTGACCTGACCTCATCTTATCCTCCACTGGTGCCTTCAAGGTAAAACGTGTAGGCGGGGACATTACATTATCATTCATAAGAAAAAAAACATCTATATAAATTACCTTTCCTACCAAAGTTTATAGCCCTTTGAAGTTGAAACCCCTAGGGTTAAGCAATATTCTCAAACAAAAGTGATATGCGTTGGCCATAACTTGGCCTGCACCGCTCCGTAAGTCATTCTGCAGGTATTGGAGAGGGTCCAGTCGGAAATCGTCTACATTTTCATCCGGTGACGCTGTTTTTTTTATTGGACTACTCTAATGCTGTTGACCGCAGCTGGTCTTTTGAGCTTTACCAGACGATATGGTAGGTTGAGGTCGTCGTCTTCGCCGGCGAGGACGGTGTCGTGTATGTGTGTGAAGGCGTGGTCGGGGCGGAAATGGGGTCGTCGGGATCAATAAGAACGTGATGACGCTGTAAAGGCCAACAGCATTACTATAGATATAAAATAGAACTATACCTGTATTTAATACTACTTATTAGGCCTTAAGCCAAATATTTCAGCAATAGTAATGCAAGGCGCCAACAACAACAGTTTAAAAGTATTATGACACATATGCTGGCATGAAACCAACATACTATGTGGTCACGGTAACGCAATAATTGGCCACGTCATCATTTCACGTCTGTGATACTCATACCATTACCATCATAACATAACACCGCCCTCTGTGCGAAATGTGCGCCGCTATCACGCATCAAGGCAATAGGGGCGTCGAATGAAATACTTACGATAAATACGACATTTGTTAACTGCCTTTACACGTACGCTCTTTTAGGCGCGAATCGGCTTCCACTCGGGAAAGAATGTGCTTGTAAATGTAGACAAAGAGAACGAGAAAGACCGCACGCGCCGCTAGTGAGCGCATTCCCTTGTCCTACAATCGTGCGTGCTCTTTTGTAATAATTACTTGCCATTGCAATATAGGATATCTGAGGATTGAGCAAATGCATAATTATGGAGTTATTGTCAATTTATTAAACGTGTTTTTGGACAATAAAATCTGTTGAATAATAAATAAAATTTTAGAAGAAAGAGACATGACTTCAAATATACGGGCTATTGCGCACGAAAGAGAAATCCCTCACGATAGCGCGCTGGCTATCCCGCGTTACATTACTGAAATCGGTGTCACATAATTTGTAGATGGGACCTATCCTATTTCAGAGTATGGATCACACATACATGTCTCAATCCCTGTCTTCCCTCGAGATGCTTACCAAAGTGGATTATGACAAGATATATTTGGAGTACGCACAAGAAACGGAGTGGCCCCAGGATTTCATGTCTATAGCGACAATACACGACGTCAAAAGCGAGCAGTACGATGTGGCGCAGGCTGTGCGGGACAATATCAACTTGGATATTGACGACCATATGCTGGAAGGTAAGATATTTGACAACCTTTGTGTCCCCAGAGTCGATTTTGGGGCCATTTGCCCCATTTGCCAATATTGCCTTCGGTTCCAAGACTTCATGTCTATAGCGACGATACACCACGTCAAAAGCATATCAATTTGGACATTGACGACCATATGCTGGAAGTTAAGATATTTGACAACTTTGGTGTCCCCAGAGACGATATTGGGGCCATTTGCTCCAATATCGACAATATAATATATACGATACACGACGTCAATGCTGGAAGGTAAGATAGTTGACGGTGTTCCTGAAGTTTTCGGATAGGGTCAAGGGTAAGTCGATATTGCAGAAAATGTGTTTGCCCCGATGCCATAACCGTCAACCCCCCTAGAGGAGTACAGTTGACCTGTGTCTGTCGACAAAATCAAAATCTTATATGGAGGGGTCGTATTGGTTTTTGCCATTTGCCGTAGACACGCTGAATCCATGGAGCCCGGAAGCTAAATTGTTTTTCACGAGTATTTCAGCGCGGCTTATCGAGGTTACTCGTGACCCGAGAGCTGGTAGATAGTTTGCCCCGAAGGTATATGCCCATTCAAAGGCAACGCTGCCAGTGTCGTGGGTACGCTGCCTCGATTACAATGATTGTTTTTTTGGGATTGTTTCTTAATACGCCATGTAATCATATACGCCGCCAAGAAATATAAAAAATAATATATTCCCAATTATCTGCAACTCTCAAATGGTTCATTTAAAATTATAAACTCGACAGTTTTATTTACGTTAAATGACGGTTTCGTTAGTCTAACGGTTTACTTCCAGGTGGTCGCTTGTTCGATATTCATTAGTATGATTGTTTGTATTACTCTGGGCGTTTTGTATATATTTATAAATAAATAAAATATATAAATTCCCATTTCAGTGCCGGAGATAGTGCTGGAGAATCCGGTAACGGGCGTGATGTCGCATATAGTGGTCGGCAGCGACGCCCTGGTCTCCCGTCCCGATATGTACGACAAAGAAGAAACCTCGATGGTTGTGGAGTAAGTCACATTTTCGCTTAGCAATTGTTATAGTACCTTTAGGACCGTCATCATAGGTGGAATAGTCAGATCTATTCAGACACATCTGTTAAATCTTAATTCTTACTAATATTATAAATGAGAAAGTAGGGATGTTTGTTACGCTTTCCCGCAAAAACTACTGAACCGATCATCATAAAATTTTGTACACATGTTCTTAGAGGTATTAGCATGAACATAGGATGCTTTTCATTTAAAAAAACATGCGAACGAAGTTTGTGAGTATGAATGGATGTTTGTTATTCTTTCACGTAAAAACTACTGAACGTATTATGATGAAACTTTACAATGATATGACTTATATCAGGACAACACATAGGCTAGGATTTTAAAAGATATTATGTAAATTGGGCGAAATATAATGATAAATGTCATATAAGTGTAATGCAGACGAAGTTGCGCGGGTCAACTAGACATATATGTGGGAAGTCATGTGCGGAAAATCAGACTATCTTCAATTTTTATAAATTTATTTGCTCCACAGCTCTTTTTTTACAATCGTAGTGCCATCTTACCATACTCATTCGTCCACCAATCATACTTGTATCGTGCATCTCTTTCACTCGTTACTATTCCTTTCACACGCCTTCCAGAAACATCCAATCCCACATATATATTGAGCAAAGCACTCACTAAACGATTACTTCAATGACGAACGTGCATGGTAATACACGGTATTTACATTTAATGTTAGACATAGACACCTATATAAGTGTAAAAGGTAAACACTGGCTTTTAAAAAAAAGAAATTCAATTGAGTGTCTTACCAGTTCTTCTCAATTGATTCTGTATACTGAACTGGACGACAAGGAAAGAATTATAATATAAATATTCTACGCTCATAAGCTCCTAAAATGTACACGAATAAATGATTTTTTAATTTGAATATATATGTTTGTTTCAGAACACTGACGTCGCCGAAAGTACAATCAATGATCGCGGTTTGTCGTAAGTCGCCCGGCGACGACGAGAGGGGAATAAAGTCGGGATATGTCACAGAGTATATGACAGAGGCGGAAATGTTAGCGTACAGGTTAGTTAATATTATCACAGAGCAATTAAAACTAAGAACAAGAATATAGATATAGATAGGCTAAAAGCTAGATTAAAACCCAATTAAACTATATATTTATTAATTTTTTATGTATTTTGAAAGTCAAATTTGTTGCCATTAAATTGCATAAAAAATGTTTAAAAAAATACTATTAATTATATGCAATAAAAGTCGTAAATATTATATATTTGTGGTCTCTGCAATTGTTTGGTAAATAAAAGTGGGAATCTGTAGTTCATTTTGTTTCACAACTCGTTTCTTTAACGAAGCTTTAAAAAAACCTTTGTAAGAAGTGGTACCTCGACCTTACCTATTTCAGCTACCAAGAAGGTTGTATTATAAGCCATCTTTCGGTTCTAGAAAGATGGGTAAGACTAAGCAGTGAAATTACAAGATAAGAGGCCTTACTTAGTCTTCTAGAATGACAACACATGGGTTGTATCACGGGTTTTACATGATAACGTGATGTAAGTAGTTCATGTACGTAGGTGATGGTTTATCATCGGGTGAGCCACTAGTTTGCTTGGCATTCAAGTTAAATAAAAAAAAATCATTTACATAAAAAAAATATGTTATGTCTCCACACGGTTTAAAATGTCATTTTGTTTTTTTTTTCTTTGCAGAGAAGAGGCAAAACTAAAACTACAGTACGCTAGTTCGGTTTACAAATGTGAATTGTGCATAATTGGGTTTTACTCTGAACAACAAGTAGAGGATCACTTTGTAAGCGCACATAGAGTGGTAAGATAAATCTATACAAATAAATAAAATTGGAGTGTCTGTTTGTAATATTGAATAACCATTTTTTACTACATGCATATGAATTTAAATACGGTACATACACCAACATAACATTTTTTTCCATTTTTGTCTGTCTATTTGTTCCGGCTAATCTCTGAAATGGCTAGACCTATTTTGAAGGGACTAGTTTTGGCAAATAGCTGATGTAATAAGTAGTAACTTAGGCTAATTTCATTTTAGAAAAATAAAGTTAAATTCCACGCGGACGAAGTCGCGGGAACAGCTAGTTAATAATAATAATGTCCCTGGAGAATTCACACAGCGCCATCTAGTCCCAAGCTAACCAGAGCTTGTGTTACGCGTAATGTAATGTTAGAAGGACTCTATTCTCCGCATTTAGCCTCTTATCTAGACGGTGTGTTATGGGTACTAGACAATTGATAATTTTTTTTTTTAAATATGCATAGGAAACACCCAAACTATTACAGTGTAGCAGCATACTTTCTACACGTGCCACCTTTAGTCCTTGAAACTTCCTAGAATTCTTATCGCACGGCACGTGTAACATTAGCAATGCGCGACCTCCAGGCCGGCAATTGCTACCGGCAGCAGCGCACACACCCCCTTAAAACATAAGTGCATATATATATGTACCGTGTAAGGAATCAAACCCGTGATCGACGAAGTACAATGGTGTGCGGTGTATCATAATAAAAAAACTTACAGAAACCAGGCCGCGTGCCCTGCAAAGTATGCTATGTGTACGTGGATGAAGGGAAGCTGTCGAGCCACGTGGACGAGCATTACCTGCGACGCACGTGTAGACTGTGCGGTCACACCGAGTACAGCACCAAACTGATGCAGCTACATATGAACAAACACACCACCAAACAAGTGCCCAACACTGTCATCAAGATCGGAGACAGCCCGTCTGCTACTGGCAAGGTAACATTTACATTTACACTAGCTGTACCCGCGACTTCGTCCGCGTAAATTAGTGACCTTGACCAAATAACGAAAAAAATATTTAATGACCTAACCCAATAAAAGCCAAATGTAAAAGTTTCATCCTTTTTGCTTCAATAATGACGACACTTCCACACATAACTCTTTCAACCCCTATAACTCTTTTTCTAAATATATATTGAATAAATAGGCTAAAAATTAAACTTCAAGCTTCTAGCTTTAAAAATGACAATATTTCCATATAAACATTAAATTTTAAATTTACATTACATTAAATTTACATATATAGAATACAGCACAAAACTGATGCAGTTATATATGAACAAACACATCACCAAACAAGCCCGTCCAACTGGCAAGGTATATATTTTTTACTTGTCACTTTTATTACAGGCAAATTTTTTTAATGGATAATTTTTTTTTATTACACATATTTTTACATAATATTTTATGATAATGGAATGGTTCAACCAATATTGCGGTAACGATTTACACTGGTGGGGCACCAGTGGAGGATGATCAGTTGAATGAGGTCAGGTCTGTTAGCCCATCGTGTTAAATTCACCATGAATCTATCACGATGGTTTCCAGGGGGAAACACGTTACGATTAACCTGATATAATAATAATATTCTCAGAAAAATTCACACAGCGTCATCTAGACCCAAGTACGCTACCTAAAGCTTATTTATTTATTTATTCTTTTGCACACAAAAATGTATACATGGCGGACTTAATGCCTGATGGCATTCTCTACCAGTCAACCGACGCGTTGATCAGAGATAATAATAAAGCTTGTGTTATAGTTACTAGATAACTGATAAACATATAGCTATATTTTTTTCGTAAATATATTATATATATAAAACACGTGGACTGATAAAAATAATCATACTCATGAATACAAATGTTTGTGCTGTGCGAGGAATCGAACCCGCGACCATCGGATGTAAGGCGATGTAATTGCTAGGCCGTCCGTATAAGGGCAGAGAAAGGCCAAAAAGATGGCCTGTGTGAAAGATGATATGGTAAGAAAAGCAGTAAATAACGAGATGACTGCGAACAGGGATGAATGGAAGCGAAAAACATATTACGACGACCACAAAGAAATGGGATAAGGAAGAAGCAGATGATGAGTTTTAGTTACTATGTAATATCTTATATATAAAATTCTCGTGTCACAGTTTTCGTTCCCATACTCCTCCGAAACGGCTTGACCGATTCTCATGAAATTTTGTGATCGTATTGAGTAGGTCTGAGAATCGGCCAACATCTATTTTTCATCCCCCTAAATGTTAGGGGTAGTCCACCCCAAAATTTTTTATTTTATTTTAAGGCAAAACAACGTTTTCCGGGACAGCTAGTTTTATTATAAAAAAATGATATTGTAGCTCAAAATAATTCGGCTTTTTTCAAGCTCGCGTTTAAACTAATAATATAATGTTTTGTTTCAGGGTCGAAAGAAGAAAGAATCTAAAGGCAAGACACCACGACAGGGTGATTTAAGGAAACTTCTGTCTAAGACGACGATAGAGGGGTACCAGTGCTTGGAGTGTGACATGTTCTTCAAGTAAGTATCATCTGCAGCTGAATAGCTAAGCCACGTAACTCCATCTGCGTCCATCCGCCTCTTTTGTGATTCAAGATTTTTTTAATGATGATTCGCTTCTAGAAACCTTATATAGTCATGACTCCGTCCTCGTTTCATTTTCCCCAGTTGTGCAATATTTTCAATAATGGTCCGCTCCTATTTATCGTAGTGTGATGTTATATAGCCAGCCTTTCTCAGTAAATGGTCTATAGAATACTAGAAGAATTTTTTAATTCGAACCAGTAGTTCCTGAGATTCGCGCATATAACTAAACAAACTAATTCTTCAGCTTTACGTGTGAGGAATCGAACCCGCGTCCATCGGAAGTAAAGAGGCGTGCTTTAAAGTAAACCTCTAACCCACCCAGGCAGACAAGGGTCTTTTAAATCTTTATATATCAGATATATTTTAATTGTTTATGTATTGTCATGATTACTATCTCTCTCGACTTCGGATCAATTGAAAATCAGCGCTGCAGTGACATGCTGCAGCAATGGCTGAGTGGAGGCCTGAGGGCTGAGGGCCTTTCAACTTGTAGCATAGTATTGTTTTCTTTTTTATTTTTTTTAAGTGAAACTTCTATATTCGGTCACGAAAAAGCGTTGTCATCGAATGAAAGGGGTAGATGAATGGTGGCGGTGCAGAGGAGATAACGGTAGTTAAAGTTCATTTCTACTCTGTGTCCCAGCACATATTCCTGCATGCATATAGAATAAAAGCTACAAAATGGTTATTATTATATTATTGTATGTTATAAGTTTAGTATTCATTTGTTATAGAAATTCACGTGCGCGCAAAAATCACGTGGCAAGGTTCCATCGGGAAGGGCTACAGTGCGACCACTGCAAGAAACGATTCGTCAACCGAACCACGCTCGCCACACATCTACGGTGAGTGATTCTATATTATTTATTTATTTAAGCACTAGCTGTTCCCGCGACTTCGTCCGGCGTGGAATTTTACTTTATTTTTCTAAAATAAAAGTAGCCTAAATTACTGATTACATCAGCTACCTGCCAAAAAAAGTCTCGTCAAAATCGGTCCAGCCGTTTTAGAGATTAGTCGGAACAACGGACAGATAGATAAACATAGTAAAAATTGTTATTTTGGTATATATGTGTATGTATTTATATTCATATGCATGTAGTAAAAAACGGTTATTGCAAGATTACAAACAGACATTACAATTTTATTTATATGTATAGATTTAATGAATCTAAAGGACGGGTATGTTATTATTATAAAAATCAGGAATAATTAAAAGTAATAATTCCCAAGAGAGTTTTTAACAAAGTCAAAAGTAAAATATTATTCCTGATTTTTGTAATAATTACATACCCGTCCTGCTCCAGCCACAATAATCCTGGTCAAATCACACAGCGCCATCTAGTGACCAGATAAAAAGGGTAACTAAATCACTGATTTTTAAATAGTTTTTATTTATATTCATTCATTTCAAGGTTCAGTAACTACTATTTTTGTTATTATCTAGGTTTTATTAAATTATTTGCTAGGGATAAATTAACCAATTTTGGTCCTTATAACAGGTTGCATGAGGGTCCACTCCCGCGGTCCGAGTGCCCCATCTGTCACAAGATGGTGCGCGTCATCCAACTGAAGTACCACATACGGAGACACGAGAACAAGAGTCGTTATGAATGTACGGACTGCAACAAAGTGTTCTCGCACCTCACCACGTACCAGGCGCATCTCAAGTTCAGCAGGGCGCACGCGTCCGATCAGGTTTTCAAGTAAGTAAATCATAGATTAATTATAGGAAGTCATAGCAACGCACGTCATTTGAGAAATAGTGAGCTAACTGCATGCGCAATTATAATTTTTGTTTTTCGGATTACTCTAATGCTGTTGGCCGCAGCTGGCCTTTACAGTTTTACCGGACGATAGGGGGCGAGTGCAGATGGAACTCCAAAACAAAGGAAGGACTTATGGAGCGGCTGAAGGCCAACTCACGCCTGACGGATACGTCCCCGTTTGAAACGGGGAATCGATCGGAGCGGATGTGGAGCGCCCAGTTGATTGCGCTGTATGATGTGGTTGAGGTCATCGTCTTCGCCGGCGAGGACGGTGTCGTGTGTGCGATAGCGTGATAGGGATGGAACGGGTAGACCATTTAGGGGAGGTTAGTTGCCCTTATGCTAACAATGCGGGCGCTGTTATATTTATAACCTTGGTGCGAGCGGGAGCGCACGAGTATTGCTATCCCATTCGTTGTATTCAACATGCTCATTTAGCTGCCGTCAATCTCATTCTTTCACTAATTTTTTTTCTCCCTCCTACAGCATGTTTGTTTTTCAAGTAGAGTATATTAAGGTTTCTTAAGAAATCGGCAACGCGCGCGTGAAATCTTTGGTGTTTCAGCCTACCATAGGCTACGGTAACCGTTTACCATTAGATGGGCCGTATGCTTGTTTGCCTCTAATGAAGTATAATAAAAAATAAAAAATGGCGCTGTGTAAATTGTCTATGGTTATAACCTATGTTATTAATCTACAGATTTCCGTGTCCAATGTGCAACAAGGGGTATCCCACGAAAGAAGCCATGCAAGACCACTTTAACTACCAACATTTGGGGAAAACGGCGCATAAATGTCCCGTTTGTGATAAGGTAGTAAAGTTTTGTTATTTATAGCTAGCTGTCCGCGACCTCATCCGCGTGGAATTTAACAAAAAAGTTAATTCGAGAATTTTTCTAAAATAAAAGTAGCCAAGTTACTCCTTATTACATTAGCTACCTGCCAATAAAAGTTCCATCAAAATCAGTCCAGCCATTTCAGAGATTATCCAGAACAAACAGACAGACAAAAAATGTTAACAATGTTATTTTGGTGTATGTATCGAATTTATATTCATATGCATATAGTAAAAAACGGTTATTTCAATATTACAAATTAAATTCAATATTATTTATACTCCATACTCCTATTTTATATGTATGTATAGTTTGGAATAGGAAACAAGCTGACAGCTCATATAAGTAAACTTGAGAGTTGCTGCTCCACAGGTCTAAGATGTCACGTCTCTTATCCTGTAATTTCACTGTCTAATCTGTATCCTACAACCGAAACAGCTTACAAAGCAAGCTGCTTGGTGGCTGAAATAAGTGAGACTGTAGTGCCCACGCAGATAACTTTTTTTTCTCTATTAAGTTCAAGTTTTCTTTTCAGCCAATCGCGTCGCGGGCATACGTGGAGAAGCATATGATGCGCGTCCACTCGGAAAAGAAGGAGAAGCCGAGGAATCACGTGTGTCAAACTTGCGGCAAAGCGTTTACGGTATGTTATTTATCAGTGTAAAAAAATTAGAATAATGTCTATTGTATCTTTGCAAGGTTCTTAACTTTGAAATTATGTTTCATTTAAATATACCCACTTAAACGACAAATCAAATGTTCTTATGAATGATAATGAAATGGTACACCCGCCTGCGCTAACGGTTAACGCTGGCTGGGCACCAGTGGAGGATGCTAAGATGAGGTCAGTCAGCCCATCGTGACAAATTCACCAAGAATTTACCACAATGGTTTCCAGGGGAACCACATCCTAATATGGTACATTGCTAGCAATAAGATCATCAGTCCACATTACTAACAATCCCCTTTCACCTCTGAAATCAAATGTTGCATTCACCAATTGCAGAGGCATTGATAACTCAATGCCTCTGTCTATACCATCTGAGGTAACAGTCTGATTATATTTAATTTTATCTCAGGACAAGAAGGCGCTGACCCAACATGAAGTAATACACTCGAGCGATCGCCCGCTATCGTGCGACATTTGTCAACAGTCGTTCAAACAGAAAGCGTCGTTGTACACGCACCGGAAACGGGTTCACAAAGTGTATCCGGTGAAGCGAGTTGTCGAGTTCATGGACTCTACAAAACAAGAGCAATAGAGGTCAAGACTCCATTAGATTTAATGTCATCATCACAACATAATAAAGTATTAACGTTGGGTATAAGGTAAACTTTCCATTATGTCACATGAGTTTCATAATTTTATGAGTCATGTCACATGAGTTTCATTATTACTCGAGTTATGTTACACGAGTTTCATAATTAAGTGCATTACACACGAATTCTTATTGATTGCCCATCCAATTCAAACGGGGATCTAAATTACGACGGCCTGAGCCGATGTTCGAAACCCTAGCGGTGCTCTCAGACTACAGTCGTCAGGAGAGAGTTGGCCTTCTGCCGCTCCATAAGTCCTTCCTTTGGTTTGGAGTGCCATCTGCACTCGCCCCCTATCGTTCGATGAAGCTAAAGGCCAGCTGCGGCCAACAGCATTAGAATAGTTTCAAACACATTACAATTTCTTGACTCTTGTTACGTCAGACAAATTTTATTATTTAAAGTAAATTCTTTGATTATTAATTTTTAGTATTTCTTGATCACAGGATATTCATAATTTCTTGAACATAATGATTACTTCAGTGTTGTCACTCGAAATTCACTAGTTTTACACGAATTTTATGATTTCTTTCATAATGTTATCATACAAATTATACAAATGAAATAATAACTCAATCCTAATTCGAAATCACCTTAGTGTCTTACGTTCTTATGTAAATAAATACATTGTTACATCATATATTTAATTAAGTGACTATTATATATAATAATATTATGTTAAATAGCATATACGACTATTTAAGACATTTTATTTTTAATTAAATTAAATAAACATTTATTGTAATATATTTATTGTTTTAGTGATGCAGTTAACGCCCTAAATGGTTGAGTACCTTGACTTACAAACATGGAAGATCGTGAATTCGAATCTCGCAACTAGAAAAACTGTTAATTTATAATTCAGTTTGTTTTTCTGTTAATGAAGTCATCGACCTTCTAAGCTGACTTGGTTCCCGCATAAGTTCCTTTGCAGTATACCTAAATTAATATCGCTATCAATAGGGGTTGATAGTAGAAGGGTTGAAGTACATATTTTTATCAAAACAATAAAAAATGTTTAATGGGTTACCCTTGTCATTTAGCGGTATACAAAATAGATAACCTATTCTCAAACCTACCGAGTATACATATAATATTTCATGAAAATCGGTTAAAAAGTATTATTATGACTAGCTGTGCCCGCGACTTCGTCTGCGTAAAATAACGATACTTTTATATAACCTTTCATCTCCCTTTTCAACCTCTTATAACCCTTTTTTGCATTAAAAAGGATCTTTGTCAGAGTCTAGACTATCTGTGTAGCAAATTTCATTTAAACCGGTTCAGTGGTTTCAGCGTGAAAGCGAGACAGACAGTTATTTACGTATTTATAATATTAAGTAAGGATATAATAGTGATTTTCATTAGTGAGTCCATAATTTGTAGAAAAGGGTCCAGTGCCGCACAGGAACATCCAGTCGACATACGCTGAACCGGGTCTTTTAGCCGCCTTCAATTTAGTGTCCTTTAAATGTATTTATTTCGTTTAATTTAATTGGCAGCAATTAATTATTTTTATCTTTATGCTAATTATTTGCCACACATTATTAGTATTGCTATCGTTAAATGTTGGGGCACTTGATACGACACAACGAACTAATTAACAACATTATTGAAGGAAAAATAGATGGAAAGAGAGGAAGGGGAAGACAAGACACAGCTATATCAAGCAAGTTAAAGAAAAAGTTGAAGTCGTGTCCTATCAACAGGTAAAAGGACTGATAGAAGATCGTGGAAGGAGGCGGGAGCTCCACCGACAAGAGCACAGCTCTTAAATTATGAATGAATGAATGATCGTTATTGTCCATTAATGCCTATGAAAGGTAAGTTGGGAAAAGACTTAATCTTATATATAAAATTCTCGTGTCACAGTTTTCGTTCCCATACTCCTCCGAAACGGCTTGACCGATTCTCATGAAATTTTGTGAGCGTATTGAGTAGGTCTGAGAATCGGCCAACATCTATTTTTCATCTCCCTAAATGTTAGTCCACCCATAATTTTTATTTTTTTTATTTTAAGGCTAAACAACGTTTGCCGGGACAGCTAGTATCATATAAATCGTTACGTTCATAAGCGGCTAAAATGTCCTACATGAATAAATGATTGAATATGACTTATATATACTTGGAGTTTTATAATCGAAACGCTCATAAAAAAATATATTATGTTTTATTTCCTTCTTTAAGCTGTCCTTTGAAATGTGTCTGCAGATGGCGTTTCAGTATTTGAAATGTCTGAAATAAAAAAAAAACTATATTATCTATTTGATTGGAATTAGGTGTTATTGAAGTCATTTCTTTACTTAATAGATTTTTATTATTTTGTTTAATTCCGCCTCTATTATTATTTGTTAAACCACAAATTTTCAATTATTTAGTGTCAAAAGTATATGTTCTTTTTTTGAGACTAGATGGCGCTGTGTGAATTGTACTGGGTTATTGATGATGATGGTGTAATCCCGGCCGATTTCGGCCACGGTGACTGTCTTCAATTCCAGTTTTGCCGTTGATGTGCTCGCATGTGACTTATGTAGCCTATTTTGTGTGTAAAAATCCTCGCACATCGCGGGCATGAGAGCACACCGCTCATATAATTATAGCTGATAGCCGCAGGTGGTCGGGCTTTCAGCATCTTCGCGTCTAGCACTGAGTTATTATTGTTATATTAATACGTGAAGCAAAACCTTATCATCCTTTAATACGTGAATTGCGTGGACGGAGAAATATGAAATTTCGCACACTTATAGTTGAGGAGTGCAGAATCCTAATATTTTCTTAAAATTATGCATAAAAAATACATTAAATCAATAAAAAAAACATTACTTACACTACTATATATTTGACACACACGCATATACACTCTTTTGTTTAATTGTTATTGATTCAAAGATCTTTTTGTTTTTTTTTTATTATGGTCCAATTTCGAGTACTGTCCACTACTCACAGCCAGTATATTATAATACTTATTAACAGAAAATATTTTCTCTAATATAATATTAATTACCCAAGACTATTCACAATGAAAATTAATGAAAAGAAATAGTACTTCATGCGGAATATATATATATATAGTATAACATACCTTAAACCTATACCCACAGGCTTCGCACATAAAGCACCTTATACGCGCATCGCTGGAATGCTTACGTCGCTTGTGATTATCAAGCGCTCGAGCGCTGCAATACCGTTTATTGCAAATATCACATATCAGCAAATTCATGCGTAGGTGCACAGTATCATTATGCTGTTTCATTTTGGCGGAACTTGGGAAGCGCATGTCGCAATTCTGGCATGTATACCTATAATTTTAATTTACATAATTAAAATTTTTATTACTTTTAAATTATTTATCCAAATAGATGTTATATGCTTAACATAGACATTAGATTAGGGACTGTTACTAATGATCTTAGATTGATGATGATGATGATGAGATAATCTTCATCCGGTTCCCCCTAGAAACCATAGTGGTAAATTCCTATTCGCCAAGTTGAGCTCACTGACCTGACCTCATGCTCATCTTATCCACTAGTGCCCCACCACCGTAAACCGATAGCGCAGGCGGGTGCGCAATTCCATTATCATCCATAAGAAAATACAAATTAAAGTTAACACAATTTTTCATTTTATTTCAAGTCTATGTCCTCCACAACAAAAAACAAACAAAGGTGTGCCGTCAACTTGTTTGACATTCATTACACACACAAAAATACGATAAACTTACTTCAATGTGCTAATGTCCACATGGGTACTGGCAGTACGCTGGTGCTTCCTGTAGCTGCAGTTTGTTTTGAAAAATTTCCCGCACGGCTGACAGTAGTAACTGAAATTTGACAAATATCTGTACTTAATATTGTTTTCTATACATGTCAATCCTCGAGTCATATACAATATTAGCTACTCGCCTATATTAGAGTAGATTAGTTTATGTCTGTCGTCTTATATGTATGTCTGTGTATAATGGATAATACACTCATTTCTCATCACCTTATCTCTGGCTACATCAATTATAATATGTACACTCGAGGAGAAGACGATTGTTAGTAATGGGAACTAGTAATCCCCATTGCTATCAATGTACTATGTTAGGTCGTCCTCCACGCGGTTCCTCCTGGAAACCATCGTGATAAATTTCTAGTGAATTTGTCACGATGGGCGAACTGGCCTGACCTCATGCTCATCTTATCATCCTGCACTGGTGCCCTGCCTGCGTTAGCCTTAAAAATGTACTCTGGATACAACCCTCCACCAACCCATGGCCATTCCAACCTTTCGGTTATACTGGCCGAATCTACGGGGAATGCGCGCTGAAAAGCACGTATTTTCTGGACCCCTACAAATTATTTCCACTCCTGTCCCTTCTGTTGCTTTCTACCCCTTCTGGGGCAGCGGACGAAACATTCAGATTCAGCAACAGTTTCGGTGCTGGCAGCACTCCATATTCAGCAGCCTCCTTCCTTCTTGAACGCGTACCACCTTCAGTCTTCTCGTACTCGCTCCGCCTCCGGTGCCACTGATGCGCGAACTCCCGCAGCCTCCTAAAATTCTCCTCCGTAGACACCAAGTCCGGGTAGTACACCGGACCCTCTCCTTCGACGTATCCCCTCCGACAGCTTCCCCCTAAGGTCGGAATACAGCGAGCACTCCCACACAACGTGGTGGGAGGTCCTCTTCCGACTCCCCGCAACTGCAGCCGCTCGACTCGTAGAGTCTCATGGCATGCAATCGCTTACTACTACTACTCACGCTTACTACTAGTACTCTGTATACAGTCACACGTACGTAATATACGTACTTGGTATCGTCGGTGCGTGCTCGCTGGCGTGCGTGCTTGGCTCGTCGATGCGCTGCAAGTGCCGCCCGACTCGCGAGCGTGTTCATACATATAGGACACTGCAGTCCACCATTATGTTTCTGCTTGTGATATTCATATTTCCCACGGCTCCTGTAATAATAACGTATTTTTTTTATTGCGCACTGTAAACATAACTCATAAAATGCTAGCTTTTTAGCACATTGACTGACTTCTGATGGTTGCGGGATCACACGATACAAACATATGTATTCATAAGTATTTTTGTTTGTCTATATACATAACCAGGGTTATCTACAGAACTCATTCCGGTAGACTATGAGATCATGCCTCCCACCAGGAATACAGTTTACAAAGCAAACTGCTTAATAGACAGAACTACTCATGCTAATGACAATGTAAAAAATATACCTAGATAGAACATGGGAAATGACATCATTATTCAGTTTTTTTTAAATTCAAACTACTAGTTCCTGAGATTATATATATATATAATGGCCTATGCGTCTATTATAGACGAATTATGGCGTAATGGTCCGTGAACAGCTCTTTTCGTGGCTGTATAAACCGATACGAGAACGGCATGGCCTACCACAGGCTCGACAAGGGAAATTATTGGCAGTAATCTGATTAGATTAGCATGTTCAAATAAACAAACTCTTTAGCTTTATAATATAGTATATATAAAAATATAATGAATATTTGTTTTTGCTTACTCAAAAACTTTACTGCACTCCTTACATTTATAATCGTTTTTCGCTGCTCTCAGTCTATTTCTTCTTTTATAATTTACTTTTTTAAGAACTATACTTCGTCTTTTGACATTGCCTGATTCTTTTTCTGAAATATTCTTCTCTTTCTGTTCACTGTTTGCAGTTTGTACAGAATATTCGGATTTTTTAATCATATTTAGTCTGGAATGCTGTACTTTTTTAATATGTGTGGTTTCAGAATTTAATTTATTACTGAATTTTGATAAATCATTCTTATGTATACCAGATATATCTGTGATCTCTTCTGGAGAACTAATTATTGATAGATTCGAGAAGTTTAAATTAGATTTTGGTATCATACAGCAGTTTTGGCCCTGAAATGTGTTGCATTTATAAACTATACTATGTGTGCTGTAGCATGGTGGGAGTGACATTTGCCTGTATTTGTAGACTAGAACATTCTGTCTGGGTTATATTTAAGTTACTACAGTTATTAATGATTTAATATATTACAAATGTGGTACAGCTGAAATACTAAGTCATAATTTGTAAATGAAATGTTACTGAAACTGTCACTCACACTACAGCGCACATGGTATAGTGGATGTTTTAACCTTTTATTGTAGAGGTACCAGATGTCTCCTGCGATTTCCTTTACCTGCCTTCTATATGTCACTAGCTTTAAAAATGATACTTCCATACAATTTTTCATCTACCTTTTCAACCATTTTTCGATTTTGAAAGTAGCCTATGTCCTTTCTCAGTATCTAGACTATCTGTGTACCAATACACATTTAAATAGGTTCAGTAGTTTTTGAGTGAAAGTGTGTTGTGCTTTGCTAGATGGTCAGACCATTTTTAATATAAGTAAGGATAACATAACCTTAAAGCCACCATCGTGATTCATGCACATTGCCCTTACCTGTTATATATTTATATATATATATACATATGACATCAACAAGCTTGATGGTCTAGGGGTTGAGCACACCGCTTTACCAATTGTATCCATGCATATGATTATTTGTATCAGTCTGTGGGTTTTCTATGTATATTATGTATGTATTTACAAAAAAACTAAGTATTTATATTAGTTGTCTAGTACCCATGACACAAGCTGTGCTTACCGTGATACTAGATGGCGCTGTGTTAATTGTTCAGGGTTATTTATTATTATTATTTATTTAAGACTCACCAAGGCATATTCATCTAATATATGTTTAGATAGGAGAGCATTTCTCATTAAAATATTAGCATGTTTTAGATGTGCATTACATTCCCAACACAGCCTCTGTATATCCTGAAACATATAAAAAGAAAACAGTTAATTTAAATTAGTTATGACTTAGGATGGTAATTGTTATTAATATTTAGTAGTTATGGAGTCCTTAGGCTATGGTAACTATTTACTATGAGATGGGCCATAGGCCTGTTTGCCGAAGTCGTAATTTTGAAAAAACGTGTAAGGCCTCATCACTAGTAAAGTACCTCTCCATATCTCCATATCTTTCCTCTGTACACCATCTTGGATAATTCCTGGTAAATTCACGGCATTAAAGTACCAGACATAACTTTATGCTCATCCTAGCTTTCTCCAGCAGTTATAATACTACTACAATGGGTAAAAGAAACAATTGTTAATAGTGACACTATTTTCCCATATATTACTCGTTCTGGTCGAATAATACATCGTCCTCATAGATATGATTATTAATTAAGATAAGGAAGTTATTTTTTATTAATTTCATTTATGCAAAGAGAAGGATGTTCTATATAGAAACTTCTTAGTGAATGACATGTAATTAGAACTAAAGAATAATAAACAGATTCTGTCAACATCTCAAACTGATATTTTATTTATCCAATTTAAAATTTATAAAATTATATTAAATTTGTTATATTAAAGACCTTAAAAACTTTTAATATAACAATTTTAATATAATTGCATAGAAGAAAACACCTGGATACTTATTTTTTGCATTTGAAATAGTGTTTTCAAAGGAATAAAGAATACTATTGTCTTAAAATGCTCATACCAATCCTGGAGTTAACATTTTTAACGTAATACGTAATATTTCTGTAGGTTGTTGTAATATTCTGTTATCACTTAAGCAGATGTGACAAATATTTGATTCCATTACTTCAAACAGGAAACAAGTAGAAGTATTATTTATTATATTAAGTTATCGTTTCAGAGAGAAATAGTGTATAAAAATAATGATAACAAAATGTAAACAAACGAAATGTCAAATATTTATTTTTTTGGTCCTGTTTATCCATTTTATAAGGCAAAGATACTGTATTTATACAGTCATCCATCTACATTTTTTTTTATTTGTGATAAGATTTTAGATTATTCATTTGAAACAAAAAGCAAATTTTTAGGAGTCAATGTCAATGAAGTCTTATATTAATTAATCCCAATAATTCAGCTGCCAGTATATTTAAAAAATGAAAGTCGCCCTCTACATCTGACTCATAGCATCGTATCGTCTACTCGTCCGCTCGTGCTATTAATTTCGTCTTAGCTTATGTACATTCTATTATTTACTGTTTTTAAGGCTTTCATGCAAAACGAACTATCAAATGCAAAAAATATTTTTAAATAAGAGTATTAGGTACTCTTGTTTAAAAATATTTTTTGTATATTTACAGAAATTGGTAAGTTCTAACAAACATACTCATAAATAACTTGCTCATTAGCAACTTCGTATGTGTCACGTAAGACAAAAAAGTACAGAGATGGGCGTTGTAAATCTCTCATTCTCCGTTTTTGGAACATTTTCTATTGATGCGTCGCCGTTATACAGCCTTGACCGTGCCTCGTCAAATGGGCTATTCAACAATAAGAGTTTTTCAATTCGAATCAGTAATTCGTGATATAAGTACGTTCAACCACACATATATTCATCAGCTTTGTAATATTAGTGTAGAAAAGTTTTTCTTTTATTACTACAGTTTGTTTTAACTACAAACAAGCATACGGTCCATCTGATGGTAAATGGTACCGTAGCCTATGGACACCTGCGACATATATATACCCTTCTTGAAAAACCCCATGCTGTAGTTTCTTGAGAAAATCTCGGCAGTTAGTTTATTCCACAATATGAATAGAAATAACATGACAGTAGTGGGGGAATGGTTATTGTTTTTAATTGATGACCCCATTGCTAGGAATGTGCCCTATCAGGTTGACCTCCTCGCGGTTCTCCATGGAAACCATCCTGACCCGAAAACATTCCTGGTGAATTTGTCAGGATCTGCTAACTGACCTGACCGCATGTTTATCCTATCATCCTTCACTGGTCCCCGCCAGCGTAAACCGCTCGCGCAGACGAGTACATCGTTCCATTATCATCACTAAAAAAACATGACAGTAGTATTTTGTACTGTTTTTTAAAGTAGATCAAAAATATCCTATATTTTAAATAAAATACTTACTAAAATGTTATACAACTTTATTTAACTAAAAACGTTTATAAATTTCAATATTGGTATAGTATATTGCATATTTCTATATAAATTAACTAATTCACTCTTGTTCTAAACCTAAAAACGTGTTCCACTATACATTTCAAAATTACAATTTCATATTAATATTATCTGTTTTTCTTTTCGAGCCATATCTATATATGTATGTAAAATGAAATGTATATGTAAAATGAAATACAAAAAATGAATTTACTTCATTAACATCATCAGCATTTCGGCCCGGAAGATATCCACTGATGAACAAAGGCGGGGGAGGCCACTCTCCTCTCATCCAGACAAACGACTAAATAAAATAGGATACGCATATTTCATACTTACACACTATCAAAAACTATATAGATATGCTACGCATACACACTAGGTACTGGGTGCACTACAATAATAAAAAAAAACATTTCGCGCGATAAATTCTGTGTTAGTGACAGATGACGTATTAAAATTATATATACCTTTGAAATTAAAAACATGCAGACAGGGCTGTTTTGGTGCAGTTCCCTTTGCCATTCTTTTAAAGGATAAAAAGAACAACAAAAAATTACTTTGTAAACTATTTGAAATCATATTCTATTGCTTGCCTCAATTACAGAATAGAAAATCCTTTATTCAAATTAATTTACTTTAAGTACTTTTAAATAGTCATAGTTATTTTTTTTCAATCTACCACTCCTGCAATGTAGCCTGCACTGACTTAATCTGACCTATTAAAGCTCGGATGAGTGTTCTTGTATTTTTATAATCAGTAAATTTGCTATTTTTTTTTACAATATTCCACTTTTATGCTGTTTTTTATGTCGGTAATGAATCAAAGAATAGAATCTGTGAAATAGTTCTCAACTTGAATTAGTTCGTATATGAACTAGACAAGATTTCGTATTTGGCGCTATTTTGAACTATATAATTTATTTATGAACTAGTCCTGTTGAAAGGATAAACACGATCAAATATTTTATTTACAGTGGTCTTCGAGAATATTTTAATTTGTAGTATTCCGCCAATCTGTCACTACCACCATACTTTAAGATATATAGTATATATACCCTATAATTATATCACAAACGATCAATTAGAAATTGTGGAACACTTAATACATAATATATACATTATATAACTCATTAGATGAACAAGTAAATGCAAAATATATACAGCGATATAAAACAATGAACTTTTTAGGTTATTTCATATCAGTTACCCCTGTTTTTTCTAGAGTGTAAATTTCTTTTTTTTATTGAACTGAAAAAGGCAAGAGTTATTTCGGACTACTCTATTGCTGTGGGCCGCAGCTAGCCTTTACAGCGTCACCGGACGATAAAGGGCGAGTGCAGAAGGCACTCCAAACCCGAGGAAAGACTTATGGAGCGGCTGAAGGCCAACTCCCACCTGACGGATACGACTTTACTGTGAGGACACCGCTAGGGGTTCGAACCTCTATTATATAGTTTATACGAAACTTAGTCTCAAAATAACCTTTTCTCTATAAATGTAGTTTATATTAAGTTTCGACTCACAAATGTTATCTTTTATATTAATAAAAAGCAGATGACGTAGGGGTAAATAACAAGTGATAAAACAAACGGTCTAACTTGTCCATAACACTATAGTAATCGCTTTATCTCGCTGCATAATGTAATTGTGTATAATAAGGCACTTTTGATATTGCTTCTTGTACAAAATATCACGGATTACAATCATTAAACCGCACACTCAATACAATAAAAATATGCTACACGGCCCTGCTAGTCAAGCGGTTAACACTACGCCTTACTTTGTAGCGGCTTCATCATCATAAGTATGACTGTTGTTGAGTGTTTATTGTGTATAAATTGTATTTACGAAAAAAAAATTCTATCAGTTCTCTAGTACCCATAGCTCCGCTTAGCGTGAACTGTAATAGATGCTAATGTATAAATTATCCAGCATTATTGAAATCTTATATTGGAAAATCCACTTTAATCTCACAACTTTGAGGTCTCATTCCGAAAATAAGTAATTTTTGAGTTAATACACTATTACTAAAAAATACTGCATTAATAAAAAATACAAATTTAGTAAAATCTACCTTATTTTTTTACTTTTAAGTATAATTCCAAAAATCAGTACTTTTTAAGTTATTGTATTGAATATGCGAAATGTATGTTTTGTGTTATGAATAGTTTATGTTACAACAATTTTATAAATACAGGATTATCTGTAAGAGGCCATACATAAATCGTCACACTTATTTCAATAGTTTTTACCCCCATCCCTGTCACAGCTCGTCATTGAAAAGTTACGTCACAAAATGTAGAATTGGGCTCATCTCACCGTCGGAGTCGCGGTGGACTGTTTCGATCCCGCTACTCCGGCACATGGTGTTGGACGAGGGATATCTTCGAGTTTTTAGTGAGTAGGAGTCTCACAGTACCCGTTTTTCCCCTGAGGGTATCTCGGACAAAGATTTTTTCCAAGTAACAAAAAAAGGTTGGGACCATCCCAAGCCTACATTTTGTGACATAACTTTTCTTTCGATTTTTTTAATTATGTTCTTCACCAATCACTTGTTATACAATGTCACATTTTGTGACGCCGCCCCTTTAATATGTGAAGTTTATTATAGTATATATATTTTACGTTTCTGTAGTATATTGTGACGTATGTTAGTTTATGGATGACCCCTTATAACAATTTTATAAATAGTTCAGAGTTATAAATAATAAAATTAGTGACAAATATAGCACCTAAATTAGAGTTACTTTAAAAAATTACAGTATCTACGGATATATGTATGTTTATCACGTGTAGGGCCGGATTAACCAGTAGGGGATCTAGAGGTCCCGCGCGGACTTAAAAATATCTTTTGTTTTGAAATGTTTCAGAGAGCGACATATTAATTGGAAATTTTTAATTCTCAGTGTCAGGTACAATGTCATAGTTATTTTCGACGCAAACTGTAGTTCATAAAATATTTCATTGACACTTACAGTATAGAACCATCTCGTATTCAATACAATTAGTACATATTTTCTAGCTACGAATTGAGTAATAGAACGAAATTTTATTAATATATGGATATAAACTAGTTCCTATCAATATTCTCGGATTGACAAGGGCCTCGAGATTACCATTGCCCATGGGCCCTGTTACGTTTAATTATTTTGTTTATATTTTGTTGCATTTTGTTTACGTTTATAATTTTGCACCGCCAACAATTATTCTCTGCACCACCTATGGTTGACTGGTAGAAAATGCCGCATGGTGTTAAGTCCGCCAAATGTACTGTACTATATATTATATTGTGTGCATTAAAGTTAAAAAAATAAAAATTAATCCGGCCCTGATCATATTGATACAAAATATATCTCTTAGCTTTAACATAAATCTTTATGTTTGTAATTGTGTACAAGCTTATTTGAGAAGAATAATAGCCGAGTTTCTTCTCCGTTCTTCTTAGCTCCTTAGCGCTTAGCTAAAGCACTCCGAACTGACTGTATATTTGAATTATTATAAATAAATAAAATAAAAAATAGACAGAAATATACATACATGCATAAAGATAATCGATTTGGGTTTATTTTGCATTAATTGTATGTGAATAATTATATTTCTTCTATTGTAATTATATATTAGCTGAAAATATCTTAATTTCACATAGGATATGTATATTTGGTCCACAAATACCTGATTTGCCATATAAATACAAGAGAGAAAGAGAGATGGAAGAGATTCTTGTATTAAGTATAGTTTATCTATGCAGGGTTAGTCTTAAAGGATGAATGCTAGTGATAGTCTCTATCAAAGGGAGAAATAATGTTTGAAACCTTCAACAAATCATGCTGCCAAAGACTAAATCGGCTGTAAATGACAATTCCTGATTTCCATTTTCTTTTCCAAAGTAGTTCGTATTCCACAGCGTTTTCAGCTATACCCTTTAAGACTAAACCCGTAAATTGTTTTTATTTAAGTTAATTTTATTTGTACTCTTTTGGTTTTTTTTATATTTATTCACAGAAGACAATAATCTTCTATGGAATTACAGATCTTTGAAATTCATAAATTGACAAGGAGCGAGGGATGTTTATTCATAATGGATCCATTGTCACAAATACAATTTGTCAGGTCATCACCTTAGTGGTAACATTTTTGTGTGTGAATAAAAAAGAATCTATTATTTGTTTGGAATACTAGGTGTGCATAAGTCGCTGGGAGATCTAGCATCGACTACATTTATATATACATTTAAGAGTTCAACAAATCAGTTATAAAGTATTCCTTTAGTATTATCCTTTAATATTCTGGAGTATGGTTCCTGACTTAAATATTTTTAATGTCATCCAGTATAAAATGTTTGTAAAAGACAATCAGTAGAAATTATTTGAGTTTATAACAAGGCTTCCTTATCAGAATGCTTCATTCTGTATACATTTGTACAATAATAAAATAACCAAATATAAATACTTCCTTACATTACTATTTTTAGATACAATTTATATTTGAACTACAGTTAGGACAATTCTTCGATTGCAGCTCTAATTGTGCGATACGATTCTGTAAATGCACAATCGTTGCGTCTTTCTGTTTTAGTTTAATTTTTAGGGTCGTTATTGAATCCTCTAATGCACCATACACTGCTTGGACCTCCGGTTGGTAGGTGAACACTTGAGGAGGTTCATCCAAGCAGAAGAACTCTCTAACCGTTGCATGGTTAGGAAGTTTACTCAATATTGCATTTACAAAGATCTGCAAACCTCTCACTCGTTCTTCTAAGAATGCAGTGTCAAAGTTATCCCTGAACCATCTCTTCCCTGGCAATGGTAGTATTATATTTGGTAGCTCACTTCTGATTCTAGAATATAGTCTAACAAAGTCCGTATATCTACGGAAAACGAGCCAGGATTGGTCACGTTTGTCATCTTCAACTTTGAGCTTATAAATTGTAAACTTTGCTCGTTCCTCCATAACTTCATAACCTACTATTGGTATTTGTAGGGATTCAAATTTCTTAATCTCTTCCCTGTGCAGACTTAGATCTATTGTACTTACGCTATTTTGTACCTTGTTTACATTTTTGTTGTAATCTCTCCCATGATAACTGTTATCATTAATGTTACCCATGCTTTTATAGTGACTCCTGGATTGTAGTGATCTGCTTCTGGGTTTAGAAGATTCATTATCAGATGTAGCAGTCTCATAGGGAGATTTATGGAAATTCTTATATTTCCTCACTACACCACGACTTAACTGTTCATCACTTGATGTGGAAGACACTTCATTGTTAGCGTCATCTGCTTTCCTATCTGTACCATTATTGCCTTTAATACTTCGATTCTGTATTACCTCCATTTTGAAATTTGTACTCTATGGTGCAGACACACTGAAATAAACAATTATATTGTAATTACATTTAAGTAAAAAGAAATGGTTATTCAAATAAATTTTATGTAAACATTTTCATGAACATGAACATGAATACAGAGTTCAGTGGAGAGAGCTGGAGTAGGCCTATGCCAAAAGGCACACCGAATTGTAGGACATTTTGTAAACACCAAAATGTACCCCAATTTTCGGAAAAAAGGGGTATATTATTATTATTATTATAAACAATTTTTGAAATGTTATGTTTTTAGTCTACCACAGATTTATTAATTAAAAAATAATTTATTCATGTAGGATATTTTAGTCACTATGAGAATATTTTATATTATAATTTTTTCCCTACCATCCTTATTGCGCCATGCCTCACATTAGCCTTTGTAAAATGTAACATATATAGTAGATCATATAAAAAAAATTAATTGTTTGTAAATGTTCTGGGAAGAAATTGTAGAAAATTGTTAATGAAACATGATGACTAAATTTTTAAACATAAAGAAGAAATACTGAAATTAAAAATTTTAAATAATTTTAATAAAGATTTTTCTATATTAATTTCCTATGTTAATTTAGTGATAAGACAGTTATTCCAGAATTTTCTTTTTCATTACATTTGGCATCAAAATCTAGTATTGCATTTAAATGGCCCAGAGCAAGTGTCCATTTTCGAATTGCCCCTTAAAACTCAAAAAGCCTTTGTTGCAATGGGCCCCACATTAGAAAAACTAATTCTAGGGCATAGATGAACCCTATAAGGGATCTGGTGTGATAATACATTATTTTAATTATATAACATAAAACAGGAACAAGGTGTCTAAAGAAAGACATAAGCATGTCATCACTTTCATGACATATTTATTTTGGCTAAAAAAAGTTGTGCCAAAAGAGAGATTTCAGGCTACCATAACATAGTTAGAATTATTGAAAAATAAAAATTAAAAAATACAATTGAATTACAATAACAGTGTTGGGGTGACCTAGTAAGCATACCAATGTATCTGGTACACCCCAATCTTTCATATACATTGTCACTTTTTTTAAAAACATATTTCAAAACATTAGATACCAAATATTAGTAAACAAAAGTTACTTATTAGAAGTTAAGCATAAAAATTTACAAGACACATGTTTGTATTCATATTAATGTGTTAGTTAGAACAATTATGTGTTTGTGTGTGTATTATTAGGAAGGAAGTTATGATATACATGTATATATGACAGGAATGGTAATTGAACACCAAATAAATTCCAGCCAGTATAAACCGTTAGTGCTTGTTGAGGGTGCACCATTCTATTATCAGCTATAAGTACACTAAATAATTACATTTAAACTTTCACATTTAGTATACATTAATAAATATAATTAGTCAGACCTTAAGATAATATAAAATTACCTGTCTCGACATTTCCTACATCTACGATACTGTAATTTTTACCAATGATGATCATGACCAAAATAACAATTTCATTGTCAATTTCAGTCACTACCTGAACATTTATCGTACACTTCTAATTATAGTATTTCATATTTTAAAAGATTACTTACATAGACAACTTGGATAATTGAACGTATATTACGAGATATTTATAACAGTACGATAACAATGGATTTGATATACATTTTATTGAAAACACGGTGAATGTTTACTACGCCATGATCAAGGAACATAAACTGCTAGCTGAAACAACTCTCAAATAATTTATTGAAAATTATAATTTTTGACTGTGTTTTGCAAATAAAATTATAAAGTTTAAAAATAAGAATATAGGAATAAATATTTCCAATTGATATGATGATTGATGACAGATTGACAAACAGATTGTCACATATACAAACTGGTACAGTACAGTATAATTCCTAGAAGACACAATGTACTCGTTTACTGCAAAAAAACTCTTCAATTTCAAGAAAATCTATTTGATACAAAGTAAAATCTTGTGATTTTTTGCGTCTTGCACAGTTTTACGGCCATTTGGAAGATAAAGCTAAAACAACAGCAAACAAAAGTTAGAACTACATTATAAATATTAGGAGAGTATAAGTAAACAACATAAACAATGATATACAAAACTGAGTCAATGTGGACCACAACTGGAAATATGGTTTCCAGCATTTATTTTCAGCTGGGTTGATTTACAGTACACGTGGTGAAACTCGCACACAAATTAACTACAATACAAAAATATATAATGTAAATTATTATTATTATTAACACTTATTAATATACAATAACAAAGTATATCATTATTCAAAAAATATTAAAATTTCACATTTAGTAATAATAATAATATTACCGTTTTGGATATGATTTTTAGCTCCTCAATTGAGCTAGTACTCTGAGCCATAAAGTTTTAACAAAAAATACAGGATTGTCTATTATTCATGTCAATCATCACTCGCATTTTCATTTGTTCCATACTATTTATTTTGTTCGAGATGTTTCTTCCTCCATTAACGTTTTTCTGTAAATTATAAAATTTACAGTTAGTGAAATTTCGTCTTTGTTTTCCATTAATATTTAATGGTCATTCAGATTGAATGAACTACCTGCCGAGGTTTTCTCAAGAGACTACAGCATGGGGTTTTTCAAGAAGGGTATATTAAGGTTTCTTAAGGGTCGGCAACGCGTATGTGACACCCCTGGTGTTTCAGGCGTCCATAGGCTACGGTAACCGTTTACCATCAGATGGGCCGTTTGCTTGTTTGCTACCTAAGGGTATAAAAAAAAAAGATTGTTAATTTTGGTTAGTAGTTTCAGTGCTTTTAGATTACGAAATCTTGGTTCACTGTTCGTCGGCGGCTGGCCGCCTTACATTATTGATTTTTCAGTTATTTTGTTGTTAGTCGTTTCTTAAATGTGGTATTAGTTAGGTTTCTTCTTTGAGGTTGGAAGTTAAATAGTACAAAAATAGAAACTCTTGTCAGTCTCGGTTGGAAATGGATTTCGGTCTTTGAAAATGAAAATAAACCTATTGTTCATTAATATTTTTGTTTGTAGTTACAAAAATCGTTGGTAAAGGTAATAATTACTATTACTGTATTATTTTGTGATATTCATAGTTACGCACACATTGATTTATCAGAGGGGGTATGCATGATATTGGAAAATTCGATATTTATATTTATAATTTGTAAAAATTATTAAAATAATAATTGGTTAAGGTTTGATATACAAGTTTCTTCAATTTTAGCTACACCTTTTTCGAATTTGGTCACTATGATCCTCTTCTGATATTGTAAACAGGTCTTTGTGTTATTGATGATTGATGATAATTTTTATCATATTGGTTGGTTAAATAAAAAAAAATACATTGAATGGAGTTGTTTGAAATGTTGTCTTAGTAGGATAAAGTAGGATCTCATATTTGACGCTGTTGATTAGAATGAAAATGGAAATTATCTTATTGTTCATTAATAAATTTCTTGGTAGTTACAAAAGTGGTTTGTTATGTTTCTATTTTTTTGTGTAAAAATAGATTTGTCAGATATACATGATATTGGAAAATTATGTAAAAATGGAGTTAATTGGTCTAAGGTTCAATGTACGATTTAGTCTTCGATTATAGCTACACACTCTTTGATTTTTAGTCACTTGATGCTACTGGTATTGGAAACTGGTCTTTGTGTTGTTCACTATGAAATAAAGTTGATTATTATTATATTTCTTTCTTTAATAGTCAATAAAAAAAAAATTGAATAGAGTTGTATTAAAATGTTTAAAGTTACTATGATGCGATCAGGTTGTTTGTTCTCATAAAATTTGGTTGAATGCAATAATTGATTTATTTAATTTTAAAAATAAATTGAATTACTCAGGGAAATGTACCATAGAGGTAGAAAATTTAGTTAAATAAAAATGGGTTTTGTTTAAATGGGTCCTGCTTGTAGGGTCTGGTCTATTCTTATGAATTAAGACTATTCTATTCTTGTATGATATTTAAATAATCTGTACAATTTAAATAAAGAATATTGCATGTAAAGTAATGTATCTTTTCTTTTTTTTGGATCTGGCACTTTGGATATTTTCAGGTTTACAGTTTATTGCCAAATTAATAGGGACAGTCACGAAATATTCGTTTTTTGTAAAATATTGGTCTATATATTATATAATAAATTAAAAAACGTCACTAGGCTATAATTATATTTCATAATATGAGACTTATATCTTATAATGAATTTAGGCTACAATAATTTAATATTTGAACAACTAGAAAATATAAACAAGTATAATAAATATGGTGATAGGAAATTGTTAGTATTTTGTCACATTTCCTTTTGCTTCTATCAGTGCTTGAATCTGCCTTGAATACTTTCCATACACTGTTTAGCAATTACTTTTATTATGAGTTTGTGAAACCATACATTTAGTAATTTTTAAATCAGTTTTACTTTTGTAGTTATGATTTCCTTGGCAATTTCCGCCTTGGTAATATCCCACAAGTTTTCTATGGGATTCATATAAGGAGAATTGCCAGGCTAAGGTAAAACTGGAATGTTGTGGTCTTCCATAAATTCGGTTACACTCCTCGTTTTATGACATGAAGCTGATTTGTGCGTAAACACAAATTACTCCCCATTCGGGAACCATTTCTGAAGTTGCGGCAACAGGCGAGTTTCTAATACTTGCTTGAATTGGTCCTGTCTCATGGTTCCCTGGACAATATAGAGGCGCCCAACCCCTTTTGCGCTGATGCGCAAAAGGGGTTGGGCGCCTCTATATTGGTTGGGCGCAGTCATCAGACAGACCAAACCATTATTTTTACGGGGTTTTTAATACGTTCCACTATGCAATCAGGATTAAATTTCTCCCCTGGGCGCCGCCTCACGAAGTTGCTTTTGTTGGCCAGAATTTCAAAAGTTGACTTGTCTGAGAAACATACCTAAAAAAATATAGAACCTATTTATAATTTTTGTAAATATGATTTTATGTAACACAAACATAATTAACAATAGAACTGACCTTATTCCAGTCTTCAACAGTCTTCAGGCGGTGCTCACGTGCCCAAGCAAGCCGTTTCTTTTTCATTGCCTCTGTCAAACGGATTTTCTTAACTGGACGATGACCTGTCAGGCCTTCTTCTGCCAACCTTCGCTACAGTTCTTTTAGAAACACGTATTCCAGATACCAGTACTATCTGAGTTAAGAATCCAGCACTTTTCTTTCTGTTTTGCAAATAGATATCCCGAATTTTCCTATCGAAACGTGCTGTTGTGTTACGTTTTCTGCCACATTTGCCTTTTCTTTTGGGCGATTACAGATTAATTTGGCAACCCACTGTATGTTCGTTATTAACACTGAAGTTATAATAAAATAAAGTATAAGTCATGCCAGTATTGAATGATTGGCCTTTCTCAGAATCAGCGTGGGTATCAGATATTCACGAAGCCTAGTCGCAATACATCCTACGTTTTGTCTTTAAACAAAGATAAAAACATGTCAGAATAAAGATACGTCCCGTAGTGAGTGCTGGACGTTACACACTGATAATATTTAGTAAAATGAAACATACTACGTAAGTAACTTATATACTTAGTATATTATTATTATTGCACGGTCTTCTGTAGAGTATAAATTTCTTGTTTCAACTAGAAAACTGTTATACGAAATAATTTGGCGTATGCCGGTAATAGAATTTAAAACTTACTTTGAATATTCTATGTAGACTTTGTTCAACTCGATGATTTTGTAGCTCAATGCAATGAAAAAAAATCTAAGTACTATGTAAATATATAGTTTCTGTTTTTGCTGTCGCCATAATTTATGGTATCCTGATGCTTTTTGTACTATTGCAGACGCATATTGCTATACAGTTCTTGTTAGCACTATTATTTGCAAAGTCAATATTTTTATTAAGGCGCACTTTTATTAAGCTGTTTCGCCGAATTTCTGTGCATAAGTTAGTCGTAATATGCTATTAATTTCAGTCATTCCATTATTATTTTAGTGCATGTAGTCTCGGTCTATTTTACGGAAAGGTGACCTTATCACCTCTGGCAATTACAAGGCCCTGGAGTTTAAATCATCCAAAAAGTTTGTACTCTGTCGTGTTGGGTAAACGGCAGGTGTGATACCCACATTTTTCATCCATCATGAGCAGTTTTAAAAAGATATTACCCCAGGAGGGTACCGCTGCTTTCAGCAGAGGAGAATCCCTCCCTGAGCTTAGCTCAGGCTGCCCTTCGTATTCTGGGGAGGGCAAGGATTGCTCACAGTCCATAGCGAAGATTAACGACCGTCAATTAGGCGTTAAATCGGAATTAAATTCTGTTCCGGTATCCGATCCCAATTCTAAACACGATTCTTGTCAACAGTCGTTTCTTTCCAACAACAAGAAACGGAAACGCTTCCGTCGCACAAGGAGAAGACGCAACAAACCAGTGGTTTTAGATAATTCTAACGTTTCTAATTCTGTTATAAATTCATGCATTATTGTATCTGATCTCTCCCAAGATGCTTTAGTTACACCTAGTCTTTCTGAGTGCGAACCTATACCATCCATATCGTTAAGGATACTCGAAAAACCCAACGACCACAATTCAAATAATAAACACGACTCACAACAAGAGCCTTGTGTCCGATCTAAGAGAAGGTGGCGAAAACGCTTCCGTACACGCCCACGGTCAAAGCTAAAACTTCAGAAACTATTACTCGCTGATGATAATCCTACTACTAGTTTCACTCAAATTACATCGAATGCGTGTGCGGCACCTGGATTATCTCAAAAAGTTTTTGTTGATTTTGTTCCGTCTGGTTACATCCATAATGAGTCCATACCCTCTACTTCGTTG